TATAAAAGATGTGGAGTCACAGCTCCAACATCAGTCTTGAGACGACAGCTATCACAACGTACTTTTTGCATTAAGTACCTTCGTCGAATCCTCACTTAGGTTAATTCTCTTTTTGCATACGTTGCTTTTGACCTTACATTTCCTTATTAGATTCTTGCCGTTATATATAAATACACCATCATAACATATGAATAAACGTTATCGAATCATCTTATATTCTCTTTATTTTCGCCTGTGTGGCGTCCTCGATACGCAAAACAAGATACACGACAACTGGTAGCTGATGCAAAACAATCCATGAGGACGCATTTGGGCAACCTCAAGATCCAGTAGCCAATCTGGCAAGCTTGATGGGCCAATTCTTGGAAGCTCAAAGACAGCTACAAAACAAGGACACACAAAGAATACAGCTACGTTGACAAGCACCGGAGACGTACCATGGCGATAGATCACCTCATGCAGGTGAAAGCTGGTTATGCTCCATCGAAAGATAGAACCAAGTGGCGGGGAAATCAACCGCTAACCTTTTGGCATACACACAAGCTCTTTTTCGTGGTGATGCGGAGATCTGGTGGACAACAATAGAGCAACAAGGAATCAGCTCTGACAGCTGGACCAGATTTTGTGAGCTGGTGTTACGAGAATTCAAGCCTAAGAACAGCATTAAGGTGGCTAGAGACAAAATGGCTACATTAATGCAAGGGGAAAGGAGCGTCTCGGAATACATAAATGAATTCAGGGTAATCAAGCTTCAAATTCCGAAAATGACAGATGAAGAAGCCCTTGATCGCTTCGAGAGAGGATTGAGAGCTAGTATCAATGGACCACGTGCACATGTCAATTCCTTCCACCCAACAACCCTCGAAACGGCAATTCAATATGCCCATAGCTGGGAAAGCGCTCATATGGAGAATGCATACATTGAAGGCAGCCAACAATCAATAACAAACGGCTCATCACAATACGTTTCCTCCAACAGCAGTGTCGCACCAATGGACTTGGATACCCTCTTTACAATGTTCAGTCGCATACAATTTCAAAAGCAGTGTATGCAAAAAGAGATTTAATCTAAGTGAGGATCCGTCACCTTCGAAAGAGCTTTTTGGGACGAACCGATCGATACTAGTCTTGTGGCGAACGAACGAGTCTTCGACATTCGCCAACGAATTCATTGCAACATGGAAGCTTTTTGCACAACCTTGGAATCTTCAAGCGCCCATCTCTCGCCTTGTATCTAAGGAACAGTGCCATTGTTCAGTTGCATAATATTCAGCTTCTCCGCCTCTCTCACCTGCTCTCATTTCAACGCAATTGACATACCTTTTATCAACTTGACAATTCGCCATTATGAGCGGCATTCAACAGCATCTTATACACGTATACACATTCTCACATACCACCTACGTGCAACGCTTCCTCGTGCAACATGACATCTCCAAATCTCGGTATCATCTTCCGAGCCAAGATCGATACAGCCATCTTCCCATGTCGGCTTTGCGATCCTGAAGAGGATGAGATTTTTTACTACACGAGCCCTGCTCTCGCTCAACACAGCACCAAGGTCCACAAGCAGCCAACAACCGTGATCTTTGAACGCTATGATTGTGATGCGACCTTTAAGTCTCGTGCATCCTTATTGTCGCACAATTGCATTAAGGAATTCATGCCTGATGAGCAAGCGCGGGTACCTCCTATCACAGAAGATGCACCTGATGGGAATTCTATTGTCGACCTTGTGGTGATATCCACTACCAAGTCCTTTGTTTGTCCTCGTTGTGCAACCGCTCGCTTCACAGACCTTACCCACCTACAAGAACATCATCTCAAACAACTTTATCAACACTTGTGTCCTGTTTGGGGTTGTCCTCGACAATGTGTATACCGTGATATCGAAAAGCGGGCGATAACGGAGCACTTGAAGTACTCGTGTAATGCTGATGAGGAACCGGAAAACGACTTTGCACAAGAATTTTGCTTTGGCTGTGACCGCTTATTACCATCCAATGAGATGACTGAACACCTCCATCAGCATCCAGGCCTTGTGGATGCCATGGCAAGCAATTTCATGGAAGCTACCTTTCGCGATTTGGATATCATCAAGGAGATTATCGGCATTGTGGGATGGGATGTAAATGATGTTAAGCAGCAACTACGACAACGCCAAGTTTGGAAGCACAACAACATCATCCACACAGCTCTTTCCACTCTACGCACACGTCAACAACAACAGCAGCAGCATTCGTTATCATCCACTCGCACTGCCAATGATACTTCCAACATCAACTCTGCCAATAGCACACCATACAACACGCCTCGTTTGTAGCCATTTCGGGATTTGCAGCAACCTCCATCACCATCACCACATATCATTGGCATGAAACGCACTATGGCGGATCGATCACCACAGCCTTGTGATGTTTATCTTTTGAAGATAGTAAATGGGTAACAATAAAAGTACGGTGATACCGTGTATATGATGATGTCTTTATTCATGCGTGTCTTAGTGGTCTTTTATACTATTCAACAGGAATGTCATATATAATGTATCCCTTATTAGGACAAATTCAACCTCCTTGTTTATCCCCGGACATGACAAGCCTGATCTTCAAGGTAAATCTCGCCGTAGCAATAATGGCACGACATCATCATCATCCACTACTCGATCACAACCACGACGCCACCGTATATTGTCTAATGCTGAAGAAGACGGTCACATCACACCACCACCAATCTTTTCAGCAACAGCATCGCTATCACTCGATTTCTTACGCTCATTAGAGCTATCACCAACATCGGGTCGTACTTCACCTTTAACGCTTGACAATGTCAACAATAATCATGTTGCACCAAAGGAAAGCGATGTTATCGAGACTAATGATGAACATGTGGATGAGGAAATTGATCATGGTGGTGGAGATTCAACCGGAGTGCCAGCACTAGAGATCAACAGCATTGCAGCATCAACAGCAACAACGACACACGACAACGATGATCGACAACAACTACATGCGACTACAACAACACGACCAGCAGCTGATCATGACAACAACAGCAACGACAATGATAGTGTGGACTCATGGCTTCGTTCGGGTCGACCAGTGGATGAATTGGCAAATGAAAGGGCAGCAACAACCACCGAGCAAATTGATCGTGAATGGTACCAGCTCTTTGAGAATCCTATTTCACCACCTGGCCAACGCTCAGCTTCATTTGATGCATCATTTGACCAAGCAATCATGGATTACGACATACAACATGGACCTTCACCCACACGCTCACATCGTCGCACACGCTCTGTTTCTCCTGTTATCGATGTATCATCACCATCATTGAATGCTAATCATGCTCACACACCAGCACCAAATGATGGCAATGTTACAACAATGGAAATTGACGAGCCAATTATACCGTGGAGACCTACACAGCAGCCTCGTGAATACATGTCGATCACAACATTGATGCACAATCGACGATCACGACGCTATCTACGTGTGCCACTATTTAACAACAAGCACGCACGCCTTTGTTTTGAAGCAGCTATCAATGAGCTTGTGGAACGGCATATTGTTGTTGAGGGTGATGACCATACTATTGTGACACAAAAGAACAACGACTTTCACGACGCATTGTACCCATTGATTGCCGAGTTCACTAGGCCACGACCACGTGTTGACAATCAAGGTTGCATTGAATGGAACGGGATGCAACAAACCGATGATGAAGCTGAGACCACCGATCGTTTGAATAACAGCAATAACCTCTCAGCTAGTGAACGTAGACGTCTTTTTCGTAGACGTACAGCTATACGAGAAGGACGTGATGCTACTACATCTCTTTTTAATCAATATTGACACCACTCCATGTTGACTTTTGATTCGCTTGTTAATCCAATTTATACATAGTGTATGTTTTATTCAGTGTTTGATTAACACCATTTAAGGGGAAGTGAAAAAAACAAAAACATAAGAACTAAATCAGGAGGTCTAGAATTGGATTCCTGCTGGTTATAGGAGAAGTTGACATTGGAGATGTAATACGATGACGTTTGACGGATCGATTGTTCATCTCAGGAGAGTTTTTCGAAGAATTTGTTTCTTGAGCGGCATCTTTAATTGGGCATTGTTTTCTAAGTGTCCAAGAGCTTGGCAATGGTGGCAGCGTGATTGTGGTTTGGACGTGCAAGTTAACTTGTTGTGTCCTGGCACATGGTAGTATCGGCAAAAAAGTGGCATGCAAGATCACGTAGCCTACATCTTATGTATCCAGGTGCTATCATCGGAGTACTTGAGTTTGACATCGGTGGTGTAATTGAGTAGTAGTGGCGGCGATTGTGTTACAATCGTCTATTCCTCTTGCGGAAGATCATGCCACAAGTACGTTTGCCAGGATAACGTTTGCGTGAAACCATCAAAAAGGTCGTCTCGGAAATCTGTAATTGTGTCAAGTCAAATAGAAGGGCATTTTTGTTTATCGCGCGACACCATGGAAGTGATGAGCCATTTCTACTACATGAGAGCAGACCATTTCATGCGTTGAAGTAGTGGCATTGGCATAGGAAATGGGTTTATCAGGTGGAAGCCCACCCTTTGGGGAACGAGGAGAATCAGGAAGACCCATCGCTTGTCAATCCAAGTAAACGAACAACATGTACCATACCAGCCAATCAACTGTAGGCACACTTTGATAACAGCTATGGATCCGGCTCAATTACCACCGATTCCACACCTACAGCACGTCCTGATTTCCACTTTATTTGCTCATTGGGTGATCTCTTGGATGACGATGTTGATGAAGTGCTCAAAAGATTCAACAAGTCTTTATTCACCAATGGCATTCCATACAAGATTTGGTGGGCTGCGTCGTTGGCTTAAAGCCATCTATCAACGTAGTTACTCGTTGGCATTGATACCGGAACATTGGCGTATGTCACGCACCATTCTTATTTACAAAAAAGGTGACATACAGGATCCTGGCAACTGGCGTCCCATCGCCCTGCAAAATTCAATCAGCAAGATCTATACAGCTGATATCAACAAAGTGATGCGACGCACCTTGACCAACGATACAACGTGTGATGAGCATGTACAACGATGTCAGCTGCTTTGTGTCCACCGAGGATGGATCAACTGATGTGATACGATTACAGCGTGGTACTAAACAGCGATGAGGCATCACCATTTATCTTTACGTTATGCATGTTGGAATTGAGCCATCGTCTCAATAGTATTCAGCCTTCATCACAACAAGCCTACCACAACCATTTGCTGTTGGCTGAAGATCTTACTATGTATTGTTTCGCATGACCCAGAGCATCTCGGACGCCTTTATCGCATTGTTACCGATTTCATGGATACACACGACTTGAGGATCAATGCAACAAAAACATGTTTTTCGGCAACCATCACTCACAGCAATCACCAACGGCACACCGATGAGCGTATTGAGCTACGTTACCATGGCGAAAGGATACCACGCACTTATTTGAGGATTCATGGAAGTATCATGGCAACAGTGTGGGTCAGCAACGGGACACCATTTGGGCCGACTTCAATCGTTTACAATTGTGCACATGTAGCATCATCATGATAGGTATCCAAAATTAGATAGTAGTTATTTTTATTTAAAGTACACCTTTAACGAACAATAACATGGTCGATCCTTGCTTTTAAATATTCAATGACGGTTGTCATGTTTTTATCTATTGTTGCGTTCACCAACTCCAGTGTATCGAGACCTTTGTGGTAATCGGCCAAATACATCAACCCACGGCCATCTACCCGATCAGTATTTGCGATGATGAGATGCTTGATACTTGTCATTTTTGATATCGGATGAAACCCATCCTTGAAATGTAGCACTGGGGATTCGTCAAGCGTCAACGTACGGATTGGGGATGATTGGTGTAGAGATCGTGCGAGCGTGATTAAGCCGTCTTGTTTGATGTATCCTCGTCCACATGAATCTTTCAATATCACATGTCGCATACTCGGCATCATGGATAATGCTTGCACAAATTCGAGCGATGTATTGACAACGTTCATTCGATACTCAAAAGATTCCAGTTGTACACCGTAATGTCGCATTTGCAAAAACATGAATGAAAGGTCTGAGAGGTCGTCTCGGTCTTCATGGATAGATAAATGGCGTAAATGAGGGAGATGATTGAAAGGTGCGAGTTCTGGTAATATTTGCTCATTCGGTAGACGTTGACCATCATAGCCGGCATCCATGTCAAGAGCAATGGATTGTAATTGCTTGCAACGATGAAGGATGGGAAGCATAATAGTTTCTTCAGGGTCGTGAATGTCGTCCATCTCTGACTTGTAGCTGTTGTAAACAAACTCCTGTAGCTGACATGTATCGGGTGGTGTAAGGATGGGTGGCATTTTACGCATCATATCTTTGCTCTTATATAATTTCCCAATACCACATGAAAGACGTTCAATGCCTTGTCCCCATGATGTATTCAAGATGGCCATTAAATGATGCAAGGGCGTCTCGTGCAATACGTGGTCGATTTCGAATGTGCGTAAATGATCGCAAGGCATGTCGTAAGTTGTCGACCATAAAGGATCTTGTCCAAGGGATGGGAAAACATTGCATGTGATGATATCCAATTCGGGTCGAGCTTCCACAATTTGAATCAAATCAATGTTGGAGTGCCATTGGAGTCGTAAATGACGCATGCTGGGACTAGCACGCATGATGTCTAATAGCTGATCAGTGCTGATGCCGTGGTTGATACGTAAGAATTGAAGGTTGAAGCATGATAATGATGCTGATGATGGTGATGCCTTGGGTGATACATGAACACGAGCCGAACTTGAAAAATGGGTTAACTGTGGGCAGCATGCCAAAATGCCGAGGATGTCACATTGACTACGAGTCGATCCGATATGCAAACGTGTCATGTATTGGGCAAAGGTTGAAAAAGTAGTGGATGGCACCAAATCGCACTTGTTGTCAATGGCAACCACTGCAATGAGTAACAAGATCAGTACATCTGATTTATAGAACAAGCTCATGGATACTCACTGAATGTAGAGAGACGTGTAAATCCCATATGGATGAGGCTGTCGATCACCTTGATGATGCTCTTCTCGGATGGCTGTACCAATACAATATGCCTTGCATAGGATCCAACAAGTGATAAGAAAGGATGCAATTGCTCGAGATCATTGCCGCTTAATCGTATGGACCGCCACTGATCAACGGACCATTCAGCCATACGTTCACGCCATGCCCGACAGACCAACATGCACCGAAGACATTCAAGCTTTGAGAATGAGGCGAAGATCCGCTGGTTGATCTCGGATGGCAAGGAAGCGATGCAAGTTGTTGTAGGATGTTGTGAATGTGGCATGCTTGAATAAAAGTTTGCAAAGAGGCGAAGCAACGAGTACAAGAAGTATCATTTGAGTCGTTTTTATACCAAAGGGGGGGGTAGACCTGTGCTGCGGATTGTGTCGCAGCATGGATCGTCCTTTGTAACACACGATCATCTTGTCGCAGTAGTCAATGATCACCCAGCCATGCTTGTTGACATGATCTCTTTATTACATTCATTTAAAGATATGAGGAAAAACGAATACTGAAAGCAGCGAATACATGTATAATGATGGCATCAACTCCCTAATGCGTGCATGAAAACATGTTCGGCATTTCACTTGTGCAACAAGGCGATCTTTTATGGGAAATTAAAAGTTGCGACCAACGCCGCCACCACAGCCTCCTCTTCACGCCTTCACCAATGACCAAGAGATTCACTTCCCTTCTCTAAAAGCACCTTAATGTCGACAAGTCTTTCAGCAATCACCAGAGTACACCTTCAGTATTGTTAAGTCAACCACCGACACGCGTCTTTCTCTTGTCATTGTACACCATCTACTCACTCACGCTCACACACGCACGCACACACACCAGGCTTAGCAGCACGTCGCAGCAAGTGTATTCGACTAACGCAGCTCAATGGTGGCGTCATTGGTTATGACCTGTAAGGGTACCCTTGAAGCTTTTGGTGGACAAGTACTAGCCTTGAGAGATACCTCTTCGGCCAAGCGAGGAAGGAACTCTTACAATCCATGGACGCAACAACTTACTTTTGACATAAATGCTACCAGAAGCATGATGATTGGTAAGGTAGATAGAGGAGAGAAGACAAGTTGTTCTATGGATAGTGAGGTGATTGATCCCTTTTCAAGCAGATGATGGTCTCTTTTTTCATCCATGTCATGCAAGGTATCAAGTTAGATCCTATCAGTGACGAAGGCAATGAAGCCATATTGGGTTGACTGCGACGACAAAAACTGCTTATGGTTGAGAGGGTAAATGGTTCATGATGGAGGATTGGACCGACACCACGATATGCATGCACCATGGTCGATCGTACATTGCAGCTGAACGGAGGTAGTATGATGATGATGAAGGATAGCTGTAGGAGTATTATCGGATGGATCAATCAAATAAAGGGATGGCTTGTTGAGATCAATATGATGCATACAAAAGCCTTTATTGGAATAAATGGGTGTCTTAGTACATGTGTATCCCTCGCTACATGTTGACAGATGATGTGAATGGTGGAATGTGAGAACAATAGTAAGTAAAATTTGATTGGAGCTATACCTCTACAGTGTACAGAAATCCTGGGGATTGAGCTATAGCGCTTTGTCACATGTATAAAAGAACCTGCATGATATGCATTCATCGACCCATGTCACGTCAAGATTATCAAAAACCAACCAACTCGTTTTATCAAATCCAACGCTTCAATGTCTAATAAGTGTCGCTCTCCGAGCCTTAAGTATGTATTCGAATGCTTCATGGATCATGATGGTTTATGACTGCGATACAATAAAAAGAAGCCATCCTTTGTTTAACAAGGTATAATACCTAGCAAAGTCTTCATGTTACAACGTGCTTTTCCCACATCTCCATACCTCATCACAATTAAATGGATGGTGTTATGTGATACGCCGAATGCACCGATACACTAAGCTAGATAAAAATCTACTTGCATACTTCATTTTGGATCCCAATCACCTCAGTGCATCTCTGGTATAACGTATAGGACTCCTATTGTATGTCGTGTCCCAAACGTGCGTAAATGATTGTGGCTCGATATAGCGGTATGTAAGCCGTGCGATAATGGGGGTGCAAACGGCTATGTGTGCTTGTGTGCTTGTGGTATAGTGTATAACAACTCATTCCTTCTTATACATAATGCATTAAGCTCACAATGAATACCATACCCTGTAACAAGCAATGTAGAGCACAATCACTCTCAAATTAGTTAATAACTTGCGATACAATCGTTAGAGAATCGCCACTGCATTGGATCTATGTACTACCAGCCCATGCGCGAGAAAGCTTTAGTGAGGCCATAAAATGTTGTGGCGAAAGAGCGATCCCACGATGTAAATGATCCAACCTTCCATTTCTATTCCCTCTTTCAAACCAGTAACAAACCACGTGATCCACATCTTGCCCATACGAGCTGATACCATGATACCCCAAATAATAACAATCCAATTTCATTCAATGACAAAGTTGAAGAATAGTATATAGTAGTGTGGGCGTCTATCAAGTAAATCTGGTAAAGGTACAGTGTTGCAAATTGAACAAGATACGGATGAACCACGTAGAGGCCACAGGGATAATGGTGTCATTGCATTCCTGGTTGCTGCCGTCATAAGCATCTTCATCCATGATTGCATAATAGCTGCTGCATGCATTGAATCGAGTACTCCAATATCATCCGTCCATGGCTGTACAACACCATTCGTCAAAGATAGAAGCCCTTTTGTCAATTCCATCCACCCATCACCATCCTTAGCGGTATTCACTTGATAGGATCCATCTTTCCTGTTGACAATGTGACAAGGAATCAATGCAACATTCCAGGATTCTCATTACTGCACATGATTGCACCCATTCACCCTAACAGTTGCACGTCCATTATGTTGATAAAAAGAGCCCTTGTGATCGCTATTGGCATGCTTCCTTCTCCATACAGCTGTTGGTCAATCCCTTGCTCGGTCATTTTGTATCACAGCCCAACCGGTTGATGAAGATTGTGTTGCGGCGTACTCGACGACTGATATGGCATCATCCAAACTGCAACACCCAAAGTCGGTTTCCTTGCTGCAGAGATGTCCATACAATGACAAATGGTGATAGCCGTTCTCCATAGGAAGGGGTGTTGGCTGATGATGATTTCCCTGGGCGATCGATACACCTTGATAGCACCAAAAGACTCACACACATTGTAGCTTGTTGCTGATGTGTAAGTGCACTTGCATGCGACACATCCCATAATGATCACTTAACTTGTGCTACTTCAATAGTATCCTTGCCTCAAACAAAATCCGTATCTCCATGACACCGCATCTCCATGACAACCATACCATGCTGCTGCTATTCCATTGTAAAGTCCGTTATTTGATAGCACTTGTATTGTAGATCCGAAATATACATACCAATGAATCTCCAAAGGAAGGGAGCGATGCTGGACGATGAAGGCCATGAGCGATGGATAAACCTTGATAGCACCAAAAAGACGCATGACATTGTTGCTTGTCGCTGCTGTGATACACCCATAAGAGAGTTGACCTGCTGAATGCTCTTGAAAGCTATTGCCCGATAGTGGGAACCACCAGAGGATCGAGTAAATGTTGTTGACAATAAGATATGAGTCCTGTTGCTGATTGCTGCCTCGTGGTTGCTGCTGATATGATCCACCGATAATAGTTATGCGGGCGTAGCAGGATATCCATCGAAAAAATTGTCGACAACTATAACCGCAGTCAGACAAGACAAAGCTTGGCGGCACCAAAAGATATAGGAGTTGCTGCTTGTTGTTGCAGATGCACATAAAAGCAAATGACCAGTACTTGGTAATGAGAATAATCCAACGACGTAATAAGGCCGGTTGATTGAAAGATGCCGTAGACGTTGCTCGTTGATCCAGGAATGATTCACCTATAAAGATGCACGTTAAACAATTTTCTAAACTCATAAACGATACTTTACCATGATAGCTGCATCCATGACAAGTCTAAAGGTCCATGAGACAAGTAGCTTGAGGAACAGCCCACATACTACAATAAAAGAGGAGGTTGGTAGGCGTTGTACAAAAGAACGGATCATCATTTACCAAGCCATAAGCACAAAAACCTGCCGACATCCAAATCAAGCCGTTACTTTGCAATGGTCCACTTGATAAGATAAGCTACGTTGGCACTCGGATTGTACTAAGCGATCGAACGATACTTGGTAGTCATATGCAGTGAGAAGATCGAGTAATGTTGGCGACGTGAAAGATAGCATAGTTCCATGATGAAGAGGAGCCGACACAAGGCTGAGGTTGGTGATCACTTTTCAAAGAATGGAACCGTCCCTGATAGGCAAAACCAGACGAAAGCCGATTAAGCATTATGCCACCGAAAAGCTTTGCTGAAGAGGAGTCCATACAAAGGCGAATGCCGACAATAGAACACTGCTGGATAACCAAAGTCATATCAAAGCCGAATAAGAATGATGCCACACGTACGCTGTTGATTGTTGCTGAAACAGTATGATCCACCGTAATAGACATGAGCCGGCAGATAACCATCAAGCGAGCTGTTGATAACGAGAACCACATGACGGAGTAAAGACAGCTGGCACCAAAAATACATATTGATGTTGCTCCTTGCTGTTGATACAATAACATTCTTGACGTCCCAGTGATACGGTCGAGGAAAAGCCTTCTTGATCCTGTTATTGCACATCTTCCATGTAAGTGCACTTGCATGCGACACATCCCATAATGAATACTCTTACCTTGTCGTACTTTATTGGTATCCTTGCCTCAAACAAAACCTGTATCTCCATGCAATCCGCATCTCCACGACAACCATGCCATGCTGTTGCTATTCCCTATTGTAAAATCCGTTATTTGATAGCACTCGTATTGTCGATCCAATGTTATTAATACCAATGAATCTCCAAAGGGAGGGAGCGATACTGGACTATGAATGACTTGAGCGATGGATAAACCTTGACTTGCTTGCTGCTGTTGTGATACACCCATTAGAGACATGCGCTGCTGAATGCTCTTGAAAGCTATTGGTCAATAACGAGAATCACCAGAGAATCGAGTAAACGTTGCTGACACTGACGATGTAGACCCTGTTGCTGATATGATCCACCGACAACCGGTATGCGTAGTTGGATATCCTCAAAGGATTGGCGTCCACCTTGGAGTGATGTATAGATGACCTTGGTACTACATACTAAAGATGTCGACGTTGGCTCTCATTGCTTGTTGATAACATGATCCATCCATAAGAGACGTTGAATGGCAGCCGTGCATCAAAGGGATTGTCGATAACCAGAACCACCAGAAGATGAAAGCTTGCTGACAAATTGCTCCTTGCTGCTGACGTGATCAATTGATAAGAGATCTTCATTTCTGGATGCCACCGAATCACCGATAACGAGAAGCACCAGATGATGGGATGAAGCTTGCTATGACACCAACAATATGGATGCTGTTTCTTGTTGCTGATACAGTCCACTCATGAGAGACGTGCATTGGCTGACAATCTTCAGCTGTTGCTTGGTAACCAACCACCAGAGATGCAAGAAAGGTTGACACCACCAAACGATATAAACACCCTTCCCCATGGCTGACATGATCCAACTATCAATGATGCACCATTAAGAATTTTCCAATCCCATCCAATAGTACTTACCAACCATAGCTGTGACCTTGTAAACTTCAACAAGACACCATATGCCAAGTAGCTCTCTGCTGTAGCCCACAATAACACGTTACTAGGTACATTAACAATAGGAAGAACACTTACCAATATCAACCATAGGATATCCGAATAAACCCGATCCCAGCAAATGCACGTTGCGTGTTGTAAGATAACCTACCTCGATAAGATACACACCCGTTTTCCATAGTACTAGAACGATACGTACCAATGATGACGACAATGATAACGTAGTATAAGCCTTGGCCATAAATATACGCTGCTTGCAGTGATGTATCTAAATAAGAGACGTTTCAGCAAAGTTTTCCAACAAGCATACCAATCATCCATACCAGAACCTCAGTGATCACATAGACTTGGAACCAAATAGGCCATCCGAATGAAATGTAATGATAAAATGCCACGCCAAGAAATGTCAAAGTACCAGTACTCTCCTCTAGCTCACTCCAAAAGGACGTGGATCAAAACACCAGATTTAACAGAGACCATGGGCCCTTCACCAGCCGACTTTGAACCACAATGAGCCGTGGATCCCGCATGCTGTGCGTCAATAGAGATAACCATCTTCTCTCTAAAGGCGAGGAAATCAATAGCCATAGAACGATGGAGCCGTGCGAACAGAGGATGCATGTTTAAACCCTGAGGTGGCAACTTGAGCCGCACTGTTTCCGCTAGCACAACATGACCGTCTCCCCTGGGAAGTACAGTACAATGACATCCTTGACGTGCTGTTTGACAATAATAATATCGCCGAAAGAGAGCCTATTGCTTTCGTCAGTGTACTTGAAGGTAACAAATCCTTAGGCAATGCACTTTACGTTGAGGTATTCCCAATACCATTCCATTGATGTTTGCAAATAACCTTGTATCCATCCGATCCGGTATGTGATGCTGCTGTTTAATGATGTGGTTCGTTAATCACGTGGCCCTGATTTTAGGATTCAACACCATGCATACCATTGAGCCAACGTACAGCGTTCTGCCTTGAGATCCGTATCTTGTTGCTGCCAGAGGTACCATCATTCAACATGTTCAACCTACCATAAACGCAATGTGAGATAACAAGGATAGCATTAAAAGCATGAGAGTCATATATACCTGAATCACGCAATCATCACCCGCATACTTGGGAACCAAATAGGCCATCCGAAGGCAATAACAATCAACCTGCAGCGCCAAGGTATGCCACCATATGTACCATACTCTCATTGGATCCTGAAATTGGCATCATAAGAGATATCCACCTTCTCTGTGGTGGGCAAGGAAATCAATAGCCGTATTTGGATGGAAAGCCGTGTGCACAGCGGATGCCTTTTCAAATTGGCCTTGCCATCGCATCTTGAGTCACACTGTTTCCGGGCCAAAAATTCCCCAGGAGAGCACAGTACTATACAATACCATTCCGACGTGCAGCCGTGATAACAATAGCATCGCCGAAAGAGGCTCCGCCACTGTATGGTGTTTGCAATCCACTTGAATCCAACCAATCCCATCATAATGAACATCTTACTCAGGTATTTCTTCAGCATCTTTGCCTCAAATAGAAACCGTATATCCATGCCATCTAGTAGGTGCTGCTGCTGTTTCATTGTAAGGCACGTTAATTAAGTGGTCCTGCATTATAGATCAAACACCATGCATACCATTGAGCCAACCATACAGCATTCTTGCTTTGAGATCCGTATCCTGTTCCTGCCAGAGGTACCATCATCCAACATGTCCAACCTACCATAAACGCAATGTGAGATAAAAAGCAACCCAATCCACACGCTTTGGTTGTCAGCATACCCAAAAGAGGCAATGTGAAGACGTCTTGAGAACTCTCATTGTGGACAACTCGGTAAGGAAGACACACGACGCCGTGAACCATGGTGATCACAAGGAATTGCAACCAAATACACCATCCGAAGGCAATACAATAATCAACCTGCAGCGCCAAGGTATGCCACCATATGTACTATACTCTCATTGGATCCTGAAATTGGCATCATAAGAGATATCCACCTTCTCTCTGTAGGCAAGGAAATCAATAGCCGTACTTGGATGGAGGCCGTGTGCACAGCGGATGCCTTTTCAAATTGGCCTTGCCATCGCATCTTGAGTCACACTGTTTCCGGGCCAAAATTCCCCAGGAGAGCATAGTACTATACAATGACATCCTCGACGTGCTGATTGATCAAAATAGTATCGCCGAAAGAGGATCTGCCACTGTATGGTGTTTGGTAAGTCCACTTGAATCCAACCAATCCCATCATAATGAACATCTTACCTTGTGGTATTTCTCAATAGCATCATTGCCTCGAATAAAACCGTAACTCCATGTCACCCATATTGTCTTGCTGCTGTTTTATGATAAGGTTGGTTAATTAACAGGTTTCGCTTTGTAGATCCAATACCATCCATGCATACCATTGAGCCAACGTACAGTGTTCTTGCTTTGAGATCCGTATCCTGTTGCTGCCAGAGGTACCATCATCCAACATGTTCACTACCATAAACGCAATGTGAGATAAGAAGCATACCCAATCCACACGCTTTTGGTGTCAGCATACCCAAAAGAGGCAATGCAAAGATGTCTTGAGAACTCTGCTGTGACAACTCGGTAAGGAAGGCACACGACGCCTGAACCATCATCGTGATCAAGAATGTTCAAATAACACACCATCCGAAGGCAATACAATAATCAACCTGCAGCGCCAAGGTATGCCACCATATGTACTACATTCTCATTGATCCTAAAATTGGGCATCATAAGAGATATCCACCTTCTGTAGCAAGGAAATCAATAGCCGTACTTGGATGGAGGCCGTGTGCACAGCGGGATTTACTTCCTTTCTCAAATTGGCCTTGCCATCGCATCTTGAGCTTCACTGTTTCCGGGCCAAAATTCCCCAGGAGAGCACAGTACTATACAATGACATTCCTTGACGTGCAGCCTTGATAATAATAGTATTGCCGAAAGAGGCTCTGCCACTGTATGGTGTTTGGTAAGCCCACTTGATTCCAACCAATCCCACAATGAACCTCTTACCTTGAGGTATTCCTCAATGGCATCATTGCCTCAAATAAAACCGTATCTTCAGGTTATCCATATTGTCTTGCTGCTGTTTCATTGTAAGGCACGTTAATTAAGTGGTCCTGCATTATAGATCAAACACCATGCATACCATTGAGCCAACCATACAGCATTCTTGCTTTGAGATCCGTATCCTGTTGCTGCCAGAGGTACCATCATCCAACATGTTCACCTACCATAAACGCAATGTGAGATAACAAGTAAAACCAACCCACACGCTTTTGTTGTCAGCATACCCAAAAGAGGCAATGCAAAGACGTCTTGAGAACTCTCATTGTGGACATCTCGGTAAGGAAGGCACACAACGCCCTGAACCATGGTGATCACAAGGAATTGCAACCAAATACACCATCCGAAGGCAATACAATAACCAACCTACAGCGCCAAGGTATGCCACCATATGTACCATACTCTCATTGGATCCTGAAATTGGCATCATAAGAGATATCCACCTTCTCTCTGTAGGCAAGGAAATCAATAGCCGTACTTGGATGGAGGCCGTGTGCACAGCGGATGCCTTTTCAAATTGGCCATGCCATCGCATCTTGAGTCACACTGTTTCCGGGCCAAAATTCCCCAGGAGAGCATAGTACTATACAATGACATCCTTGACGTGCAGCCTTGATAATAATAGTATCGCCGAAAGAGGATCTGCCACTGTATGGTGTTTGGTAAGTTCACTTGAATGCAACCAATCCCATCATAATGAACACTCTTACCTTGTGGTATTTCTCAATAGCATCTTTGCCTCAAATGAAAACCGTATATCCATGTCATCCATATTGTCTTGCTGCTGTTTCATTGTAAGGCTCGTTAATTAACAGGTTTCGCTTTGTAGATCCAATACCACGCATACCATTGAGCCAACGTACAGCGTTCTTGCTTTGATATCAATGTCTTGTTACTGCCCACAGGTATCATCATCCAACATGTTCAACCTATCATAAACGCAATGTGAGATAACAACGAAAACCAAGCTAAACGCGCTTTCTTGTGAACGTACACAAAGGAGGAGACATAAAGGCTTGTTGTTGTGGACAACCCAGGAATGATACAGGCGACGCCCCCATTAGATCTTGTATAAGCGAGAGAACAGCAACCTACACACGCACTTTAGTACCACAATGTCCAACTTGAATAGTAAAAGAGCTGCAGCGATTGACCGTACCTGTTGGATGGCAATGGAAGCTTGAAACATGGGTAGATCGCGCGCGTACTTGTTGTAGCTGGAAGTGTCGCCATTAACCACCTGTTCACCCATCTAGATGTTGCATTAAGGAGAGTGGAAGGAGTTAATGAGCTGTAGTTCGTTAATGGAGAGTGGCTCACCTTGAATGTGTAAAGTGGGAGTGGAGAAGGTGAAGGTGTGTTCTTTTTGGTTCCCCTTGTCCTGGATACAGACACCCCGCTTCCCATAGTTACTCTTGTGAATGCATGCACACCTATCTACCTCGATCAGTATGAATAGCTACTAATCCCTTGTTATGTATCTCTGTGACAAAAAGTGACACCAGCCTTGGTTATGAAGCCAAACTCCTGAACTTGGAGCAGCCAATGTGTAATCCTGCATCAAACATGGACGTGTAAACACTCGAAGATGATATGCATGTATGAATCCATTGACTCTATCATCATGAATAGCTTCCTCATCAATCGAATTTTGTGTATGAAGAACCAACACTCCCCAAAATTACATACCATCATCATCCATTTATGCAACCTGTCAGCAACACGTGTAACCTATTTCACCTTCTCCGTCAGTCCGACTACTCTTACACAGCATGACAACATGTATCCTAAATGAATAAAAGCTACACTAAAGTGTAAATTTTTTAAGATGCTACCATTTGGGAAATGTGATATTAAACATAGTCATCAGCACTCATCCATCCAAAGTAAAGGGCCACCAACACGATACATAGTCATCCACTTTTAAATACAAAACGATTTACAGGCAACTGGTATCTTATAATGCTTCAGAGAAACAAAGAGTGCTATGCTTTAATCATCATCATCGTCATCAAAATCGATATACAGCATACAAGCAACGTCTAATGGTAGTCATTTAACCAAAGAAGAAACCAGTATCTCGTACTTTAAGGGCCACCAAAAACGTTGCAGTTAATAGATTTCGGTCTCTTTACCAGAAGGGTAACGAGTAGTACCAGTGATCGTGCCCCTACCGGAAGTTGCTCCACCATTAGAAGATGTACCACTACCAGAAGCTGCTCCATTACTAGTGGTTTTGCCACCACCAACACCAGGAATACTTCCAGCAGCTCCAGCAACAGTGCCAGCAGCTTGAGCAACTTGATCAGCCACTAGTTTACCACTTGTGTATTGATCACTAGCAGCAGCTGGTTCAGCGACTTTCGAATCAGAACTAGATCCTGGTTCTATTCCTGTATCACCAGGTTTTGGATTGGCACCATGTTGTCCCGTTTTCTTGCCAAGGTCTTTTACGCTGCTGTGAGTCCCTCTCAGTGGTACGGCATTTGCTGTATGCATATGGATGGCAATGAGAAAAACGGCAATGAAAAGCACTGTAAGGAAACGCATGATATCTTGAAAGATGAAGAACGCCAAGAACACTGAGATCCTATGGAAGATGGGCCTTTTTAGATGCTGTGAGCAGAATGCATGAGAAGTCGATAATATGATGTATTCGCATATGTTATTTTGGATCATCATCTCATAGCATGCACCATCATGCTGTTTACTTTTCTCTCATCTTCTATCACAAAATGGCGTATATGCAGGAATCGTACGCATTAGCGTTGGCGAAACACCCCCTTCATTCGATCCTTATATGCTGTGTGTCGATCAGCTGCTACTGATTTAGGCAGCTTGTGCATCATAAAAGCATTTTTTGTAGATCCCACATTACACTTCTTCCACGCCCCTTGTACTGGTAGTATGCTTTTAAAATAGGATGATGAGCCAACAATACATAGATTCAATCCATACATCCCAGCTGTCGAGCCTAAAATGTATGCCATGTAACTCCTGGATCAAGGGACACATGTAAATAATACAGCACCAGCTACTCTGTATGAGAGAAAAAGCCATTGCATGGTTGTAAATAATCATGTACATTCAACCGGGCGATTGATCACCCCTACCCTGACCCATGCCATGAAACACTCCTTTAGCTTGTATAACAATTAAGCATACCAGTTACTATGTAGTACAGTAACAAGCAGGCTATCTAACATCTCCTTGACATCATTTGGTAATTCTGCATCGGTTACTTTTAGCGTCTTTAGTCGTTTGCATGTCAAAAGGCTAAACAAGGACTCATTTGAAGCGTGACAACGATTGATAGAAAGGGTGGTAAGGTTGGGGAATAATCGTATCTTGTAAATCAATGGGGAGGGAATTCCAGCATCACAAGACAATGACAAACGTTCCAAATTTGGGCATCCTTGAGCGAGCTTTTCAATCGATAAATCATCCATTGTAACCTTTTCAACGAAGCAAATGTTGAGATCTTGTAGCTGTGATAGCCGATATAATGTAGGGAGCAAGCTGGCTACAACATCAGCTGAGTTACCAGTAATGCTCAATTTCCTCAATGATGATTCTTCCCCCAAGGTCGCATGATGATCCAAAAAGTCAACAAAGGCGGCGGAACATGGCCCATAGGTCAACTCTTTCAGGTGTTCAAGATTCTTCATTGCTCGGCATACGTCTGAGTCATCTTCGTGAAGGTATGAAAGTGACAATTTTTGTACGTTGGGTGCAATGTTGATGAACCATGCAAAATCATCCATGCCAGAATCAGGCTCGTTATGGTGCAATTCAAGTGTCGTCACGTGGTCCAATGGTACATCCTGCGATATGGCAGGTGCCTCACCCCTAATCATTCCTGTAAACTGAACATGTCGCAGCGTATGGCGATGTGTACTGATCACCGAAACAAGACCATCGGCATAAAAGTTGCTCTGGATAGGATTAATTTTCAACGCCTGCAATCCGGATTGATCCGCTTGATAAGCCAATTCATTCCCAATAATCCTTTCATTGTCGACCATGCTATCATCATCGTTGTCCATGGGATTATTGACGCCGCGGTATATAAGGGTGCGTAGTAATGGGCAATATTCATGGATCACACCAAGCGCTCGTGACTCCAAGCACTGTGCTAGCGCCAAATGCTCCAATGATGGAAATCGACTCAAAAGAGCTGTCAATTTTTCATGTCCGTGTTGGAGGCGTATCTTCGATAATCAACTTTTTGACCTTTGGGTAACTTTTATCAGGTAGCGCGCTACCACGTGTAGTAATCCAATTTGATTGCAACGAGACCAAGTTTGGACAATATGTCAATAGCACCGATAATGGAATCCAATCTAGTATTAAGGTGTTGTCCAGAATCAAGATGACATCCTCCAATGTATGACCCACGTGTAGAAATAGCTCGGATAGTGCTGCACAGTGACTCGAGAATATCACTACACGATGAAGATGTTTAACAAGGGTACTCCAAGTTTTTGCAGCTCACATAAGAACATTATACTTACATTGAACATCCAATGACCGTAAGCAATTGAACCTTGTAGTCAAGAAGAACCCAAATGGAAATCCTTCAAATTCGCGTAAGCTGAGATGTCCGATATGCTGTGAGTATTCAGTGATCTTGACGAGTGATCGTTCATTAATACCCTCATGCGCATTACATTGTAGCATTGTTGATTGCAAAGCTCGTTCACGCCAGGTCTTGCATACATGCAAATAGGAAAAGGCATCATTGGATGGAATGGTCATTTCACGTGGTATAATATGGGATGATACAATGTCAAAGGGCAATTTGCTGATAAAGTCGATACGCATAGAGAGTCGTTTAGTGGCATCTTGTCGAGCTGATTGGAGTCGTTGATGATGGGTGGGATCAGATACGATTTTGAGGCCATGATTCAAGACGTGTATGGCTTGTTGTTGATAGCCATAATGCATGTAAAGGTATCCTGCAGCATAGTATCCAAGTGATGACAGGGGTGCTAATGCTTGTATGGCAGTCGCGTCTTGTAATGCCTTGTGGAACTGCGCACACGCTGACAGCGCCATGGCTCTATCATAGAGAAGCTCAACTTGGCGATCCACGCATTGCTGCAACTCGATCGAGGATTGGGTAATGGTGCTGTTGTGATTCTTGTGCTTGACAGAGACAATGGGTTCATTGTATAGCTGCTGGGACCACTTGGTCATGTTGTTGAAGAGTGTCGGCGAGGCAGAGAGATAGCAGTAATCTGCTCATGGTGATGGCGACGTGTAAATATAGATAGACAAACCCAGTTGAGTTGCACAGGAAGGCTGAGCCAGCAATCCACAATGCTACATGCATACCATCCATAGGTCGAGGTCATAGTATATAGCATAAGGTAGTAGTAGTAGCAATGACATCATGCATGCATACATTTATGACATTCAATAAAAAGGCGATTGGTGGCATCACGTACATGCAACACAATGGCGATGATGATTGAGATGATCACACAATATTTATTGTGAAGCTATATAGTTTAGACACCAGGTTGATAAATGGTAGACGTATCGTTGCTATGTAGGCTAAAAATGTTGTCAAGGAAATTGTCGGTCTCCAGGACAATCTTTCGGGGTAACCTCCTTGTCACTCTTTTACCCAGCCCACAACCTGAGCGGCCATGACATGGGATGCCGGCAAACAGCTTTTGGAAACGTTGGCATCAGCAGCAGCCAAAGGACATCATGAGCAAGTCTTAGAGGAATCGACAGCAGCTTGTAACCAATTGGTCCAGCTTTATATGGGCTTCCTTGATTTGCGTTCCAAAACACGAGCGATCCGAGGCGAGTTTGACACAGCACTTGACGACGCAGCTACAATGCAGCAATTGGCTCCAGCATCAGCCTTGGGTTATTTGCGTGGTGGGTACGTGTATGATATGCGTGGATTACGGCGGGAAGCGATACGCGTGTATGACGAAGGGCTGAACCATGTCTCGATGGACGATCCAGCATACCAGCTTGTTGTCAACGCCAAATCATCATCAGAGGAAGCTCTCAATCATCGCTTTGATATCTTGGATAAACTATCACCGGATCTCCTCATGAATATTGTACCGCGTTTTGTGGGCAACGATCCATTGTCAAGTGATGAAGAGTATCCCTACTTGAACGTATCCAAGAGATGGCATCATCTTATTCCGCCAATCGCCAACTTTCATTTTATTATCAAGCAGCCTAAGACCTTGGATCAGGGACATGATCACCTCGTATCAGTATCGAGACATGTGAAGACATTAACACTCCAAAGCTGCCCAAAGACCATCAATCGATTATTTCAACGAGCATCTTTTGAAGCCTTGAGCCAATTGACAATCAAAGGTACGTGATTGTAGAGGGTTGGAGAATTAGATGGATGTTGACTTACATGTGTCATATTAGATTGCACGTTAGCCAACGAGGATTCCTTCTTGCTACTATTGCGTGCACTTGGCAAAAAGCTGACGCATTTGACCATATCCAAGTTGACATTGGTATTTAACTCAAGTATCAATCTACGATGGATTTTATTGGATTGCAGCTGTCCCAACTTGAAGTCACTCGACATTTCCAACGTCAACATTGTGATCAATTCATTGCCCTTTTATCCCAAATTGGAGGAGCTTTCGATCAACAACACTAGACAAAGCTTTGGAAAAGAGGCTGCTCAGGAGCTTTTATCATGTTTCCCTTCCTTGAAGTCACTAGCGGTGGACAAGTCAGTGGACTCGAGTGTGCTTACCATGGTACAGGAAAGGTGCCCATCATTGTATGACTTATGGTTTGGATCGTTACGTGCGCCCACTTTGATGTATCATGGAAATGGAGGGCTACATGATCTCGTGCTTGATCTGGATCGAAGAAATGGGGCGAACTATGCGGGAATGGTCGGATTATTGATGAAACATTGCCAGACCTTGATGGGATGCCGGTTATACCTTGGTCCTGTTGGGCCGAACCCTGGAGTATGTGATGTTGATTTACCTTCTGATGTCAAATTCAGCCGACTACACACGTTACACATTGCATCGTTTGAACAATTAGGCTGTCAACAATGGGATACCCGCCTATTTGAGTGGATCATTCAGCATTCATCGGATATCGAAAGCATTTACTTGTATGGCGTACCAGCGATTCGACCACAAATTATACAACCTCTACGCAAGTTTACATCCTTGAAACGTGCGATGTTTCATGTGGCCAGCGATGATCAGATTGACCCTATCCTACAATTTCTTATGCACCACCAATCTCTTGGCACAATGTCGATGTTACATCAAGTGGCCTTGTCTTTCCAACTATTCACAGTTAACTCGCACAGATTGTTTTCAACATTGGCGACGCTTCCAAAATTGCAAGTATTGAGGATAGAAGTCTTTGGAAATTCTTCAGCGGTCAATGTGGCCAACTTCATAACGGCTCTTGCTCGTGGTTGTCCCAATTTGGAATACATGGACTTGATTTTCCACCAAGGCATTCAACAAGGCGTTTTGAGTAGGTCCCACTTATTAAATCGTTAAAGATATTGCAATTGTTGACAAAGGAGCTCTCTGTTGGGGATGCAGATGCATTGGCAAAATGTGGTGGATGCGAAAAAGTGAGCTTGTATGGATGTACCTTTGCTCGTGGTACAACTCCTTTGCTGCAAATCACAACTCCTACTATTACCTATAGTAGCACCAAAATTGTTCCATTCTATCTAGTATAATTTGTATATATAAACATAGATCATTGTATGAAATTATGGAAGCCGCTGCACATGATGAATAATAATTCGTTCGCCCTACTATGCACAAGAAGGAAAGAGGAATGAGCTAGCTTAGTCCAAGTATGTAGGTACGCAATACGCAATGCATCCAGCTGCTGCATGGTCGTCTTCATCCATCGTGGTCGCCGTGGTCAAGGGAACCATCCAAAATACATAAAAGAAAAATGGGACCTTGCACGCTTCCTCTAGATGTCAACGAGATAATCATCATTTGTCAAGAGAAAGGTAAACCACTCTTGTCTGTGTCGTTGTCGTTACCAATGTTGTTGTGGACATCGTTGTAGTTGTCATCGTCGCCTCCACAAATAAAAGAAAGCAAATACGCAGACATCATGGGATCAAATCACCATCGATGATGCCATCACTTTCATAGCGCCAGGGCTCACTTTTGTTTCTATTCATCCTCTACAACAAAGAAAGAATGATTCCCCTTACCAACCCTCAAAGAATAGCCACCAACATGCATCACGTGAAAGCATAGCGATACGACGATCCAATCTCGCTTTATGACCTTCAATTTCTATTCCCCCCTTCAATCCAGAGACTAACCAAGTGATCCACACCTTGCCCATATGAGCTGATAGTATCATACTCCAGATATTACGTTGAATCCAATTTTCATTTAATGAAAAAGTCGAAGGAGGTTGTGTGCATGTCTATCGAGTACATATGATAAAGGAACAGGGTGCATCGCGTAGAGGGATAATGGTGTCATTGTATTCCTGGTTGCTGCTGTCATAGCCATCCTTCATCCAGGATTCGAACTAGCTGCTGCATGCATATCATCCATTGCTGTAGAACACCCTTCATCAAAGAGAAAAGAACTTTTGTCGATCCCACTCAATCCATTCATCATCCTCATCCGTATCCAAGTGATATGATTCATCCCTCCCAGCTGACGGCGGGACAAGTAACCAAAGCAACATTCCAGTATTTCTTTCTGATCACTGCACTTGATTGCATACATCCATCCATCATAACCATTGCCGTCTAACATGTTGATTGAAAGAGCCATGTGATCCCTGCTGATACGCTTCCTTTTCCATCCAGCTGCTGATTGACCATTTTCCATCGCAGCTCAACAAAGATTGCTTGTAGTGAGGTGTACTTGGTAGCTGATATGGCATCATCCACAAAGAAGTCGTTTGTACTGAAGCAAGTTGTTACACGTAAATAATGCTGGTTCTCGATGATGGCGATCTGCTGTCAACGTGAAAAGGATGTAAGGCTGCAAGTGAATACACTGCTTGAGACAATAAAGACCTTTGCTAATAGCAGCTGCTGTTAAGTTTGTTTGTGGCAGAGGAGCGTGCAAGAGTGTGTGTTGTAGTAGAGTGAAAAGACTGCGAGTGCTGTTTGAGACAATGGAGTAAAGACCTTGCTAATGGCAGCTGCTGTTACGATTGGTTGTGGCAGAGGAATGTGCAAGACAGCGTACTTACAAGAAGGAGTGCGTTGTAGTGGGGTACATACGCCATGGACCTGCCATTCAGGCAAAGGCATTTGGGTCAAGGCATTCGTAGCGTTGACATGATGGGTTGAAGCAGGACAATCGTTCGCAGGTGGTAGTTGTATACTTTAATGGGCCAATAGTTGAGAATGGGAGGAAGAGGGAATAAAGTGGGCGTGGAAGAAGTGGAAATTAAATAGGGCGGACACCTCTTGTATAAATGCATGTACCCTGTACATCAAACCTTGATATTGAGATTACCCCTCTCGAACCTGAAACTTTAACACGAGGTGCTTTTGAACATGCTGATCACGTTGATTGAAAAAAGACCTCATGTTTCATTACAAGAAATAGAATGGGAGGGTATTTTGTGGGTTTACTATGTAAGGCGGAAATGGAGGTCAGCCCCAGATTCATGTTTTATGGAAATAGTACGTATTACCTTGGGATTCCCCATCTGTAACCTGAAACTTTGTCAGAAGGTTCGCTGAGACCTGCTGATCAACTTCATTCATTTAAAAGTCGCAGACTTCATTATGAAGATTTAAAATGCGGGGTGGTCCAAATGGTAGATGACGTGAACAAAAGAGCGGACGGCCCACCGCCCCGAAGTCGCCCACCTCCAACTTGAAAATGGGTCAGAAGGGTGCTCCGAGCATGCTGATCAACATTTTTGTAATAAAAACTTCACGCTTCATTTGAAAATTTGGAATGAGAGCGTCCAAAAGTTTGAAAGACGGAGACATTCGCAGGGTCTGTCTTTCAAGAATTGATACATTCTCTGTTTGGGCGTAGCTCACTCAAATCAGCTCGGATCAAGACACTTGAATCATGGAAATGCATGTCTGGAGCAGGAGCATCGTTCCCATCGCGTAGATTTTGAAACAATGCTGATTGGATAAAAGTGGCTGTTAGCTGCCAATGTATGACTTGAAAATGAGCTATGCGTACCTGTCATGCATTGTCCCTGAGGACCGGACTTTTTAGCTGAATTACCCAAAGAGGTCCTTCGGCATCTTTGGCTCTCCAGGGTCTAGCTACTTGGCAATGAACAAAGACCACTTCTCATATAGCATCACGCTTACAAACATAAAGGTGCCTGTATCTTTAAACTTTACAATGAAACGTGGGGTTTTTATTAGAGCAATGGGCTCGGCTTGGCCAACAGCACCTTGTGTGAAAGTTTCAAGTTCATCGTGGCTAATCCCAGATTTCGCAATGTCGCCACCAGCCAAACTGGATCCAGGGGTCGACCTCTTCGACGACGACGACCAAAAAATATTTTTTGGGCTGTTTGCGACATTGAACGCGAAACTTTCACACAAGGTGCTGTTGGCCAAGCCGAGCACATTGCTCTAATAAAAACCCCACGTTTCATTGTAAAGTTTAGAGATACAGGCGTCTTTATGTTTTACCTATGCTGTAAGCGTGATGGAGTTGCTTTTTCCTAGTGGATGGCGTCGGCTGCATTAACGGAAAGATGGAGAGCTGAGTGAAACCGCACGTGGTGGTTACACAGACACGTCCTTGACAGGTTGCTACACAGATGGATGATGATGATGATTACCTTTTGTGAAGGTACGTAAGTAAAACAGCATCCAACCATGAAGGTGTGTCAAGGTATGTATCACTTTTACATGTAGGAGAAGGTCGAGCTGCATAAACCAATTTGTATATGTAAAAAGATACGTATACATATTGAATGAGCCACTCCTCCTGAAACTCAATGGAGGGATCTCTTCACTTTTTCTCTTCTCAAGCTCATCCCACTTCCCACTCCTCCTTATCGCATCACAAAAGCCATGTACTTCTTGCATGACCGATAACCGGACCACCTTTATTATTCCATCTTCGAAGCAATAGTATGTAATCCACAAGCTAGCAAAGTCCAAGCGTGTAATAAACAAACAATGCTTTATTTCATCTAACTATCTTGCTACATTGCCACAACCATCGTCGTAGTCGTCGTCCGTCATCGTTCGTACTCGTACTCGTGCTCGCCAGTAGGCGTCAATCTCATCGTCACCCAATATCCAAAAAATACACAAGTTGAAAAGAATGGGATCTTGCGGGCTTCCTTTTGAATCTCGTTGTCGTCATCATTGTCATTGTTGTGAATGTGGTAATCATCGTAATCGTCGTCTCTACAAATAAGAAAACAGGCAAGTTAGACCATCTGGTACCGGATTGATGACGATTTGGATACCGTTAGGCGATCCTCTCTAAGGAAGAAAGCAAATCAGAAGGAATTCACAAACCAAATCATCATCATATGAGCAACGTCGGGCGATCCCTTATTCTTGAGAAAGCACTGAACGAATTACGAAAGGCCAATTCAATCCATGGCAAGGAAGGATTCATTTACGTAGAGTCCAGCCTCATCGTTATCCTCATACATCCTCTCCAAGAAAGAATGATCCCCAATCCTTCCAATCATTTCCCACCTCTTGAAAAGAAACCCTCAAGGGAAAGACGAGCCTATCACGAGAAGAGCGTGCTGGTTCGCACTGATGTCAACACATTCACAGCCGGGGCGACTACAAGTTCAAATTGCATTTATTAAGGTGGCAACTCATGGGCAGTACAACAAACTTGAATTCAAGAATGCGCGAACGTAACTTCATGGAAGGCAAGTCGGCCATGACCTTTGCTTGAATTGTGGGTGTGTGTGCATTGGGGTCTTGGACATTGAACGCTAATCGAATATACCTTTCTTGGGCACGTTCCAAATGCTTGATATTGGTGGTGTGTGCGATGGCAAGGCCATATTCAATGACTGGACGAATGAACGTACGATACAGCCTAAGAGATACGCCAAGACCAAACGCGTACTTGTGTGCACCAAGATTGTGGAGCAGACCCATTGCTTGAACACCCTTTGTTGCTGAAGCTTGCACCGTTCGAGTGACATCAATGCCTTTGCCTGTGAAAATGATACCAAGATACTTGAAGTACGTGACTCTTTGCAGTTCTTGACCGTATAAACGATATCTTGAGGAAGAACTTGCATTAAGGATGGTACATTTAGGTGGGCTCCAGCGATAACCATACCGTTCAGAATGAAGTTGTGCCAGCACAAGCAACATCCTTACTTCGGCTGTTGTACCAATGATTGCGACATCATCTGCATAAAACAGGATATTGGTGGTGATACGTTGGTATGTGCGACGAGCGGGATCCCTCAATGTGTGGTGATCAAAATCTTGCAATTGAAATTCACTCACATCATTGGTTGCCACTGTAGAGACCAAGAGAGATGGTGATGCTTGATATTCGCTGCTTTCCAAGCCAAGGCGTAATTGACGAGGGAGACTATCGATGAACACCGCATACAGGATGGGACTCAGGATTGATCCTTGCAACACACCTCGACGTGGACGTATCGTACGAGACTCGTAATCTGACTCGTAATCTGGGGCGACTACAAGCTGTTGCAAATCCCCTTTTACATCAACACGGTGACCATGCTCTTCCAAAAACCCATCGTCATCGACCCATCAACTCAAACGCAGGCCAATAGAGCCCTGGACGCGTTCCAAGATGATTTTCCAACAAATGGCCACTTGATACAGGCTGGGACTTGAACCCAAAAAGATGATGATGCCCCAAGTTGCATTGCCTGACCAAAGAAACCTATTCAATTCATTATTAGCACACACGCACAACAAACACCCTTTTCATTGTTTGTTTCATTGTACTTGCCTTTTCCATATACACAAAGACCTGTTGTTGTTGGTTACTGGAAACCGAAAAGCCATGGTGGGGTGTTGTTGAGCCGAAACAAAACGCCAAATCAGCCAGCACCTTGAAACCAAACTTGCCCTCTATACAAGCTAACACGTCAATGGAACCAGTTCGGCTGCAACATTGGGCTCTGAATGTACCTGTTGACACCAAGCGTAGAGCGGGAATAGCAACGAACAAGAGGAAGCAACAATATCGCCATGGCAACAACCAACCACCCACCACGCTCATTCCCTAGCCATTGGACACGCTCACTCCCTGACAATGCATGTTCAGAACTATATTAATGTCACAACCAACAACAGCACTCTTTTGTAATACATTACCTTGATCGAGATGTCGTGATGGGATAAAAGCGGAGGAGGGAGAAAGAGAAGAGAAGCGTTGTCTCAAGTCGTGGAGCTGCCGTGCCCATATTTAAATCCCCTACTGCTATTACACTGAGGCCACTCAATTACCCTATAGACATTCACCCATCATGATCACCACCCTCACGATTGACATTAGGTACACGTAAATAAAAGAAATGATCCTCACGTATAGTAAAAGGGTGTGTGCCATTTTACACTTTCACGATAATGATGATCCAACAACAGCCATTACCTTACTACCAGGTTAGCTCGGATCAAGAAAGTTGAAGGATGGGAATGCTGGGCTGGAGCAAGACAATTGTTCGTATGCATTGGATTGGATAACAAAGGCGAATGGGAGGAATGGGCTGCTAGCTGGCACTTTACAAATAACTTTCAAAATGATTTTTCTCATATCGGGCGATACTTCTGTGTTTGAGCGTTTTTCAGTCAAATCCTTTCGGATCACGAAAGTTGAAGGATGGGGATGATGGGCTGGAGTAGGAGAATCGTTCACACGCATTGGATTGGGAAACAAAGGTGATTGGGAGGAATGGGCTATCAAGTGGCAGTTTACAAATAACTTACCAATTTGATTCTTCTGATATTGGATGATGTTTCTGTGTTTGAGCATTTTTCAGTCAAATATCATCGGATCAAGAAAGTTGAAGGATGGAGATGATGTGCTGGAGCAGGACAATCGTTCACATGCATTGGATTGGACAACAATGGAGAATAGGAGGACTAAGGTTATTAGCTGGCATTTTAAACTATTCCTAAATAGTGTACAAGAATCATGCATCGCCTGTGCTGAACGACTCAAGTTATACAAACACGCCCTCTGCATCTTTTGCTCTATTATAGTCATACTACTTTACATTAAACAAAGACCACTTCTCATATAGCATCACGCTTACAACATAGTAAAAACATAAAGGTGCATGTATCTCCGAACTTTACAATCAAACGTGGGGTTTTTTTTAGAGCAATGTGCTCGGCTTGGTCAACTGCACCTTGGGTGCCAGTTTCACGATCAAGCTTGCCAATCCCAGATTTCGCAATGTCGCTACCAGCCAAACTGGATCTGGGGGTCGACCTCTTCGACGACGACGACCAAAAAAATATTTTTTGGGCTAGTTGCGACATTGAACGTGAAACTTTCACACAAGGTGCTGTTGGCCAAGCCGAGCCCATTGCTCTAATAAAAACGCCATGTTTCATTGTAAAGTTTGGAGATACAGGCACCTTTATGTTTGTAAGCGTGATGCTATAAGAAGAGTGGTCTTTGTTCATTGTCAAGTAGGTGGACCCTGGCAGAGCAAAAGATGCAGAAGGACCTCTTTGGGTAACTCAGCTACTTTGCATGAAAGAAAGGGTCAATGTATAATTACTTTATAGATCATCTAGGAACAGGCATGTATTGCTAGCTAACGGCCACTTTTATCCAGTCATCATTGTCGCGAGATTCACTGCATGGGAACGATGCCCCTGCTCTAGACATTCATTTCCATGATTAAAGTAGGTTGATCCGAGCTGATTTGTCTGAGCTGCGGTCAAAGAGAGATTACATCACTCTGCACATAAAGCACGCTCGATGTAGCTCAACCGATGTAATCTTGTGTGAGCGTAACTCAACCAAATCAGCTCGGATCAACCTACTTTAATCATGGAAATGAATGTCTAGAGCAGGAGCATCGTCCACCTACAATAGAAGGCAGAAAAGTTGGGAATGCACAAAAGTGGCTATTGGCTGCCAATGTATGACATAAAAGTGAGGGTTGCGTACCTATCATGCATTGTCCCGGAAGTCCTGACTTTTTAGCCGAGTTACCCAAAGAGGCCCTTCTGCATCTTTGGGTCTCCAGAGTCTAGCTACTTGACAATGAACAAAGACCACCCTTCATATAGCATCACGCTTACAGCATAGTGAAAACAGAAAGACAGTCATATCTCTAAACTTTACAATGAAACGTGGGTTCTTTAATAGAACAACATGCTCGGCGGGGTGAAAGCGATCTTGTGTCAAAGTATGAAGTCCATCGTGGCCATTCCCAGTTGTATCTCGTTCCTAACACAACCCCCGTTGGTTCCGCTTCAACTCGTTCAGATGTGGTTGGTCTACCCAAACCGCGCTTTATTTTCAGATATAATAAAAAACAAAATTTTTCTCTATGAACCTCTTTAGATCTTCTCAAGCCGCGCATCGTGGTATTTGGTTATGAATCTTAATGAGCTATCCCAACAGCAACTGGCATCCATCCTACGATCCACAGCAGGAACAAAGGATGATCCTCTACCGCTCCCAGAACCAATCATCGACGAATTGGAACAACTTAACGAGGAAGACTGTGCGACCCTGGTCCACAAATTTCCCAAAGCCCTCTTACACTATGAAGGACAAAGCTGGACCCAATGTGGTGCGATCAATTCTATCTTCATGGACCGAATCAAGAGGTTCAAGATGGATGGCAAACAAGTCGTCCAAGCAAAATACAAAGACAGCGAGCGATTGCGAACAGCAGCCAGAGCCACAACAGAGCTATTCGAAGAGCTCAATGACATTATTAACAACCCCAACACTGATGTCAAAGAAGAACTTATGGGCTTACAAGAGAAAATCAAGCAATTGGCAATCTACACATTTGCAGCAGCAAAGACAATCGACATCGATGCCAAAGCCATTGCTGAAAAAGCCCTTGGACTCCACACTGACCGAACAGTCATTGACAGGGATTTGGCATTCTCATCAGAAGAAGTGGAAAAGATTCAAAAGAAGCTGTTTGAACAAAGACTCACCAGTTTGGCCACAAGACAACAATCGGGAAACGGATTCAGGGGAGGACGTGGATATGGAAGAAGCCGAGGTGTCAAGTCCTTCCCAAATCGTTACACCAATCGTCCATGGACAAACAAGTTTGCAAACCACCATTCAGACAGCACCACCACTTCCAACAACACCAACAACCAATGATCACTCCACAACCCAACATGACAACAACAGCCTATTCTGCTCCTTGCGATAGCCTACCATTGGGAGGTCGTCTCCAGTACTTTGTCCACAACTGGAAAAAGCATGTGCATCATCAATGGGCAGTATCAGTGGTCGACAAGGGTTATCAGCTACAATTGTCTCAACAACCGATCCCATGGTGGTCGGGGAAAGAGACTTTGAACGAAGCAAAGTTGCGGGAGTTGGATCCAGTGGTGAACCAATTTTTGGCGAACAAGATAATAGAGGTGGCACCGATTCAGTCACACGATTTTTTGTCCCGCTTGTTTTTGTTGCACGAGAAAACGAAGGTACGACCTATCTTGGATTGCACAAAGATCAATCAATTTATTCAACTCAATCATTTCAAGATGGAAGGCGTGCCTGCCTTGAGGGAATTGGTGGAAGAAGGCGACTATTTGGGCAAAATCGATTTGAAGGATGCGTATACGGTGGTCCCAATTGCTCAAGATTCACGAAGATATTTGACATTCAGACATCGAGGGGTGGTGTATCAGTACCGCTCCCTTCCATTTGGAGTGAGTGCAGCGCCAAGGTTGTTCACAAAGATGATGCGTTATGCGTTGGAGCCAATGAGAGAGAAGGGCATTCGCTTGGTGTATTACCTGGACGATATTTGTATCCTAGCCAAATCACGTCAACAGTTGGTGCAACATTGTACCAGGATTATGCATCATTTACAAGACCTGGGTTTTATCATCAATCACGTGAAGAGCGATACGGTACCCAAGATACAACAAGATTTTTTGGGATTCACGTTCAATACCAAGGAGATGATAATGAGAGTGCCCAAACAGAAGTTGGAGAAATTACACATGAGGATTCATCAAGCTTTGAGGAAAACATACTCGTGCAGATGGATAGCAGCTCTTTTGGGGAAAATGACTGCAACGATCCCGGCAGTAGGCGAGGCCTTGTTGCGAATTCGCTTTCTTCAGAGGGATCTAGCAAAGGCGTTACAAGGCAAACACCATCGATGGGAGAGTCCTTGTCATCTATCCGTGGAGAGCAAGAAGGAGCTGACTTGGTGGTTAGAGAGCCCTTTGACCACGAAGGGATTGCCAATCAGGCGTCAGATGGATCCAGATCCACAGGTAGTGATATACGTGGATGCATCCAATACGGGATGGGGCGTAGCAAGCGATCACGTGGAGACCCATGGCTTTTGGAGCAAGGATCAACAGACCAAATCAATCAATGTCAGGGAGTTGACGGTGATTCTTTATGCTCTATTACTCCACTTGCCAAGATACGCAAACTCACACATCCTAGTACGATCCGACAATGTCACAGCTCTCAAGTATGCAACCAAGGCGGGTGGTACAGCATCCAAGGATCTTCAACTTCTAGCCTTACGGATTCAGGAGTTATGCCACCAACATGCAGTGACCCTATCTTGTCGTCATATTCAAGGGATTACCAATACCAAGGCCGATGCTCTGAGTCGAGTTCAAGTGCCAACTTACGAGAAAACGTTGCCATGGAACCTATTTCACAAGATTCAGAAGAGATGGCCACACGTGGAATTGGTGATAGATGCATTCGCATCAATGACGTCAACTCGCCTGAAGAGGTTTTGGAGCCGTCATCACGATCCATTAGCGGAAGCAACGGATGCTTTTATCCAACAATGGCCAACGACAGGCTTGTATCTGTATCCTCCGTGGAGGTTGATTCCGAAAGTGATGAGGAAGCTGATTCGAGACAAGGTCAAGCAAGCAATAATCATCACTCCCACATGGCCGACTCAATTTTGGTGGCCAATGATGTTACAGCATACACAAACACGACCATTACGACTCAAGGAATCGAGCACCTTTTCAGTGACCGCATGGCTCTTCTCAGGCACTACCATACACAATTAGGTGTATCCGAGTCTTTGCAAAGGTTTTTGGAGGGTCATTTGCGAGAGAATACTATACGTCAATACAATGGAAAGTGGCGAATATGGGTCGAATGGTGTACAGCTCAACAGCCTCCGATTCATCCTGTTCATCCTACTGTCATTCAAGTGGTGGAATATCTCAAGGTCAACCGTGCATTCGCATCATCAAGTCTAAGACAAATGCACGCTGCCATTGCTTCGGTGTTCGATCTATATAACCCCAAACAAGCTCCATTGGCAGCACACAAGGTGGTCCAAAAGTTTTTTCAAGCCAAACAGAAGACTACGTTGGAGGTTCCTCGTTCACAGCAACCTGCTTGGGATCCAATCTTGGTACTTACGTTGTTGCGTTCATGGGGTCCTTCTGATCAACTTGATTTGCCACAATTACAGAAGAAAACGTTGATGCTTTTGGCACTTGGGACTTTTGCTAGGCCAAGGAATGAATTGGGGAACCTGCGTTATGAGGATGTTCAAGTTTGCAAGGATCCGAATACCGGTGTGGCAACAGGTGTCGAATTACTTTTCCGATGGCATAAGACTGGTTCAGCAAAGAAGAGTTTTTTGGGTGTTGTGGAAGATAAGGAACAATGTCCGGTCACGACTTTACTGTTATTCATCGACAAGACCATGCATTTGCGATCGGGTTTACCTTCCAACCATACACTTTTCTTGAAATATCTCATGAAACCAGAGAGAGTGGGTTCTGTATCGGAAAAAACTGTGGCCGAATGGATCAAGGACATGTTGGAGCAAGCAGGCATTGACATCAAGAAACATACACCTCATTCTGTGCGATCAGCAGCAAGTACCAGGGCATCCGCTCGAGGCGTTCCCAATGACAAGATTAAGGACCATGGCCATTGGAGTCGATATACAGACACATTTGAGCGTTATTACCTTCGTCCTGCGGATCCACACGCTACTTCAAGACATATTACGACAGCCATCTTGGATACGGAGAACGAAACCACATCTGAACGAGTTGAAGCGGAACCAACGGGGGTTGTGTTAGGAACGAGATACAACCTTACCGTTGGTGGAGCTGAGACGAGTGATGATGTGGTTGGGTCCCGCCCTTGGTCTTCCTTATGGAATTGGTTTTCCCTCCCTTCATAACAAGATGTCTGCCGTTCCAATATTGCTTCGTTGAGAAGATCTAAAGAGGTTCATAGAGAAAAATTTTGTTTTTTATTATATCTGAAAATAAAGCGCGGTTTGGGTAGACCAACCACATCATCACTCGTCTCAGCTCCACCAACGGTAAGGATTTCGCCATGTCGCCACCAGCCAAAGTGGTTCGACCTCTTGAATTTTTTTTCCACGACTACGAAAATATTTTTTGGCTGGTAGCTACATTTGCGAAATCTGGGATTGGCCACGATGGACTTCATACTTTGACACAAGATCGCTTTCACCCCGCCGAGCAGCTTTGTTCTATTAAAGACCCCACGTTTGATTGTAAAGTTTTGAGATACAGGCACCTTTATGTTTTACATATGCTATAGGCGTGATGGTATAGGTATATGAATACTGGCCTGTTTTGATTGTTGATCGTCTCGACCCTATTATGACCAATCATGCAAAAGGACTACTTTGTGTAACAAAGCAGAAGAGGTGGGACTGGGGAGGGTCAAGCCTGCATGATGATTTCTTGCCAGGGACCACCTATAGTGAAGTGTGTCTATGGTAGCCGTTTCGAAGGATTTTCACGTTAACCATGACATGGCTCATAGGTCATAAATGATCAGTGGAACTGAAAGTACCTCGTATTAAAGGATAGGTGTAGGTGTGGCAGTGATGTTGTTTATCTTCAATGAACACATCATAAGGGCATTCGCTCTCATAGTAAGGTTGTACAATGTAACGCTTACGATAGGATATACTAATTTATGTGTCCATGTCACATTGTATCAAAGTTTTTCCTCGTTCTTGAACATAATGAATTAAGCTTAATGAACCAAGCATCTGTAACAAGCACTATTGTCGGGCATCATCACACTGATTTTATTATATATACAAGCGTTTTAGTGTACAAAGTTATGAATGGCCACTGCCCAATCGTATAGCTAGCATACGAACGAGGAAGCTCTGAGCATTGTGATGAGACAAAGGATCAAAGGCGTCTCGATACGGTGATATAAGTGGATCAATTGCTATTCCCCATTCAATCCACTTCACTGAACCATCGTCAATCCCAAAACCAATCACGTAATTGCAACTATGAGCTGCTAGTACAATGTTCTAACTTTTATGTTGAAGCCAGTATTCATTCAATAAAAGTCGTAGGCTATGATATGAGAGAGTGGGTGTTTGCAGGTAAATACAATAAGGAACGACATCAGCAAATTGTATAAGTAGGGGTGGTCCATCTATAACAAAAGGGTGCCATTGTGTCATTGTATGCGAGGTTGCTGCCATCATAATCATTAATCATCGAGGATCCGAAAGCAGCTGCTGTGTGCCTGGACACCATAATTCCGATATCTTCCATCATCCATAGAGGTAAAACGCGCTTCGTCAAAGATTCAAGCCCTGCCATCCAGTCCTTCATCATCCTCAGCGATATCCTTGTGATTGATCCATCCTCCTTGTTGGCAACGTGACAAAGAATCAAAGCAACATTCCAGGATTCACATCGCTGCACATGGCTGCATCCATCCATCCTAACCGTTGCACGTCCACTACGTCGATAAAAAGACCCTTGTGATCGCTACTGATATGCTTCTTTTCCATTCAGCTGTTGGTCAATCCCTTGCTTGGTCATTTGTATCACAGCTCAACCGGTTGATGAAGATTGTGTTGCGGCGTACTCGGCGGCTGATATGGCATCATCCAAACTGAAGATTGGGTAGTGCGACGTCAATCAACGATACATACATATTGTTAATCACCATTTCTTAATCAACAAGCACATCGGATCTCTAGTGTACCTTGATTAATGGGTGAAACATGATACAAAATCTCCTGTAACAGTGTGTTGTTAACAATGACGCGTCTACTGCTGGATGAAAGGATTGATGGTGATGATGATCGTATCACATAGTTGTTGTATAATGGCTAAAACTGATTGACGTGCTGCTGCAGTATCAAACCAGGAAAACCTCTCTTGACACTAGTTGCTCGTCGTCATCAACCTTGAAAGAGAACTCGAGCCTTCGATTCGTTGCATTCACAAGAGTGTCGAAGGTGCCATGTACGCGCTGTCACCGTGCGAGAACAAATCGTAGTGAAGAAGGTGTCGTGGATGCCATTGTCCAGTTCAGTGAAATGCAGTTGAAGAGGAAGAGAGTACAAGTGAAAGAGAGCACCAAATTTTAATCTGCCCAAGTTGCTTTATTCCATCACCCCTATGTGACACGACTCCTTACTCTAACGCAGAGAGCCCTGCTTACTCGCACGTGATAAACGTCATCTTCAAGTACTTACAAAGAAAGCCTTGCTCCACAACATTACCTTGACATGTGCTAATAAAGGCTAATACCGAAAGATAGCTATTAAAGAGACTGCTTGCAGGTAGATGATTCCAACACCATTGAAACGGTATCCTTGACAACCATAGTCATAAGATGATCCAATGTCCTGGTGTACCAGAGACCGCTTGACTGCTTCCAAGAAATCCACCCAAAGCCAAATAGTCATCTTCGCCTTTCAAAACAATAGGACTTGACATTGACAACTTTAGGGAGACCAAATAGACCTTCATGCACCAAGGAGCACGCAAAAGATGGTTTGATGGAATGATCGACCTATGAATGCGCATGCCACTAATTTATCTTTGAGATAGTGGGAACAATACGTAGTCAAGACCATATGGAAAGATATAATGCTTGATGCCTCCCAATACCCGAAACCAGTTTCCTTGCTGCAGAGATGTCCATACGATGACGAATGCTGATAGCCGTTCTCCATAGGAAGGGGTGTTGGCTGATGATGATTTCCCTGGGCGATCGATACACCTTGATAGCACCAAAAGACTCACACACATTGTAGCTTGTTGCTGATGTGTAAGTGCACTTGCATGCGACACATCCCATAATGATCACTTACCTTGTGCTACTTCAATAGTATCCTTGCCTCAAACAAAATCCGTATCTCCATGACACCATATCTCCATGACAACCATACCATGCTGCTGCTATTCCATTGTAAAGTTCGTTATTTGATAGCACTTGTATTGTAGATCCGAAGATATGCATACCAATGAATCTCCAAAGGAAGGGAGCGATGCTGGACGATGAAGGCCATGAGCGATGGATAAACCTTGATAGCACCAAAAAGACGCATGGCATTGTTGCTTGTCGCTGCTGTGATACACCCATAAGAGAGTTGCGCTGCTGAATGCTCTTGAAAGCTATTGCCCGATAGTGGGAACCACCAGAGGATCGAGTAAATGTTGTTGACAATAAGATATGAGCCCTGTTGCTGATTGCTGCCTCGTGATTGCTGCTGATATGATCCACCGATAATACGTATGCGTAGCAGGATATCCATCGAAAGGATTGTCGACAACCATAACCGCAGTCAGACAAGACAAAGCTTGGCGACACCAAAAGATATAGAAGTTGCTGCTTGTTGTTTCAGATGCACATAAAAGCAAATGACCAGTACTTGGTAATGAGAATAATCCAACGATGTAATAAGGCCGGTTGATTGAAAGATGCCGTAGACGTTGCTCGTTGATCCAGGAATGATTCACCTATAAAGATGCACGTTAAACAATTTTCCAAACTCATAAACGATACTTTACCATGATAGCTGCATCCATGACAAGTCTAAAGGGCCGTCAGACAAGTAGCTTGAGGAACAGCCCACATACTACAATAAAAGAGGAGGTTGGTAGGCGTTGTACAAAAGAACGGATCATCATTTACTGTACCAAGCCATAAGCACAAAAACCTGCCGACATCCAAATCAAGCCGTTACTTTGCAATGGTCCACTTGATAAGATAGGCTACGTTGGCACTCGGATTGTACTAAGCGATCGAACGATACCTGGTAGTCATATGCAGTGAGAAGATCGAGTAATGTTGGCGACGCGAAAGATAACATACTTCCATGATGAAGAGAAGTCGACACAAAGCTGAGGTTGGTGATCACTTTTCAAAGAATGGAACCGTCCCTGATAGGCAAAACCATACGAAAGTCGATTAAGCATTTTGCCACCGAAAAGCTTTGCTGAAGAGGAGTCCATACAAAGGCGAATGCCGACAATAGAACACTGCTGGATAACCAAAGTCATATCAAAGCCGAAAAAGAATGATGCCACACGTACGCTGTTGATTGTTGCTGATACAGTATGATCCACCGTAAGAGACGTGAGCCGGCAGATAACCATCAAACGAGCTGTTGATAACGAGAACCACATGACGGAGTAAAGATAGCTGGCACCAAAAATACATATTGATGTTGCTCCTTGCTGTTGATACAATAACATTCTTGACGTCCCAGTGATACGGTCGAGGAAAAGCCTTCTTGATCCTGTTATTGCACATCTTCCATGTAAGTGCACTTGCATGCGACACATCCCATAATGAATACTCTTACCTTGTAGTACTTTATTGGTATCCTTGCCTCAAACAAAACCTGTATCTCCATGCAATCCGCGTCTCCATGCAGCGCATTTCCATGACAACCATGCCATGCTGTTGCTATTCCCTATTGTAAAGTCCGTTATTTGATAGCACTCGTACGGTATATACAAAGCTACACATACCAATGAATTTCCAAAGGAAGAGAGCGATACTGGGCTATGAATGACTTGAGCGATGGATAAACCTTGACAGCACCAAAAAGACACGTGACATTGTTGCTTGTTGCTGTTGTGATACACCCATTAGAGACATGCGCTGCTGAATGCTCTTGAAAGCTATTGGTCAATAACGAGAATCACCAGAGAATCGAGTAAACGTTGCCGACACTGACGATGTAGATCCTGTTGCTGATTGCTGCGTCTTTCTTGTTGCTGATATGATCCACCGATAACAGGTATGCGTAGTTGGATATAATCAAAGGATTGGCGTCCACCTTGGAGTGATGTATAGATGACCTTGGTACTACATACTAAAGATGTCGACGTTGGCTCTCATTGCTTGTTGATAACATGATCCATCCATAAGAGACGTTTACTGGCAGCCGTACATCAAAGGTATTGTCGATAACCAGAACCACCAGAAGATGAAAGCTTGCTGACACCAAAGGCATACAAATTGCTCCTTGCTGCTGGCGTGATCAATTGTTAAGAGATCTTCATTTCTGGATGCCACCGAATCACCGATAACGAGAAGCACCAGATGATAGGATAAAGCTTGATATGACACCAACAATATGGATGCTGTTTCTTGTTGCTGATACAGTCCACTCATAAGAGACGTGCAATGGCTGACAATCTTCAGAGAAATCGCCCGTTGCTTGGTATAGTAACCAACCACCAGAGATGCAAGAAAGGTTGCCACCGCCAAACGATATAAACACTCTTCCCCATGGCTGACATGATTCAACTATCAATGATGCACCATTAACAATTTTCCTATCCCATCCAATAGTACTTACCAATCATAGCTGTGACCTTGTAAACTTCAACAAGACACCAAATGACAAGTAGCTCTCTGCTATAGCCCACAACTATAATACAATAACACGTTACTAGGTACATTAAACAATAGCAAGAACACTTACCAATATCAACCATAGGATATCCGAATAAACCCGATCCCAGCAAATGCACGTTGCGTGTTGTAAGATAACCTACCTCGATAAGATACACACCCGTTTTCCATAGTACTAGAACGATACTTACCAATGATGACGACAATGATAACGTAGTATAAGCCTTGGCCATAAATATACGCTGCTTGCAGTGATGTATCTAAATAAGAGACGTTTCAGCAAAGTTTTCCAAAAAGCATACCAATCATCCATACCAGAACCTCAGTGATCACATAGACTTGGAACCAAATAGGCCATCCGATTGAAATGTAATGATAAAATGCCACGCCAAGAAATGTCAAAGTACCAGTACTCTCCTCTAGCTCACTCCAAAAGGACGTGGATCAAAACACCAGATTTAACAGAGACCATGGGCCCTTCACCAGCCGACTTTGAACCACAATGAGCCGTGGATCCCGCATGCTGTGCGTCAATAGAGATAACCATCTTCTCTCTAAAGGCGAGGAAATCAATAGCCATAGAACGATGGAGCCGTGCGAACAGAGGATGCATGTTTAAACCCTGAGGTGACAACTTGAGTCGCACTGTTTCCGCTAGCACAACATGACCGTCTCCCCTGGAAAGTACAGTACAATGACATCCTTGACGTGCTGTTTGAAAATAATAATATCGCCGAAAGAGAGCCTATTGCTTTCGTCAATGTACTTGAAGGTAACAAATCCTTAGGCAATGCACTTTACGTTGAGGTATTCACAATACCATTCCATTGATGCTTGCAAATAACCTTGTATCCATCCGATCCGGTATGTGATGCTGCTGTTTCATGATGTGGTTGGTTAATCACGTGGCCCTGATTTGTAGATCCAACACCATGCATACCATTGAGCCAACGTATAGCGTTCTTGCCTTGAGATCCGTATCCTATTGCTGCCAGAGGTACCATCATCCAACATGTCCAACCTATCATAAACGCAATGTGAGATAACAACGAAAACCAAGCTAAACGCGCTTTCTTGTGAACGTACACAAAGGAGGAGACATAAAGGCTTCTTGTTGTGGACAACCCAGGAATGAATACAGGCGACGCCCCCATTAGATCTTGTATAAGCGAGAGAACAGCAACCTACACACGCACTTTAGTACCACAATGTCCAACTTGAATAGTAAAAGAGCTGCAGCGATTGACCGTACCTGTTGGATGGCAATGGAAGCTTGGAACATGGGTAGATCGCGCGCGTACTTGTTTTAGCTGGAAGTGTCGCAATTAACCACCTGTTCACCCATCTAGATGTTGCATTAAGGAGAGTGGAAGGAGTTAATGAGCTGTAGTTCGTTAATGGAGAGTGTCTCACCTTGAATGTGTAAAGTGGGAGTGGAGAAGGTGAAGGTGTGCTCTTTTTGGTTCCTCTTGTCCTGGATACAGACACCCCGCTTCCCATAGTTACTCTTGTGAATGCATGCACACCTATCTACCTCGATCAGTATGAATAGCTACTAATCCCTTGTTATGATCTCTATGACAAAAAGTGACACCAGCCTTGGTTATGCAGCCAAACTCCTGAACTTGGAACAGCCAAGGTGTAATCCTGCATCAAATGTGGACGTGTAAGTAGTCAAAGATGGTATACATGTATGAATCCATTGTCTCTATCATCATGGATAGCTTCCTCATCAATCGATTGTTGTGTTTGGAGAACCAACACTACCCAAGATTATCATCGTCATCCATTTATGCAACATGTCAACAACATGTGTAACCTATTTCACCTTCTCCGTCAGTCCGACTACTCGTACTGTGTATGACAACATGTACCTAAAGAATAAAAACTACACTACAGCTGTAAATCTCCCAAGATGCTACTATTTGGGAAATGTGAAATTGAACGTAGTCATCTGCTCTCATCCACCCAAAGTAAAGGACCACCATCATGATACTGTAATGGTCCACTTCTAAATACAAAATGATTTACAGGCAGCTGGTATTGTATAATGCTTCAGAGAGACAAAGGGTGCTATGTTTTTAATCATCATCATCATCATACACGACATCTGCCATACAAGTAACATCTAATGGTGTTCATGTAACTTAAGAAAGAACCAGTGGTATTGCGTATTTTAAGAGCCACCAACAGTTAAAAGCTTTTGGTTTCTCTACGAGAAGGTTTATGACTACCAGTGGTCGTACCACTACCGGAAGTTGCTCCACTGCCAGAAGCTGCTCCACCATTAGAAGATGTGCCACTACCGGAAGTTGCTCCACTGCTAGAAGCCCTTCCAAAGGCATCTTGAGCAGTTGAAGCATCTGCCATAGCATGATGATGTGTTGCTTGATCGGACATGCTTTGTTGCTTATTATTGGTAGAAGTCATTCCGGTACCAGGTAGTGTTGTAACGTGATCATCTTGAACCTTGCCACGATTATTAGCTCTGCTGTGAGTCCCTCTCACTGGTACAGCATCTGCCGTATGCATATGGATAGCAATGACAAGAACAGCAATAAAAAGCGCTGTACGGAAACGCGTGATGTCTTGAAAGATGAAGAATGTCAATAATACTGAGATCCTATGGAAGACGCGTCCTTTTTAGATGTGGTGAGCAGAAAGTTTCTTGGGGCACATACATGAGAAATCGATGGTATGTATCAAGCCTATGTTGTCTTGGGTCATCATCTCATAGCATGCATCATCATGCAGTTTACTCTTCTCTCATCTATCACACAAAATGGCGTATATGGAGGAATCGTACGCATTAGCGCTGGATGCGAACTCCCCCTTAGTTCGATCTTTATATGCTGTGTGTTGATCAGCCGCTACAGATTTAGGCAGCTTGTGCATCACAAAAGCATTTTTTGGTAGATCCACATTACATTTCGTTCATTTCCCTTGTACTGGTAGTACGATTTTAAAATAGGATGATGAGCCAACAATACATAAATACGGTCCATAGATCCTAGTTATCGAGCCTAAAATGTATGCCATACAACTCCTGGATCAAAGGACACATGTGAATAATACAGCACCAGCTACTCTGTATGAGAGAAAAAGTCATTGCATGGTTGTAAATAACCATGGATCATGTGCATTCAATAAAAAGGCGATTGTTCGCATCACGTACAATACAAGGTAATGGCGATGATGTTTGGGATCATCACACAACATTTATTATCAAGCAACGTAGTTTAAACACCAGGTTGATAAAACCAAATGCATCGTTGCTATGTAGGCTAAAATGTTGTCAAGGATACGGTTGGGCTGAGAGACTGATCTTTCGGGGTAACCTCTTTGCCCCTCTTTTACCCTGCCCACACAACCTGAGCGGCCATGACATGGGATGCCGGCAAACAGCTTTTGGAAACGCTGGCATCAGCAGCAGCCAAAGGACACCATGAGCAAGTCTTAGAGGAATCGACAGCAGCTTGTAACCAATTAGTCCAGCTTTATATGGGCTTCCTTGATTTGCGTTCCAAAACACGAGCGATCCGAGGCGAGTTTGACACAGCACTTGACGACGCAGCTACAATGCAGCAATTGGCTCCAGCATCAGCCTTGGGTTATTTGCGTGGTGGATACATTTATGATATGCGTGGATTAAGGCGAGAAGCGATACGCGTGTATGACGAAGGGTTGAGCCATGTCGCTATTGACGATCCAGCATACCAACTTGTTGTCAACGCCAAATCATCATCAGAGGAAGCTCTCAATCGTCGCTTTGATTTTATGGATCAACTACCACCAGACATCCTCATGAATATTGTACCGCGTTTTGTGGGCAACGATGCATTGTCAAGTGATAAACAGTATCCCTACTTGAACGTATCCAAGAGATGGCATCATGTTATTCCCCCGATCGCCAACTTCCATTTTATTATCAAGCAGCCTAAGACCTTGGATCAGGGACATGATCACCTCGTTTCAGTATCGAGGCATGTGAAGACATTAACACTCCAAGGCTGCCCAAAGACCATCAATCGATTTTTTCAACGAGCATCCTTTGAAGCATTGACCCAATTGACAATCAAAGGTATGTAATTATAGAGGATTGGAGAATTAGATGGATGGTGATTCACACATACCGTATCAGATTGCACGATAGCCAATGAGGATTCCTTCTTGTTACTGTTGCGTGTACTTGGCAAAAACCTGACGCATTTGACCATATCCAACCTGGCATTGAAGGATAACTCAAGTATCAAATTACAATGGGTTTTACTGGATTGCAATTGCCCCAACTTGAAGTCACTCGACATTTCCGACGTCAACACTGTAATCGATTCATTGCACCTTCATCCCAAACTGGAAGAGCTCTCGATGAACAAGATTGGACAAAGTATAAGAAAAGAGGCTGTTCACGAGCTTTTGTCATGTTTCCCTTCCTTGAAAGCGCTAGTGGTGGACACATCAGTGGATCCGAGCATCCTCACCATGGTACAGGAAAGGTGCCCATCATTGTACAAGTTATGGTTTGGGTTCTTACAGGCAACATCTGTTACGTATCAAGGAAGCGGAGGAATATACGACCTCATTCTTAATTTGGATCGAAGTAATGGCGCAAAGTATACAGAAACGGTGGGATTATTAGCGAGACATTGCCAGACATTGATGGGATGCCGATTACTCCTTGAGAGTGTTACAGAGAATCATGGACAATGCGATGTCGATTTTCCTTCTGATGTTCAATTCAACCGGCTGGACACCTTACATATTGCATCTTGGGGGACCGGGATCTATGAACAATGGGACACTCGCCTATTTGAGTGGATTATTCAACGTTCTCCTAATATTCGGCACATCTATGTTTCCGGTACAGCAGCTATTCAAGAACAAATCATACGACCCATTTGCAATTTTACCTCCTTGAGACGTGCGGTATTTCATATACGCAACGATGATGCTGCTCCCCTTATACTACAATTTCTTCAACATCATCACTCGCTTGGCATCCAATCGACCATCCATGAATTGGGTTTCACCATATTCCAGCTCACATCCAGCACGCGTAAGTTGTTGGGAGTGGTGACTCAGCTTTCACAATTGCAAGTATTGAGAATTGAGGTATATGGGACACTCCAAGGAACCAACATGCCATTATTCATTCAGAAGCTTGGTCGTGGTTGCCCCAATCTGAAAGTGATAAATTTGGCCTGTTACCACGGCTATCAAGAAGGCATTTTGAGTCAGCTCCATCTTATAAAATCGTTGAAGACACTTGTATTGTTCAAAAAGCCACTATCCGATGATGATGCAGTTGCCTTGACCAAGTGCCAACAATTGGATAGGTTATCTGTGTATGGATGTGCCACTTCACCGAGTGTTGTTAAGTTCCTAGCATCTCATATCCCTCATTTAACATTCAAGGAGCCTAGGCATATTGCTTTTACCTTATAATTGTATATATAAAGATAGATCGTTTTTATTGCGGCATGAGATGATGGATACACATGATGAATAGTAATTCGTTTGCGCTACTATGCATGATAGCATTTGATCCCACATTGGCTTTATTGATGTTTGGATTGGACATACGTACACCTATAATCTGCATACAGTACTATCATCGCGGGCTAATTTGTGTACACGTGCTTCTAGTGAGTACGTGGTGTGCACTGTTTGGGGATGCGGCAAGCGAAGGTAGAGTTTGCAGGGGGAGCCGATGTTGACTTTTGTATCGTTCAAGATAGCAACGTGACCAGCGGATGTAAGCAATACCAATTCCTCGCATAATCCATTCATTGCAACTTGGAGCCGTAGTTGGGGTATCATCAATAAAAGCCAAAAGCCAGCGTGTTGTTGATGGGTTGATCCACACGTCCTTAGATGCTCGTCGTTGACCAATATGCTATCACAAACTCATCCATCCGTTGCCTATCATCTTTATCAGTCATGGTATAACAACATCTATCCCCAGAGATCGTACCTCGTTCATAGTGTAAGATTACCCATCTTTGAGCAAACGCGATATCGTATAGCGCGTAACGCTTGTTCTCCCTACTCTTTCTCATCTTGCAAGTAGCGACCCCATGGAGCTCGTTGAGTTGGCATTCACCTTGACCAAGGACAATGGTTGCCATTGGATACTGCGTTGTTTCCAAAAAAGAATAAAGGCATTCAGGATTGTGGTGATGCTGAGAAGAGTGGAGCGAGTAAAGAAAAAGGGTGAGCGGGGTGGTGGTTCGACCGAAGTTGCCCGCTTCTCTTTATTCCCCTACTGCATTGATGCATGAGAGTCCTCTCTACCCCACAGGATGGCTACTACACATGATTACAACTTGTTTGCCTTATCTCTTGGGATCCTTGAGATCCTCTTCTTTGATAATCATTGCCAATGTTATTATTGTGATATGGCCACTGGTCATTTCAAAGTTACTTGCTTCATGAATTATGAACCAAAGCGAGCAAGCACGTGTGCGACGATTTAAGGTTAAGGATATTTCTAACTAAATTGAGACACGCATACAAGAGGTATTAGCTATACACGAGAATGAGACTACCTTGAAGAGCAATATGGACCACTGGGGTTGAAGCCATGTAATGTTGTTTAAGAGCTGGATGCTGTTCATTGATTTCACCCTATTACTAATTAGCCACGGCAACAGCTATTCATTCCATTTCATCCTGTTACTATACTAGCCACGGCAGCAGCAACGGCAGCATACATCGAATTGGAACAAACATCCTCTTTTGGAAAGCATGCCACCAAGCGTCTATTCTATCATCATCTCGATTCATAGTCTCGTTGTCTACACATACATGATTTGTGATCATACATCAAGAATGTTAGCAAAATAGTGTTCCAAACAATCAACATGGCGTGGGAATAGTTGTCAAAACAATGCATGTCAATGAAACATCAAGGCTACTCGTATTATTTCCTTTCATTTTGAAAGTGATGTGAATGATGAATGCCAATGCTATGAATGATGATGTTCTATATATTTTAATATACCTCTTGGAAACGGAACAAGTGTATGCAACGGGTGTGTTTTTTTCCTTGTTGTATGTTGCACAAGCATGGTCACTACGATTATGCTTCCTTGATCTTCCGATGTCAATGATTGGTGCCTTGGCACAGTTCGGAGATCATCTTTATAAAACTTGACACGCGCAAACCAGCGAACGTGTCTCCTTTTCTTCTCTCATCTTCTAAAAAATGTCCAACGACAACACTACTTGCCGCTTCGACCTTACCAACTCATCCGGTGGTTCAGCTGCTGCTGCTCACAGCCATGATCAAACAGCAGGAGGCCATTCTCATTCTCATGATGCTCATGAACATGGCCACACCCACGAACAATTGGACCATCCAGGCTTGTATCATGAACGCCCCAAGGCTATTTACAAAGATCGCGATTGGTCCGAACGCGCATTCACTGTTGGTATTGGCGGGTAAGAAGAAAACATAAAAACGCGTGTACACGCGCATACGTGTATTTATTTATGCTGATGATGGTTACATGAATAGACCTGTGGGCTCTGGCAAGACCGCATTGATGTTGGCCTTGTGTCAACGACTTCGTGAAAATTACTCCATTGCTGCTGTCACCAATGATATCTTTACAAAGGAAGATACCGAATTCCTTGTAAGAAACAAGGCATTACCAGAAGAACGTATCAAGGCTATTGAAACCGGTGGCTGTCCTCATGCGGTAAGTATGGGTCATCCTTGACGTCCTGTGGAACATGCTTATCTTATCAGCCGTGATGTGTATTTCCGATATGTATATAGGCTATTCGGTAAGTAGTGGTCGTCGTCCCTGTGTGTGTGCATCCATATACCTCTACCAGCGTCACTCACATGCCTATTTCCTTTAGTGAGGATGTATCGGCCAACATGAACGCTCTCGAAATTTTGCATGGCAAATTCAACACCCAGCTCTTGTTGATTGAATCCGGTGGTGATAACTTGGCTGCCAACTATAGCCGTGAACTTGGTATGTATATGAGTGATACAAACGATAACAACACGGGCTGATAAAAAGGGTCGATCCTTAGCTGATTACATCATTTATGTCATTGATGTTGCTGGTGGCGACAAGGTGCCTCGTAAGGGAGGTAAGGATATCATTACCACTTATGGTATCGATTGCATGAGAAAATTGATGTAGAATTCATGATATTTAGGTCCCGGTATTACCCAGAGTGATCTTTTGATCATTAACAAGACCGATTTGGCAGAGATTGTCGGTGCTGATCTCGATGTCATGGCACGCGATGCCAAAAAGATGAGGTATATCTTGAAGGAAAACCCGCGTTAGTTGGCCTTAAGCTAAATTTGTATTGCTCCAGAGGAAATGGCCCCACTGTATTTGCCCAAGTCAAGAATGGTGTGGGTATGGATGAAATCATTAGTTTGATTTTGGGTGAATGGCGTGCAAGCGGTGCTGCCAAGGAATCGGAAACCGCTTAAAAACAACCTCTGTATTATTTTTCCATGAATAGCATGATTTTGTCTATACAATACATATATATATCCATCACGTTTGTGTACTAAACTAGTAGAATGGATCAAATGTGTAGGGAGAAGAGGGGAAGGAGCAATGCGAGAGATGCTAAACGAATGAAAGAGATTATGAAGGGGCGATGATTAAATGACAGCAGCAAAGAAACCAAGCTTCTGAACAGGTTCGCCATGCATCTTTTTGGTTTGCACCGCCTCATCATCCGCAATCAACTTTTTATCCAATTGACTGATCAACGATTTGCCAATGGTGGATGCCGTCTATAGATACCTTTGAGTCCTCTTTGTACTCCTTCTTTTGCACGAATAACATACCTGAACCATTTCGGTCAATAAGCTTGGGTTGATACTTCCACCAGCACCCTTTTGCATGCCACATGTAGCGCCATCCTTGTTGATGCCAACAGTCAAGGTAACTTCCGAGGAGAGTTCTTCCAAGATGGTAGGATCAATGATGTATCGTTCTCCAATCTATGTAGGTATTGTCATTTACCCCATCCAATGATCCATGTGGTGTAATATTACCTTGTACAAAGTCACCGAGATGGGCAATCGATCCCAATCCGCAATAGGTACTGCATCTTCCACATCATCCATGACTTCGAATTCATATTCGCCATCACCAAGATCTTGCAATTCCGTGCGTGGAATACGGGTATCAAAGAGAGCAGCACGCACTGTCATGACAATACAATCAAAAAGATTACCAGCACAATCCATCACCTAGTATGCATCTATGAGTCCCGAATGCATGTGTGCGTGTGTATCTCATTCAAATCTTTACCATGGCATCCACATAAATCACCCAGCATTGTTGTCCAGGGACAATGCATAACTTTGATAAATCCAATCCATTCTGAGGGCCATTGAATAATCGATCCAATGATAAAGTCAAGGCTGTATTCAAATCATCGGCACCGCGTCCTTCGAATTGTTGTGAAGCACTAGGAGAACTACACGTGTGTACAAGTATGTGTCAATCGGCTTGTTGTTGTTTCCTCCCTCTCTCGCTGTCGACACTCGATTGGTATTTACCATTCCACGTTGCATACAATACGGCCTTGATCAGGCTGTCCTTGTTCAATCTCACCAATCTCCACCTTGACACCCACAAGAACATCACTGTCTCCCAACCGACATCGTGCACTGCCGCTGGTTTGTGATAAAATGCCGGTCTCAAGAACAAGGTGACGGTATTCAAGACGTCCACGACCATCAGCTCGACAATCGTATTCCACTCCTTGTGTAATGTAGTCACGTTCAGCTGGGGATATCACGGGTGCTGGCATGGTAAAAGTAGCGGTGTGTGTGTGTGTGTGTGCGTATGTGTTGAAGAAGTGCTAAATGCAAAAGAGCGACTTGCCATTCCCATATAAGGTGGCTTTGATGAATGAAATCGTACTCCACTCCATATCCCTTCTCCCATCTCCCATAGTAGATCTTGTTCATTGGTTGACTATACAACTAATACAATGATAATTATCTCCATGCACTATACATGCTTATCCAAGAGTTGTTGATTACCTTGCTTCATACAGCCTATTAGCCCAACGTCTTTCTATAGACATAGTCTCATATCATTGGATGATGCCCCTCTCATTTTGTAATGATAACCAACATCATTGCTACTCTCATCCTTTTACACAAGATACTCTCGGATGCACTGATCATTTTTAACCTATGGTAAACTTGAAAAAGATTCCATACAGGCAATCATAAGATAGCTTGGTAGGGGAAAATCTGTCATGCACTCGTCCGCCAATAGGATTGACCCTTCAAGCACTGCCCTCTCGCACATTACACAAACACGCCCTCCTGCATCTTTGGCTCTATCAGGTTATCGTACTTTACAATGAACAAAGACCACTCTTCATATAGCATCACGCTTACAGCATAGTGAAAACATAAAGTCAGCTGTATCTCAAATGTTTACAATGAAACGTGGGGTCTTTAATAGAACAAAGCTGCTCGGCGGGGTAAAAGCGATCTTGTGTCAAAGTATGAAGTCCATCGTGGCCATTCCCAGATTTCGCAAATGTCGCCACCAGCCAAACTGGATCCAGAGGTCGACTTCTTCGACGACGACGACCAAAAAATATTTTTTGGGCTGTTTGCGACATTGCCCACGAAACTTTCACACAAGGTGCTATTGGCCAAGCCGAGCCCATTGCTCTATTCAAAACCCCGCGTTTCATTGTAAAGTTTGGAGATACAGGCAACTTTATGTTTGTAAGCGTGATGCGATATGAAGAGTGGTCTTTGTTCATTGTCAAGTAGCTAGACTCTGGAGAGCCAAAGATGCAGAAGGGCCTCTTTGGGTACCTCAGCTAAAAAGTCAGGACTTCAGGGACAATGCATGATAGGTACGCAACCCTCATTTTCAGGTCATACATTGGCAGCTAATAGCCACTTTTATCCAATCAGCACTGTTGCGAAATCGACGTGATGGGAATGATGCTCCTGCTCTAGACATTCATTTCCATGATTAAAGTAGGTTGATCCGAGCTGATTTGGTTGAGTTACGCTCACACAAGATTACATCGGTTGAGCTACATCGAGCGTGCTTTATGTCCAGAGTGATGTAATCTCTCTTTGACCGCAGCTCAGTCAAATCAGCTCGGATCAACCTACTTTAATCATGGAAATGAATCTCTGGAGCAGGGGCATCGTTCCCATGCAGTGGATCTCGCAACAATGATGATTGGATAAAAGTGGCCGTTAGTTAGTAATACATGCCTGTTCCTAGATGATCCATAAAGTAATTATACGTTAACCCTTTCATTCATGCAAACGTAGCTATGTTACACAACACGACCCTCTGCATCTTTAGCTCTGCCAGGGTCCACCTACTTGACAATGAACAAAGACCACTCTTCATATAACATCACGCTTACAAACATAAAGGTGCTTGTATCTCCAAACTTTACAATGAAACGTGGGGTTTTTATTGGAGCAATGGGCTCGGCTTGGCCAACAGCACCTTGGGTGAAAGTTTCGCGTTCAATGTCGCAAACAGCCCAAAAAATATTTTTTTGGTCGTCGTCGTCGAAGAGGTCGACCCCTTGATCCAGTTTGGCTGGTGGCGACATGACGAAATCTGGGATTGGCCACGATGGACTTCATACTTTGACACAAGATCGCTTTCACCCCGCCGAGCATGTTGTTCTATTAAAGACTCCACGTTTGGTTGCAAAATCTTGAGATATGGCTGTCTTTATGTTTCTACTATGCTGTAAGCGTGATGGTATATGAAGAGTGGTCTTTATTCATTGTGAAGCAGCTTGGCCCTGATAGAGCAAAAGATGCACAGGGACGGCTTTGTGTAACTCAGCTATTTTGCATGGTTGGTAGGGTCAATGTATGATCCTTTATACATTATCATGTATTGCCAGCTAATAGCCACTTCCTCTCAATCCCAAATTTTGTTCATTGTAAAACAGTGGAATGATGCTCCTGCTCCAGCCGTTCATTACCATGATTAAAGTAGGTTGATCCGAGCTGATTTGACTGAGCTACGCCCAAACAGAGAATGTGTCAATTCTTGAAAGACAGACCCTGCGAATGTCTCCGTCTTTCAAACTTTTGGACGCTCCCATTCCAAATTTTCAAATGAAGCGAGAAGTTTTTATTACAAAAATGTTGATCAGCATGCTCGAGAGCACCCTTCTGACCCATTTTCAAGTTGGAGGTGGGCGACTTCGGGGCGGTGGGCCGTCCGCTCTTTTGTTCACGTCATCTACCATTTGGACTACCCCGCATTTTAAATCTTCACATTGAAATATACGAATTTTAAATGAATGAAGTTGATCAGCAGGTCTCAGCGAACCTTCTGACAAAGTTTCAGGTTACAGATGGGGAATCCCAAGGTAATACGTACTATTTCCATAAAACATGAATCTGGGGCTGACCTCCATTTCCGCCTCACATAGTAAACCCACAAAATACCCTCCCATTCAATTTCTTATAATGAGACATCAGGTCTTTTTTAGATCATCGTGATCAGCATGTCCAAGAGCACCTTGTGTTAAAGTTTCAGGTTCGAGAGGGGAAATCTCAATATCAAGGTTTGATGTACAGAGTACATGCATTTATACAAGAGGTGTCCGCCCAATTTAGTTTCCACTTCTTCCACGCCCACTTTATTCCCTCTTCCTCCCATTCTCAACTATTTGGCCCATTGAAGTATACAACTACCACCTACGCTACGAACGATTGTCCTGCTTCAACCCATCATGTCAACGCTACGAATGCCTTGATCCAATCGCCTTTGACTGAATGGCAAGCCCATGGCGTGTACACGACCCTCTTGTCACTCTACTACAACCCACGAGTCTCTTGACACTACACACTCTCTTGCACGCTCATATGCCACGAGCAAACGCAACAGCATTCATTCCTGCAGCTGCCATTAGCAATGCCCTTACTCCATTGTCTCAAACAGTGTTCTTTACTTGCAGCAACCTGCTATACAGCCTTTTTTACGTGGACAGCTTGTAGTCATTATATAGAAGCAGCTTTATTTGCATGTAGCAACTTTATTTCAATACATACGAAAGCCTATGGATATTGATCATCATCTGAATACTGTATTGGTTTGGTACATGGGATGGAAGAAATTAGGTATATACAACGCGTGGAAAAAGAGCTTCTTTGACCTTGATGCTGTCATCCTGAACGAGGTGGATCTCATTATCGTAGTAGTCGACATCCATTTCCGTGGCAGCCACTATCTTCATCCTTTGTGCAACCTGTCAACCATGTACAACCATCATCATCCAACTGCATGTTTTGATACGCCATCCATATACTTCGCTCAACCACGTGTCAAGAGCAATACACATCCGTACTCACATTTCCTCATATATGCATACTCTTCAAAATTAGTGGACGTCTGATATTGCATGGATCTTGTATTTGGATGTCAACTATGATCGGTTACATGACACCAGACGATCCTAGCATTAGGCGTATGTAGTTGGGCAGGAAATACTTGAATTGCTTCGTCGTCGTCATCATCATCATCTGCAAAGAGATCAAGAAGGAAGACGCGGTGGTGGATTGGATATGCAACACCTTTGTCTCTCTTTCAGTGTACCAAATTGACCACCTTTCACCCCATTACTGTTGAGACATTTGTAGCACCATATAATAAGTGATGTGGCCCCCTTTCACCATTTGGAAAGATCCGTTCCTCAACCATGGATTGATACCCACGTTACCTCAAATCACCTCATCCAAGCAACTCAATACATGACCTGTCAACCTTGGCGTCTGATACACAAAGGATCTCCCATACTCTCCATCCATCCTCTCTCTCATTCATTCATCGGTTGTAGTAAAAAATGGTTGATTGCATGTTGAAAGGATGTGTGTGTATACATTAGATAGATATGTGTGTGTGTGTGTGTGTGTTCTCTCTCTCTTCTTTTTTTCTACCGTAACAGGGCGTTGATCATGTCGTAATAGCGTGTTTAACCTTGACGTTGCTTGTGCTTCTTGTTCTTGTTGCAGGTAACAAAGAGCTTGCCTCGTCGTCGAACCGTGGTACAGCCATCGCACATCTTTTTGACAGAAGAACGCACCTTCATGGTACGCACCAATTGGAGTGTCGAAGGCGTAGTTGTAGCAGCAAACACAGGTTGTTGTTGTCGTGCTTGGGCAAACAAAGATCGAGAGAATTGTGACAGGAACGACATGTTGGAGAATGGAAAAAAGGCTTATTTACCAACAAGGAGTGCAAGTGGCCTGCCAATGTCTGCATTTGAAAACCAGCCACTTGAAAGCAGTTCACCACATCCCAAGTCGTAAAAGTGTTATTCACTCATAGCTCAATTGAAGGATCTTTTATTAAAAGTACCCATCTTTTTTGTTAACTTTGACTTCAAAACCAATCCAAATCCTATCATCATAAGCTGCAGCTTGAGAAAACATCATCATCATCATCCTCATGAAAAAAGTATGGATCACGTGCATACATCAAGACTTCGCTGAAAGACATGCTTGCATCCTTAGATCCTTACTTTGATCCATGAATAATATGAATCCATTGTATGATATCATAAGATGCATTTGAGCCATCATCACAAAAAAGTTGTTCCAGCAAGGATAAATGGATATGTAGGTTGCGGGAGATGGATGCGGACTTGCAAGTACTTCGATCAAGCAGTGTCAGGGTCACTTTGGTTATGACGTAGTGTAGGTAAAAAGTGGTTGGATGAGCTAATCCAGCTATCGCGGTGCACACACATCATAGCAACCCTGGTTTTCCCGGGCAACGCATAGCATGATCAAGATGATCCATATACCCTGCATACTATTACAAAGAGGAGTTGTGATGGTGAGGGATTATTCTAGAATAGAGATGGAGGATGTACATAGTAGTAGCTATTGTTCAACAACACGCCACTCCAAAGTGGCTGAATCCAGTAGACTGGTGATGGATGATGATGTCTGGTTGCTTCAATTTCAAATGCCGTCACGCCTGACCCTCACCTGCTGGAGCTCGATTGGTTCACTCTAAACCCGGCCCAGCACTTGCAACCTTCCACTTTCACTTTCTCCACATAACCCACATACGCTCATACACACACACACGCACACCCTTTTCTTCCCTTGTTCTCTCTCTTTCTATCTCTCCTAACTTCTTCTTCTTCTCTCTCTCCCTCTCTCGCTTACTTCCTTTCTCACTCACTCTTTCTTCTTCTTCTCTCCTCTCTTTTAAAAACAACAACGCTTCTCTCTCGGGATTCACGACTTTGAAAACGACCCGTTTTATTCACACCCCATTTGTCTTTTTCTTACATCAACATACACTAACACAACAACACCTCGGCATTGTACTTCAACAACAACTCTAAAATGTCGACTACGAGCTTTAGTCAATTTCGATTGTCAGGTATTCAACAAGGAGAGAGAGAGAGACACAAAGGCAGGACTAGTGAAAACCAACACGCCACATGACAGGAGACACGACCGATCCTTCTTCACGAACCATCCGTGTAGCTGCCAAGGATGGTCGAACAGGACAAGATATCCAACTTGAATACAACAACCACAAGGTGATTGGCAATGGATCTTTTGGTGTGGTGTATCAAGCAAAATTGGCACATAGTGGAGAGGATGCTGCCATCAAAAAAGTCTTGCAGGACAAGCGATTCAAGGTATGCATACATACAACATCAAGGGTTGAATGAGATCCAAGAGATTGATATCCATGGACATAGAACCGTGAGCTTCAAATCATGAAAGTGATGAACCATCCCAATATTTGTGGTCTCAAGGCTTACTTTTACACACAAGGCGATACCAAGGTAAACATTTATATGATTATTCAAATGTTGGAATGAGGAAGAGGAAGAGGAGGAGGCTATATTCAATAGTACCGTATGCTCACGCGTATGTGATTGGTTTCTCAACATTATTTCAAAAAAGAAGGATGAAGTGTACCTGAATCTGGTGATGGAGTATGTTCCCGAGACCGTGTACCGTGTATCCCGTCATTATGCCAAAATCAAGCAACCTATTCCCATGCTTCTCGTCAAATTGTACATGTACCAATTGTTCCGTTCCTTGGCCTATTCTCATACATTGGGCATCTGTCATCGTGATATCAAACCTCAAAACTTGTTGGTCAGCCCTATCACCGGTGTATTGAAACTATGTGATTTTGGAAGGTAAGGAAAAGGAAAGAGGATATGGGTCAAAGTTATTAAGATACGTGTGTATAGTGCCAAAATCCTGGTAGCAGGTGAACCCAATGTATCCTATATCTGTTCGCGATATTATCGAGCACCCGAGTTGATATTTGGAGCTACAAGTTATACAACCAGCATCGATATTTGGTCAGCAGGATGTGTCATGGGCGAGTTTTTATTGGGTCAACCCTTGTTCCCTGGTGAAAGTGGTATCGATCAACTGGTAGAGATTATCAAGATCCTTGGTACACCTTCCAAAGAAGAGATTGCGAAGATGAACCCTCAATACGTCGATCACAAGTTTCCACAAATCAAACCACATCCATTTTCAAAGGTAAGGCACACATGTACACTTTGGAGGCGAGGGACAATGGGCTCATCATTATGGGATTAGGTGTTTCGATCGAGAGTACAACCTGAAGCAATTGATTTGATTTCACGTGTATTGCAATACGATCCACAAACACGATTGACAGCCAGCGAGGCATTGGTACATCCATTCTTTGATGAGCTGAGGAACCCAGACACCAAACTTTCCACAGGACGTGAATTACCTCCTTTGTTTGATTTCACGGCTGAAGGTAATAGGAATAAGGCATATGAGTGTTTATGGATATTGACCCATCCTTTTTTGTTGTTGTAGAATTATCCATTCGACCGGATCTGATACATAAATTGGTTCCTCCCCACTGTCATGATGAATTATTGTATCGAGGCATTGATGTTCGTAATTTCACACCCATTCCCTTAGACAAGATGCGTTTACCATCCCTGGATTAAGCAGCGACTTTTTTTTTCTCATTCCCGATTCATCCGCGCGCACACGCATTTCTCCCTCTATTTTCACGCCTCCATCCCACACCACACCACCACCATCATATCATCCGTGTATGTATGCCCTATATAAAGATTTCTTTTTTACTACATCATCATCTCCTTTTAAGATATGACAAGAGGAGGAGGAGGAGGGTGTCGAACAATGAGCAGTAACAAAGGGGTTGGGAGTATAAAAGGAGGGGGTGAGTCAAGAAAATCCAATGATGATCGGCATTTAACATTGATAGTCTTGATGGATACATGTCTAGTTTTCAAGCATTGAGATAAAAAAAGAAGGATTGTTGCACACACAGTGTTTCACTCATTTGTTACAGTGGTGGGCAACACAACCATAATCATTTTAGCATGAATCCGCCCGCACATTAATTATTCTCCCTCTCACACACACTCACACTCCCCCACCCCTTATTCGGTCTAGAAGCCGATTTCTGGATCAATGATAGCTTTTGGTATCATGCGTGGACTATGTTACTACGTGAACTTGACACGTGCAGACCTATCTCAATTCATTCAACATGTGCTGCTCCTCTTATATATACCTTACCATATTGTCTTGCAAGCACCTTGTTCATTGACATGACAATGACAGAATCCATCCCCATCATCGATGGTGATTAAGTAAATGACTTATTTCTAAATTTAATTAATAGCAGTATATATCTATATATGCCGTCGTTCGTTGTGATTGGGCGTTTTAGGTATGTATAGATTGCCACGTGGCCTATTTGTTTACGATCCATGAGCCATCCCATCCCATCCCAGCCAATGGCTACCTACCTAGTAGTCTCTCGTACATACATACATCTCCATCCATAACGTGGTGAAGCAAGGGAGTTGGGGAAAAAGGAGAAGGAGGAGGAGGAGGGGTGATGATGATGATGATGATGTATCTTTGCACACATTAATGATGATGATGGTGGGTGAAGCCACACCTTTTTCGGGATACAAAGTACCATGTGATATACCGTTGCATGTAGTAGACAAGCTACATAGTAACAGGATGAACATCATCATAAACGGGCTTTTTTTACGCGTGTTGTTATTATATATCCAATGTCCGCTTTATACCGGTTACGGAAAGGGGGAGGCGAAGAATCTAAAGTAATGGTAATGGTAGTATGTAACATGGTTGGAAATAAGGGATGAAAGGGGGTCAAAATGGAATAAATCTTTTATGCGTGCACAGCATTACATGTTGAATGGATGAAGGATGCTACGTGAAAAGGCAATGAACCGAGCTTACGCGCGAACTGGGGGCCGTGCGGAGGACGGAATGTTATAAAATATATAAGCCAATGTGGGCGTGTGCAACCATCGCCAAGTTACACTTTGAAATCCAAGGTTGGTGGTTGCTATGGGTTGCTGCCAATAGAAAAGCTCATTACCTCGTGCAGTGTAACCATTTTACACACACACACACAAACACCAACACGCTGTGTGTGAGTGTGTGATAGAGGCACACACACCCACACACGCACGCACACCCCTTCTTGATGAATGGGTTGAGTTAAATACCACTTATCCGAACGCACTCGAGACACACCTCTCTTTCCTCTTTCCACTTTTTTTCACATCCGCACTACAAAAAGTTGATCTTTGTAAGATCCTTTTTTTATTCAACACCTACACTCATATTTACCACACGACACTTTCCGGCTTGCCGTTGAGAACCCACTCTCGCATCTTTTTATCCCTTCCCCCCCTCTGTTTTTCTTTACACACACACCACTCACCACTCACCACCTTTTGATTCAGTTACAGGCTTGCTTGTATTCTTTATCAAATCCACTTTTCTCCCCACTTGTGTAAAACTTGTTCTCACCCCCATTTCTCCTGTTATTCTCTATCTTCCCCTTTTTTTGTCAGTACCTGTTTATAGTATGCTTTCAGTGTATCCTGGTATGAGCTTTGATTTCTTTTCGTCGCAGGCAGCAGCAGCAGCAACCAATGCTGGCACTTCACCTTATCCACGACAATCGAATGCAGCAGCAGCAGCAGCAGTCACCGCTTGCGGTAATAGCAGCAGCAGCAGCAATAGCACCAACGACTCGTTTGAATATTGGATGGGTAACACCATGGTTGATATGACATCGGCTGGTCCAATGTCATCCAATTCATGGCCTGAAATCCCAATGCCAGCAGCAGCAGCAGCCTCGACTCCTTCGTACCCTTGTGCCCGTACGCTTGCGTCGGGTACAGGTATCACGTCTGCATCCTATCCACCACCACCACCACCCTGTTCATCCTCATCACCCATGGTATCCGGCTTGCCTGTTGATCCATGTGTGTATGATAGTACTTCAGCAGCTGCAATGGCAGCAGCAGCCATGGCCGCTGTTACTGTACCCCAACAACAACAACAACACACCGCTATTCTAAGCCCGAATTTCCAACAAGGATATCCTTACTTGTATTCAGGTAACGTAGCAACAAAGCCATGGAAACGAAAAATTAACGCATGCCAATTTTATAGGATCTCCTGTGTCGACCGATGAGCCCATGTACAACAGCAGCAATAGTAATCATAATCATAGTCGTGCTGGTTTGACACCGCCTTCCTATTATTATTCGCCTACGATTTCTGCTGTACCGTATCCCACCTCTTCAACGACATTTATGCAATCACGACGTGGTGGTAGTGGACGACGTGCTTCGATGCATAGTTGTTCTCGATCATCCTCGCCTTTATCATCCACCTCGTCAGCATCTTCGTCCCCTGATGTGTTTTCCAGTAGTAATAGCAGCAGCAGCCCTGCCGTTTATTACAATAGTCAACAACCTTTGATGGCCACGTTCAACACAAAGGCCACTTCATCTACCCCCAAACGATACAAATGCACCGTATGCGGCAAAAAGTTCACTCGTCCAAGCTCTTTGAATACACACATGTATAGTCATACTGGCGAGGTAAGAGAGAGAGAGAAAAGGAGTGATTGATTATGTACAAGAGGAGAGGATCATTGATTGATTGATTTGTATCTATAATAGAAACCCTTCAAGTGTCCAGTGGAGGGATGCGGTCGACATTTCTCGGTCGTAAGCAACTTGCGTCGTCATGCAAAGATTCACAGCAACCCCACCCCAACCACAAATACTCCATCGTCGTCCTCTTCTTCATGACATGATTATCCCTGAACGTGTTACTACAGTCTCTCTCCTCCACTCCTTTTCATTGTCTTTTGCATCTTTCTTTAACTTGCATGCAAGTAAAGAAAAAAAGTCGACAGGCTGGTTCTTGTCCTTTTTGCAATTCCTTTCCACCACCATCACCACCACCAACCCACCCCCTTCCTCTCTCTCTCTCTCTCTCATTGTCTCTCCCATTCCCATCCCTATTTTCTTCTTGTTTTGTAACCGTACAGTGTTGTCATTAAGCCCGAATAGCAAAATATAATGGTTTATTTGTGGTTTGTGTGGGGTTGCTAATAAGGTGTGTATTCATCTCCCCACTTAAGATTCAATCAAACATGTGTCTGTGTCTGTGTGTTTTTTTTCGTTTCCTAAAAAATGTCGTGTAACCCACGCCGCCGCTTGTTGTGTTATCTCTCTGGTCTTTCTCACTGAGATGGTGATATTCCGTCGACTTGCGAGTACAACAACAACAGCTGCTGGAAGTGGAGGAGGTGCCCCATTGAAAGGATGGCGCAAGTATGCCCATCAATTCCGAGACAAGCCAGCATCGTACATGACCACCTTTGCTCTCTTGCACGAAATCACTGCCATTGTGCCTTTACCCATCGTTTATTATACCCTCGACTATTCTGGTTGGCATATCCCACTTGTACCGCAAGAGGCCATAGCAGAAGGCAATCGGATCATGAGCAAGTTGAGAACTCGTTATGGATACGAACCCCTGGCACCCGATAGTAGAATCATGGTCAATTTAGCCACATCCTATGCTGTTGTCAAGGTGAGTGAGTGAGTGCATCATCCTTCATTTTCTTACATAACTGACGCTTTGGCTTTTTCTAGGCCATGATGCCTTTACGGATTGCAGCCTCGGTTGCCATGACTCCCTTTTTTGCTGAACGTATGATAGGACCCTTGCTTGGATCATTTAGACGTTTCATTCCCTTTAAAAAGTCAACCACCACAGGATGAAATAGAATTACCTTTGTTTGCTTTTTTTATTATTGTTGTAAAATCAGGGTAGAAAGAGAAAATGTGTGTCTGAGAGAGAGACCTAAAGGGAGAATTTGGCATTGTAGATGGCTTCTGGGACAAATACAGCCGAGATCTACAAAGAAACGTTTATGAGTCGTATGCAAAAGAAGCCTTCATACATTCGCTTTACCTGTTTACCACCAAACCATCGTCCATCCAAGGCCTCCAATGCATTTTGGGCTGATTCCACACTTTCAAACTTGAGATACACTTCGCCCTACCACCACCACAGTTAGTCATTTTCAGTGTATCCTCCTCCTTCCATGATCCCCTTTTCGTTACCAATGAATCTTCGTTCACATGGATATGTTCAACTTGACCAAACTTTGTACATTCCTCCTTGACATCCGTTTCCAAATCCTTTACCCAATCGGGCTCCGTCTCCCTATAACACATGACATTTTAGCTCACATTGCATGTGTGTCGCACAGCATTCTTTCCCAAAACTTACTCTGCAGGATTGAACATGTTGTTGAGCATGATTGTACGCGATGCCTTGATGGGAATATTGGGTCGAGCACTAATTTTTTTTTCTCATGAGTAAGCTGTGCTGGAAATGAATCATGCGGGTAATACGTACGGTGCAGTAGGGGTTGTGGAGGATTCTTCTGCTTGACGATATTCTTCTTCCATCATATCCGATTGACGGGCTGCCAATTTATGCATCAATTCAGCACGAGCCAAAGAGTTGAGAGATAACCCTGCAGAATCTGTATAACGTGATGAGTTGATAATTCCAAGGCATAAATGGTATTTGTATCCTTACCTTCATCATCCAAATTGCCATAATTGGCTGCTGCTGCTCTTTCAGTGACAAGACCAACCTTGAGCTGAAAGCAAAAAAAGAGGTCAATACATAGGTCTCTCCCTCCTTCTCTCTTTGTTGTTGTTTCCATTACCTGACGACCAGCCAAATCAAACCCATTCATCTTCTCCAATGCTTGCTTGCCATCTGCAGCATTCTTGTATCTATATCAAACACGTGGTCAATATGTGTATCAGCCTATGCTCATCGTCATCACACTTACTGAATAAAAGCATAACCCTTGGAACGTCCCGTTTCAGGATCTAGTAAAGAAAATAAGTGAATCCACACACACATGGATGTATACATATCATCTCACTCATTACCTTTGTGCAAATTGACGAAATCCAAGGGACCAAACGGTTCGAATATCTGACGAAGATCATCTTCAGTGAGACTGAAATGAATAGAACCCACATAAAGTCTTTGAAAAACGAGTTCTTGCCCAGCACTATTGATACCATGTTAATATCCAACCATGACAAAAGGTGGGAAGGGGAGAGACATTACCGATTTTGTTCCTGCGCCATAGCATAACGGTTCTTTTCAGCCTCGGACATTTGAACGAGCACAGGGATACCTAAAAGTTTTTGCCCTGACATTGCCAACGCATTCTGAACCGACTCCTCATCATAAAACTCGACATACCCAACACTAAAATGGAAGGTATTAGTATATCCTCCCTGATAATCAAGCGCAATATTTACCCTTTTGAACGTCTCGAGTTCCTGTCAGAAATGATACGAGCATCACGTACACGACCTGCTTGAACGAAAAAATCCTCTAGTTCACGAGATGTCAAACGAGCAGCCAATTGTGTGACAAAGATGGTACGTCGATCACGTTCTTCTTCGGGTACAGGAGGTGAAGGAGATCGTGCTCTTCTGCGATGACGACTACAAAAAGAAAGATAGGGTGAATACCATGAGTGTTGATGTTGATGGATTGTCTTTGCTTACTCGCGGCGTTCCACACTCCTGCTACGTCTTTTGGGACTTCTATCACGCGATCGTGAGCGTCTTCGATACGATGGCGATCGACTACGGTATCTTCTACTACTGTGTCTAGAACGGGAACGACGTCGTGGAGACCCATGGCGATGATGGTGTGACCTAGTAGGTGAACGCGACCGATGACGAGACGAGTGACGAGAAGAGCTGCTGGTATAGAATGGGTCAACAGGCGATGCTTGCTTGTAAAAGGAAATGTCCACTTACTGCCGATCATGATGGCGTCGACTACTGCTGCTTCGACTCTCGTCTCGATGACGGCTACTTTGGCTGCTGCTACGATGATGTGATGACGAACCTTGTTCAGCCTAGATAGAATATCAATCTATGAGCACAAAGGACTTCTAGTCGACATGATTGTCACTTGCCGATTTGTCTTGGAAGGGGGCTTCCAGCATAGCTTCAACGTTGATATCCATGTTGACCCTGTACAGTTGAAAAAGAAGGTGGAGGAAGAAAGACACACACTCACAAAAGCAGGTGGCTGCTGAAATCGAAATAGGGCTGCTGCTGCTGCTGCTTCTCACACCAAGAACAAACGGAACAAGCCGGGGCCACAACCGCCGCCTTACTAGTAGTAGTAGTAATAGCAGTAGCAGTAGTACTAGTGCAAATAAAATGTTGCATCTCACCATGATACCTTCTACTTGACAACAAAAAGGAGATCTTTGGCATAATAGCTGCTCTAAAGGAAGGAGGGCTGTCTACTACTATTTTACCCCAACCCCATTTACGCAGCTATCTACATAATAATGTTGGAATAGCCTTGCCATGAGATGTTGAGTAAGTTGCTCAGGCACAAGTTCATCACCCACACATGTATGACCCGTTTACTGGCACAAAGAAATTCTCCTAAAAGTAATCCATGCTCATGCAAGTGAGCAATAGATATAGCCGTTATCATCAGAAGCAGTATTGAGTACCTTTCATCCTGGTTGCCATACTACCATTGCCATGCAACGAGTCTTTTGATATCAACAGTATCCAAAAGGAGTGTGCCGCTTGTTTTATCCTCCTCCCCATGTTGTTTCTCATAGGTAATACCATACCAATCTGCAGCAAGCTTCAAGACCATGAGCAAGCAATAAACACATGAATGACCCATCACATGGTTGCTACCACAAAGTGGAAAAGGATGAATCTAGAAAGAGTCAAGAACATTCCAAGAAATTGCGAGATTGGGCAAAAGCAATAGTCCCATGGCTAACTAACAAAGGATGATCGATTACAACCCATGCAATTGGCACCACAACATGAGTACATGGATAGAATTGCATCGACAAGGCTGCTCGCTTTTCTCTATGCTGTTGATGTACTATGATTTTATATAAAGGACACGTGCATAGATGATCATGGTACCATGTAAGGCACGTAAGCAGTAACACAGCCCTTTTTTATGGTCAAGGATGGCAATCAAAGGTAAAGGTATACTTACGATGGTGTCGCTAGTCATTCTTTTCCACTTTTCTTGCATACATAAAAGATAGCAGCAGAGATAGAGCTGATCTCCATGTGAGCAACAAAATAACAGCAATGTAATAAATGAATCATCGTTATACTCAAACTAAAGTTTTATTGACTAGAGGTATCAAAAAAGCGATCCATTGGATCGTTTAACAAGATCCATCTTGTAGCAGGGAACGGTCTTGTAGATTGCTTAGACAACATCATCGCAAATTTCGCCATCATCTCCGCGTTTCTTGAGCTCTTCTTCACCTTCTCCACCATCTTCTCCACCTGCGGGTTCTGCGGGGTGTTCACCTGCGGCTCCCTCCTCACCTTCGCCTTCGGGTGCTGCTCCAGGATCACGTTTCGTTGGGCCATTGTAGATCTGTGTGCCTGTGCCTGCTTCTTCAGGTGCACCAACATCATCATTTTCGGCCTCTGTAGCTTGGGCAAAACCAGCAAGAGCGATAACAGCAATAGAGAAAAGAGTAAAGAAACGAGCCATGGTAATTAAAAGTGTGGATGATAATGATGTTTCTTGCGGTGATGAATGGTCCTCTATTTATACACAGAAAAAAAGAGGGTTGACAGGTGTTGGCAGAAAAGAATAAAAGGGGGTTGAGGAGGAGAAGAGGATGTGACGGGTCGTTTGGATGCAAAAGGATCAACGATGATGATGATGGCTAACGATGATGCAATGCATGCTGTGCCATCGGCTGCAACAACAACAGAGAAGTACACTCCCCTTTTTTTCCTTTTACAAGTAAACCCAATAGGGCCTGATCTACGACGCTCATAACATACTTTAAACATGATCGTCCACGGATAGTGTTTTCTGTTTCAGTGCTTGGTATATGGTTTCTTGCCATGGATGGTGGGGTGGTGTCGTCCTATCTCATAAAGCCAAAAAAGTATACATTTTCAAAAGTCTCCTTAATTTTGATGTGTACTGTATACATGGATACATACGGATTTGTACGCCAAAGATGTAGAGCGATCAACACGGAGGACTCAAGGTTTGCTTTTCTGCACGTACCCAAAACTTGTCTTTAGGAGCAAGGTATATGCTTGTTGTACTCTACATAGTAGCAACCAACCATACGAGGATCACGAAAAATGTGCACATCATACGTGGCAATATGCTCTAACGTTTGATGCTCCTTTAGGAGTAATGTGCATGATTTTGATGATGCTATTAGGCTATGTGCTTTATCAAGGAGAGGGGTTGTTTCACATGATCGATCACCCTGCTTGTTCTTATTAGCTTAGGGCATGCCACACCCATCATTGAAGGGTGCAGTCAGATAAAACATGTCACATCATACACGAAGGAGTTTGGGTGTAAAGATGGATTTTAATACATTCCATTTTCGATCTACTTGTCATCTACATCGCATCAATGATAATGTCAAGACTGCATGACGTAGTGTTGTGTGTGATGGCAGAATCAGATTCTTTGCTTGGGTTTCCTCATTGTCATATACAACACGTTCAACCACGCATATGAAAACTGCCCTCGTATAGATACGTATGATATGGTTGATGGACACCATTTAAAGTGCGTTTTAGAATAAAAATTACTCCTTTTTGATATGCTACATTCAAAACTTTTAACAGGGATGGCGGTAACTCTTTTTTTCTGCATACGCCCAAGTCTTCTCTCAGGTGTGTGAAAAAGACAAGGGGACGGCCGGGGGTTGCTAGGAGGTGTATGTACATCCCGGCAGCCAATCATGCTGCGAGAGTGGAGGATGTTGTGGATCAAGCTATGTCTTGCATCATTTGCTGCTACGACTCCTTTTGGGGCATCTATCTTTTTCAGAGACCTTTGATCATTTTTTCTACCACATCCTCATTCCCAATCCTATGCCGTTGTTGCTCAACAAGATACCCCTACATCAAAAGTATGTATATATGGGATGATCATGTATTATCATGATGAGTGACAAATGCAAATACGATATAGAGCCAGGGATCATTTTCTCGTGACTAGAAGATAATGTGGCATCACTCTTCATATCTCTTAGTATCATCCTTGAAGGTTGAGATGTGAGTCTGTCATCTTTTGGGGATTCTAAAAGTGGATTGTGTTGTATGGTGGTGGGAGTGAACAAAGAAGCAATAGCAGCTGGGAAATCCCTTTTCCAGATTTGTGATGTTTTGGTTGGTAAGACATGATAGGCGAATCAGATGGATACAATCGGCCTTTGAGCAAGGATGGTCTTCACCGCCATAACCAATGCTATCAAGTACAAGATAGATGTTGCGATGAAAATCATCAAGACTATATACGTATAAACCTGCATTTCGGAGACGACGGTGTTAGTTTTTGTTGCACAATGGGTTACATTTTCATGCACCAAGGTTGAGACCCCACTTTCTCTTATACATGTAGGATTTTTGTACCTATGTCATTATGTAGATTATGTACGGCAATATGGTGAGCATGCATTGAGTAAGGATCCCCCTTTTATGTCGTCTCGGGTATCGGGATTATGAAAGACTCTTTTGGAATATCCACGTTTGGCTCTTTTACTTGAAATCCAACATCATGCGTTGGGATGCTTCCATGTCATGAATGCTTTTGATGAGAATGTTGTTATCATCACCCACAGGTTGCTCTCATTGTTCCTCTACTGATTAAAGGTATACATGTTGAGCAAGGGTAAGAGCCTTTCTTATGATGCAGTGGGGCAAAATAGTCAATGTGGTGATGTAAAGCTTATTGCGGTAGGAATAAGGGAAATCACATGATGCTATCAGGGCCATCTCTTTGTTGGCTGTATAAATGGGCATTCAGGAATTCCTGTGCGGCATTTATGACAATGAGTGACTCAGGCGTGACAAGCCACGAGACATCTGTCAAATCAACCTTTCCAGTTACCGACGGCCGCTTTATTATCTTGCACCCACACACATTCACTTTCACATATACACACAATGACAACAGCTCTCTACATGTTGGATTATGGCGCCGGCAACGTCCGCAGCTTGGTCAATGCTGTCAATCGCCTGGGCTATGAGATTGAGTTCGTCAAGGATCCATCCGACATTTTGAAAGCACAGGTATTGTTGCCTACCACCTACCCTTTGCCTCCCTTCATTGTATGCTAACTTTGTAAACGTAGAAACTCATTTTCCCTGGTGTTGGAGCGTTCGGTCATGCCATGGAAGCATTGAATAGCAAGGGCTACTCTGAGCCTTTGAAGCAGTATATCGCCTCTGGACGACCATTTATGGGCATTTGTGTTGGCATGCAATCTCTCTTTGAAGGATCCGATGAAAGTGATATCCCTGGTTTGGGTGTGATTCCTGGCATTGTCAAGCAATTCAACAAGGAGACCAAGGCTGTGCCTCACATGGGTTGGAACGCATCTCAAATCTTAAAGACACAACCTACTCAAGCCGAGCAACAACAACAACAATCGATCAGCTACAGCATCAACGAAGAATCATCCTATTACTTTGTTCATTCATACGCTGTTCCTTATGACGACAAGGTGAAGGATTGGACATTGACCACAACTCAATATGGCGATGAAGTCTTTGTCAGCTCTGTGCAAAAGGGCAATGTATTTGCTACACAATTCCATCCTGAAAAGAGTGGTTTTGCTGGTTTGCGTGTATTGCGTTCTTTCCTTACTGGTTCTGGTATTGTGGATGAATCAACGGTGATGATCAAGGAGCCCGAGATTTACAAGCACGATCGACTTGGCAAGCGTATTATTGCATGTTTGGATGTGCGATCCAATGACGCTGGTGATTTGGTGGTGACCAAGGGTGATCAATACGATGTGCGTGAAAAGAGCGGTGATAACGACGTACGCAACCTTGGCAAGCCTGTGGATCTTGCACGACGCTACTTTGAAGAAGGCGCTGATGAGGTCACTTTTCTCAATATCACCAGCTTCCGTAATTGTCCTTTGGGTGATTTGCCTATGTTGGAAGTGCTTCGTCGTACCTCTGAAACGGTCTTTGTGCCATTGACCATTGGTGGTGGTATTCGTGATGTGGTGGATCCTGATGGTACGGTGCATCCTGCTTTTGAAGTGGCTGGTGAATATTTCCGCTCTGGTGCCGACAAGGTCTCTATTGGTTCTGATGCTGTTTATGCTGCTGAAAAATACTACGCCAATGATGGTAAAAAGGATGGTACCTCTGCCATTGAAACCATTGCCAAAGCTTATGGTGCTCAAGCCGTTGTGATTTCAGTCGACCCTAGTCGTGTCTATGTCAAGGATCCCAGTGAAACCACTCATCATGTTGTCAAGAATAGCCAGGCTGGTCCTAATGGTGAAGAGTATTGCTGGTATCAATGCACGGTTAAGGGTGGTCGTGAAGGCCGTGATTTGGATGTGCGTCAATTGGTGATTGCATGTGAAGCATTGGGTGCAGGAGAAATCTTACTCAACTGCATGGATCGTGATGGCACCAACAGTGGTTATGAGCTTGAATTGATCAATGATGTCAAGGCTGCTGTCAAGATTCCTGTCATTGCCTCCAGTGGTGCTGGTTGTGTGGAGCACTTTGATCAAGTCTTTGAAAAGACCAATGTGGAAGCTGCCCTTGCTGCTGGTATTTTCCATCGACGTGAAGTCCCCATTCAAGATGTCAAGAAGCATTTAGCAAAGTGTAACGTTAACTGCAGAGCATTGGATCCTACCTTGTAGAGCAATTTATATCCCCCTCCATTGTCATCATCATGTATACATCGTTTTCCTCCTCCTCCTGTTACTATTCTATCTTCGCAATATATATATAAGCATCATTGTGCCAAAAGAAGCTCTGTAGAGAGATTTATTGAATACTTCATTCCTGCTATTGCACAACAAACACGATCAATACATGAGAGCTAACTACATCGTGACATCTTTTTGTGATCCGGATTCATGGGCCTTCTCACCGTTTCGCTTGTATGCCCGACCCCGCTTGATAAAATTCTTGATACCATCACGCTTGATAGAATCACGCTTACCCGCAACATTAACATGCTCTTCGCTACGCTTGAGTGCTAGAGGATGAGGTTCTTCACTACGCTTGAGTGCTAGAGCATCGGGGTCTTCGCTACGCTTGAGTGCTAGAGCATCGGGGTCTTCGCTACGCTTGAGTGCTATATAGAGCATGAGGTTCTTCGTTACGGTTGTCATAAACAGCAAAATCACGTCCTCCTAAATACGTACCGGTACCAGGCTCTCCATTGGTCTGTTGCGTAGCAGAGGATACTGCTACTGCCATAAGAGCGATACAAAACAGTGAAATAAACTTGGTCATGATGATGATATTCAAAGTTGTAATAGTGGTAGGCGTTGAATTATGAATCATGTTCCCTATCTCGGCCTCTCTTTTTATACGGAGGACCACACACAAAAGTCACGAAATGGTATCCTGTATGATGTAAGCAAAGTAATGCAGCTTGACAAGTTCTCGTCGTTGTTTACAAAAGAAAGCTGCTAGAGTTTCGTGTTCGTTTTCTCAATCCTCTAACCACCCTAAAATGTTGCGACGTTGTGATCGATCAACGTTCTTACATTGATACCGTGTACAAGAAAGGTTACAGAGTGGAATCCCATGGTCTGCTTTATAAACCTGAAGACAAAAAAAGGGATGCTACCATTTTCTGCACAACTAGGTTCCTGGTACTTACGGCATCTTGACAATGATTGCCGATTGGCGTCTTGCATATGATGCATCTCTGTTTTTTTATGAAATGCCACACACTATGTATGCATGTGGGCGCTTCCCTCTCTCTCTCTCTCTTCTCTGTGAAATGTGTACTGTAACATGCATCGTGATTCAGATGCAATTGTTTGGCTCTTGCATGCATCCTACGTATGGATCACGATACGTAGTGACGTTGACAGCACAGTGCAACAGCCCTAACCCAGAAGTCGTAGACGCTAAGCGAATCATGCATGTCATGGATGTTGTTTTGTTTTCCTCTCATACGATGGATTGGAATACCAAGATTGCTATCACCACCTGAGGTTTGTTCATAATCATTGCTCCCCATGATGAAGTTATCGTTTATATAATGGAAGGACTTTATCACGTATATTTTTGAAACCACCTACATACACAGCTTGCTGTAAACAATTTCATGATGTACAATAAAACGATACATCAACAAAGGTAGCCACAAACAAAGCTATCGTTGCAGAAAAGTTTATGCATTCTATACGCAGAAGATGTCCATGAGCGACAGCACGGTATTCCAATGTTGGCGTTTGTATGATCATTACATTATCGTTTAGCGTCACCTGTACTCTGATGCCTTCCCGGTCCCAGTGTCATGTATGGAAATATGTGTCACTTCCATTATCGTACTTCGTCAACTCGACATTTCAAATGTAAAATAATACGTCTTGTGGATGACATGTAAGATAGATGCTTGTTAAACTTGAGCACGACTCCCCTATTTTGACAACACGCAAATCACCATGGGTTGTGTGTTGTGCCTCGTGCATGTAAAAGGGGTAAGGTGTCACTATTATCCAAGATCAGCTCCGACGTTTCTTTTTTCCACCTCGGATGACATCTTGGGTTCAACTGGACAAGAAGAATACGCATGTTGTCGTCTTTTTTTATATGAAATGGATTCAGTGTCATGATAAAAGACAAAAGATAGATGACCCTTTTTCGAGCTAGCCATATGGTGGTAGGGTGAATTCCTGCTTCAATGGTGCCGGGGATTGGATTCACGCAACACAAACTAATAATTAGTGGTGTGACACACACACACATAGAAACCATGTCTCTTTTTACAACTCATCAATGTGGAAAACGCTCGCTCTAATTCACCATTTTAAGAGTATATATATATTTATATTTAACAATGGGCATCATGCTCCGTCATTCTTGATGACCGTGGAAGCAATTATGTCCCTTTCATTGAATTAAGCCATACATTGTCTGTTTCAGCGTGCATGCAGACTACACTGCACCGGGGTTTAGCATGGGTAAAAAAGAAGCTTACTATAGTTGAGCACAGACTCCGTTGGATTCACACGGCGTGAATAGCCAAGTGCAAAAAGTACAAATGTGCGACCTCGCTCAACATGACCCGTGTAGATCCTTTGTTCTATCAATCTCATACTTAGGCACATGCACACACATTAGGTACACCGAGACACACACACGCAATTGACTTTTGACGTGGAGATGGAATGCAGGGGGTGGTTGAACGGAATCCAATTAAAGTTTAAAAAAACGCATATGTATACTTTGGATGATGTACAAAATGGTGATGGATAAGGGATACAATGGACAATGTATAACCATTTCTAAAAATACAATGATGGTTTGGCAAAAAAGGACATGGGATTTACCGAGTTTTGGAAACAAAAGTCGTCAACAGCAAGGAACAATTGCCCGCAAATGGAGGTGCAACTCGAGATGAAAGAAAAAAGCGAATGCTTCCATGTACAACATTAAAACTGCTGGTGGAGTTTATCCGCTCCATAGACGTATAAAAATGGGACCCTATCTCATAACAATAAGACACATACATCCCATTTTCTTTTTCTCTCTCTCTCTTTTTTTTCACCTCCCCCCTACCACACTCCTTTGTATACCGAATGCGTTCCTTTTTAACCATTGCTCTTGCCGCCACTGCATTGCTTCAACGTGTTGCAGCAGGAGGTGCTCCCATTACGCTTGAACTTGTCGACGCGACCAACTTTTGTACGTTCTTGCCACCAGCCGATTCAGAAGATCGCAACATTGCTCGTACAGAATACAAGGCCGAAGTCTTTTGTATGGGCTCAACTCCTAATGCGGATGCAGCTGGTACTTTGGCTGATGGCTTTATCCAATCGGCTCATTTTGTTGCCACCGACGACTATATCCAAGTGACAGGTCAAATCGATCCCGTAAAGATGAATCTCGATCCAAATGATGAAGGTGGCCAATACGATATCGTCATGCCAAAGGGTGCCGTGTGTGCTGGTGGATGGAAGCATTTTGTCAACCTTATTGAACCCTCAAGCAATACCTATTGTCTCCGTTGCTGTGTAAGTCATCCATTTTTTCATCCCAATTCACAATTTGATCCTTACAACGTCGTTTTTAGCACAGTAAAAAAGACTGCAACAGAGGGATATCAGAAAAGGGCTGTGGGCACATTATCCCTGGTGATTACAGTGGTCCAATGGATGGTAGTGGTCCTTCGACTGGTGGTGGTGATAACAATCCTTCTCCACCTCCTGCAACAACAACATCTGCCCCACAGCCTTCTTCTTCGCCTGAAGAGCCTTCTACTTCTCCTGAAGTACCTTCATCATTGCCATCATCATCGTCTGGTGAAGCACCATCATCAGCAGGCGTTTCCGAATCAGCATCGTCATCAGCAGCTCCTTCTTCGTCAGCGGCTCCTTCTTCTTCTTCTTCATCGGCTGCTGATAATGCTCCTTCCGATGCTGGTAACGCATCCCAAAATCCTTCAGGCTCGTCTTCCAGTGATAGTGACGAAGAAAAGGTTTCAGCTCAAGCCGTCAATGATGAAAGTGGTGCCATGACGCTTGTTCCTGCCATCGGTACAGCTGCTGCCATTATTGTAGCATCCATTCAATTGATTGCCTAAACAACACCCTATCTATTACTACTTGTTCAATATAAAACATACTACCTAATTCTTATACCTCTTGCATTGTATGTTGTCAACTTTGCGATTTGATCACGTGTAAGGGTCGCCACACTGGTTGCTATGATACTGTAGTCACCCAAAAGGGAACATGGCAACCAGGTTGTCATGGATGTTGAAGAACGTTTGTTGAATAGCAGAGCATTGTCAAAGAATGGGTTGCGTACAATGGAGCACCTTGTCATTGAAATGCATGGGTGGTTTTCAAGTGTGGAAGAAAAGAGGCGAGGTTGGCATCCCCGTACATTATCAAAATGAACGCGTTTTGTGGTACAAGGATCATCACGAGACGCTTTAAAAAGTGTGTCATCTACCCCTCGACTAAAATTGGATGATGATCACATCGATAATCAAAGATGGATGGTATCAAGGTAAAATGGATGCTACATCCTTCGACTGTTGGTAGTGGTAGTGGTGGTGAGAACAACCCAACCACTAGTGTCCCTGCTGCAACCGACAAGCCCATTGATGATGATGGTGATAATTTTGCAAATGGTTCTTGTGGATCGTCAAAAAGCTCTAGTGATACTGGTACGACTCAAACACTAATGGCTTCATCGACCTTGTCAGTATCGCCATCCATCACCACATCGTTGCCTCTCTCGTCCACCCAGTCAAACCTTCCTTCCATGTCCACCACAGCTAGCAGCTCCGATGATGCACAACCTTCATCATCAAATGACAATAATGCTGATGACGATGTTACAAGTGCACAATCTGTGAACAGCGAGAGTTCAGCAAGCAAGGTTACCCCTGTTTTGGCCTTTGTAGCGGCAACATCCTTGGTATTCTTAAAGCTTATGTAGATATAAGTTTTTATCCCATTCTGTGTACTCTATCCAAGCAATTACCACCATATCCTAATAATGTTTATTTTTCATGCAATAACAATGTGATACTCGTAACGGGTTGTGATGACGAGGGGATTTTTCATTGTGCAGAGATCATTGTAAATGGTCATGGGTTGGTGGGCTTTACTTGGGGGCGTCGATATGTACCGATATGCTCAAATAGCCAATCCACCTTGCGAACCTGGAATTTCTGTATTTGTCGACCGTATTGAGTGTTCATGAAATCTGCCTTTGGAATTAGGAGAACACGTTCCTTTAATGTCGTGAGTTGCATGTCTCCCAGATTCGTATCACTTGTGTTGGCTGATTTGGGTAGATGCCGCACCACTGTGCCACCGGCAGCATTGATCACATCCTGAACACGCTCCTTCATTTGCTTATACCCCTTCCCCTCGCTCTCCCAAAATCCGTACAATGTGATTGCAATGTCTTTCAACAACGTCCCATTCTAAGCATGAGAATACGTAAGTATACAATATTGTTCGTCGCTCTCACTTCTTACCATCTCCAAAGCCCGTTGTGGTGCATTTGTTGTTCCCGATATATGATCACCGGTGACCATGAAATTATGCTCCTTGGCAAAGGTCTCCTGAGTAATGCTCTCTTCGAGCCCTACATCCGATAGATAAGCTTTTCATCCATATAAGGTTGTTGATATACATACATTGAGTAAACACAACAACTTTCTTGAGGGCAATACCCAGCATGTATGATTCGGTTCGGCTTGCCAAACCTTTGGCATCGATTGCAGAAATAATATCGATGGTGTCCTTCATAACTTGGCTGTGGACGGAAATACGAAGCCCATTGCTATCCGCTTGCGTGCAGAGGTCCTCAATGACATCCTAAAGAAAATACATCATGAATACGAGTAACACTAACACTTGGAATGTGATTCAGGTGTACTCACCGGGCTTGTGTCCGTGAAACAGACTTAAAGGATTTTCGCTTCGTGGAATCCGTTAAGAAGAGTTGTGAAAATCGCTCTTAGCGTGATGTGTCATCCAGGTTGGTATTGCTTGTCGGGTTCTCTGTTGGCAGATTACACACGACCACACCACCGTCAGCGTTGCATACATCTTGTATTTTTCCCTTGCGTTGTTTGTAGCCCTTCCCAATGTTCTCCCAAAAACCATATAAGATGATTGTGACTCCATCCAAAAGGGTCCCGTTCTAAGCATGAGAACAGGTTAATATCTGATATTGATAATCATGCATCGCACTTCTTACCATATTGAGGCCGAGTTGGGGTGCATTGGCTACGCCTGATATGCGGGAAGTTGTTACATAAATAACCACCGTAGGAGTTGGAGGGGTGGTTCCCCTGCTCTTTGCACCATGTCAAATCCACCATGTTGTCAATTTCAGCACCAGACGTAGACCATGGCATCGAAACCAACTTTTGCAGACGCCTCACGGAGAGATAGCTATATCGAAAGTAACAAGGTGGCAGCGTGTATGAGTAGTGGGTCATCAAGCAACATGATCAGGCTTTACCTCGTTACAAGAATGCAATATCGCAATATAACGACAACGAGAGTAGTAGCTCAAAAATAAGGCACTATGAAAGACCACAAAAGATTAGCACTTGTTCACAAAGCTTGCAAGAAATGGGACACGTACAACACCTTGGAAATTTGACCTTGTAAGCAATCAAAAGAGGATGGTAGAGAAAAGAGAGATGTGGGAGAATGGTGAGGGGCGACAACATCCTTTTATTGTGCATGATGGGCGTGGGTATTGTTGTCTGTTGGGGAGGATGATGCATTGATAAATCGATACATGAGCTGATAAAGTGATGGGGAGCAATGTTGTCGATACATCCTTCGGCCAAAATAGGGCAAGTGATAAGAAATCTATCAACGAAATTAATCACGTGTACGCATAATGCACATCCCCACCATGTTGTCAACTTACTCTTAATATTGGGTATGCATGTTCGATAAACAGCGAGAATGATCGGATCACGAGAATATGGCCAATTCCAAGGCTGTTGGTAATACAGGTGAAGAATTGCTTGTATTGCGGCGTACTTGATAGCTGATATGGATCATCCATTGGTATCCGTATATATCAAAGCAAGTTGCTGTACGTAAATAACGCGACTTCCATACAATGGCTATCTGCTGTTCATGTCGACAAAACTGCAAAGCCGTGATGCATGCAAAGAACGCTGTTCGACACAATGATATAAAGGCCTTCCTAGTAGCTGCTGCTGTTACGTTTAGGTCGTGGCAGAGGAGCGTGCAAGAGTGTGTGTTGTAGTAGAGTGGCTGCTTGAGACAATGGAGTAGAGACCTTGCTAATGGGAGCTGCTGCTTCGATTGGGTGTGGCAGAGGAATGTGTAAGACAGAGTGTAGTATCAAGGAAGACGTGTGCTGTAGCAGCAGAGTGACAAGAAGGCTGTGTGCACGCCATGGACTTGCCATTCGGTCAAAGGCAATCGGATCAAGGCAAACGTATGCTTGGCATGATGGGTTGAAGCAGGGCAATCGTTGACAGGTGGTAGTTGTACTTATATGGGCCAACAGTTGAGAATGGGAGGAAGAGGGAAGAAGCTGTGAGTGGAAGTTTAAGTAGGCTGAGCTGTCGGACACCTCTTGTATATATGCATGAACACTGTACATCAAACCTTGATATTGAGATTGCCCCTCTCGAACCTGAAACTTTTACACAAGATGTTCTTGGACATGCTGATCACGTTGATTGAAAAAAGACCTCATGTTTCATTATAAGAAACTGGAATGGGAGGGTGCAACGTGGGATTTACTATGTAAGTCGGAAATGGATGTCAGCGCCAGATTCATGATTTATGGAAATAGTATGCATTACCTTGGGATTCCCCATTTCGAACTTGAAACTTTGTCGGTAGGTTCGCTGCAACATGCTGATTAACTTCATTCATTTAAAAGTCGCAGACTTCATTATGAAGATTTAAAATGCGGGGCGGCCCAAATGGTGGATATGGGGAACAAAAGAGCGGACGGCCCACCGCCCCGAAGTTGCCCACCTCCAACTTGAAAATTGGTCAGAAGGATGCTCCGAGCATGCTGATCAACATTTTTCTAATAAAAACTTCATGCTTCATTTGAAAATTTGGAATGGGAGCGTCCAAAAGTTTGAAAGACGAAGACATTCGCAGGGTCTGTCTTTCAAGAATTGACATGTTTGCTGTTCCAGCGTAGCTCAGTCAAATCGGCCCGGATCAAGAAACTTGAATGATGGAAATGCTCGGCTGGAGCAGGAGCATCATTTCACTGTTTTACAATGAACAAAAGTTGGGATTGAGAGGAAGTGGCTATTAGCTGCAATACATGAATGTTACTAAAGTATCATACGTTGACCCTTCCAATCATGCAAAATAGCTGAGTTACACAAAGCCGTCCCTGTGCATCTTTTGCTCTGTCAGGGCCAAGCTGCTTCACAATGAACAAAGACCACCTCTCATATAGCATCACGCTTACAGGATAGTGAAAACATAAAGACAGTCATATCTCAAGATTTTACAATCAAACGTGGGGTCTTTAATAGAACAAAGCTGCTCGGTGGGGTGAAAGCGATCTTGTGTCAAAGTATGAAGTCCATCGTGGCCATTCCCAGATTCACCCAATGTCGCCACCAGCCAAAAAATAATTTCAAGAGGTCGAACCACTTTGGCTGGTGGCGACATGGCGAAATCTGGGAATGGCCACGATGGTCTTCATACTTTGACACAAGATCGCTTTCACCCCGCCGAGCAGCTTTGTTCTATTAAAGACCCCACGTTTCATTGTAAACTTTTGATATACAACTGACTTTATGTTTTTACCCCGCTGTAAGCGTAATGCTATATGAAGAGTGGTCTTTGTTCATCGTGAAGTAGCTAGGCCCTGACAGAGCAAAAGATGCAGAAGGACTTGCTTGTGTAACTGAGCCTGCAAAGGTCAAGGATTGAAGGGTCGAATTCTATTGGAAGAGAATTGCATGATTGATCCTTCCCCTCCCTTCCCATAGTAAGTTCCGCCCATGATGGCCGTATGGAACGATTCGTTTTTATATAAGGATACATAGGATAGCGTTAGCTGATGACTGTCATAGATGATAAGCATGGCTTGTTCATGTGCTTGTGGTATATTGTATAACAGCTCATCCTTTCTTGGCTACGATGCATTAAGCTCCCAATGAATACCATACTCTGTAACAAGCAAATGTTGGGCACCATCATTCGCAAATTAGTTATCTTTGTAATACAACCGTTAAAGAATCGCCACTGCATTTCGTCTACCATCAGCATGTGTGCTAGAAAGCTATAGTGAGATCATAAAACGTTGTGGCAAAAGAACAAAAGAATCGCGATACGACTATGTAAATGATCCAACCTCGCTTTTCGATCTTCTATTTCTATTCCCTCCCTCAAACCAGAAACAAACCAAGTGATCCACATCTTGCCCATACGAGTTGATAGCATGATACCCCAAATATTATCTTCGATCCAATTTTCATTCAATGACAAAGCTAAAGAATAGTACATGGTAGTGTGTATGTTTATCAAGAAATACGATAAAGGAACAACATTGGACATTGAATAAGCAAAGAGTGGAATCAAATAGAGGCCACAGGGTCCATGGTGTCATTGCATTCTTGGTGCTGCCGTCATAAGCATCTTCATCCATCCATGGCTGTACAACACCAGTCGTCAAAGAGATAAGCCCTTTTGTCAATTCCATCCAATCCATCATCATCCTTAGCCGTATCCAAGTGATAGGATCCATCTTCCCTGCTGACGACGCGTCAAGTAACCAAAGCAACATTCCATGATTCACCATCACTGCACTTGATTGCATCCCTTCATCCATAATCATCGCAAATTCCATATGTTGGTTGAAAAGGGCCATGAGATCGCTGCATGCTTCCATTTCCATCCTGCTGTTGATCTCTCTCTTTCTTGGTCGGGTTTCCATTACTGCTCAATCAGGAAAAATACATATAGTACTCAACCTCGGCCAAGAGAGCCCACTTTTTAATTTCAACGGCGGCAGAAGGGGAACCCACCCCTCCAACTCTCATGGCGGTGATTTAACGACTTCCCTTCATCTCCTTCCTCCTCATCAGCTGCTGATAATGCTCCTTCCAACGCTGGTAACGTATCGCAAAATCCTTCAGGCTCATCTTCCAGTGATAGTGATGAAGAAAAGGTTTCAACTCAAGCCGTCAATGATGAGAGTGATGCCATGACTCTTGTTCCTGCCATCAGTACAGCTGCTGCCATTATTGTAGCATCCATCCAATTGGTTGCCTAAACAACACTCTATCTATTACTGCTTGTTCAATATAAAACCTACAGCCTAAATATACCTCTTGCATTGTATGCTGTCAACTTTGCAATTTGATCACGTGTAAGAGTCGCCGTTTCCAGCATGGTTGCTATGATACTGTATTCGTCCAAAAGGAACATGGCAACCAGGTTGTCATGGATGTTGAAGAAGGTTTGTTGAATAGCAGAGCATTGTCAAAGAATGGGTTGTGTACAATGGAGCACGTTGTCATTGAGATGCATGGGTGGTTTTCAAGTGTGGAAGAAAAGAGGCGAGGTTGGCATCCCCGTACATTATCAAAATGAACGCGTTTTGTGGTACAAGGGTCATCACGAGACGCTTGAAAAGTGTGTCATCTACCCCTCGCCCGAAATTGGATGATGATCACGTCGATAATCAGAGATGGATGGTATCAGGGTAAAATGGATGCTGTGTGGACGGTTTTATTTGCAAAGAGGGATACATTCAATGACATGACTAAGTGGGCTTTTCCCTCTCTTGGGGACGGCGACATGAAGACACATGTTGAAATAACCATTCTACTTTACGAACTTGGAATTCGTGGACTCGACGACCTTATAAAGTGTTGCGAAGTTCGGTTGTAGGTATCAAAAACACTGGTTCGGATAACGTGGTTACTTGCTTCTCGTCGAAGTTGGAATCACTTGTCTTATTCTGGGTTTTTGGTAAATTCCGCTCCACTGTGCCTCCCGCAGCATTGCATAGGTCTTGTAGTTTCTCCTTCAAAGATTTATACCCTTCCCCTTCAATGCCATACGAGCAACGTCCGGGGATCCCTTGTTCTTGAAAAATCACTGCACGAATCACGCAAGGCCAGTTCGATCCATGGCAAGGAAGGATATCACTTACGTAGAGTCCAGGCTCATAGTTGTCCTCATTCATCCTCTCCAAAGAAAGAATTATCCCCAATCCTTCCAAAAGCTTTCCCTTCTAAGCATGAGGATACGTAAGTATCCAATATTGTTCATCGCTCTCACTTCTTACCATCTCCAAAGCTCGTTGTGGTGCACCAGTGGCGCCGGCAATATGATCACCGGTGACCATGAAATTGTTCTCCTTGGTAAATGTCTTCTGAGTAATGCTCTCTTCGAGCCCTACATCCGATAGATAAGCTTTTCATCCATATAAGAAGGTTGTTGATACATACATTGTGTAGACACCACATGTTTTGAGAGGGTAATTTCCAATACATGCGATTCGGTGCGACTGGCAATACCTTCGGCATCCACCATTGAAACAATGTGTATCGTATCCTTCATTACTTTCTCGTGTACCACAATATGTAATCCGTTGGCGCTTGCTCGTTTGAGGATATCATCTTTCATGTCCTACAAAAAGTATACCAAGGGTGAATAACACTAATACATGGAAGAATGCCTGCTTCAGGTGTACTCACCGGACTTGTGTTTGTAAAGCACACTTTAACGGATTTTCGCTTGATGAAACCCGTCAATAAGAGTTGATAAATTTGCGAATCGGGATGATAATGACGGGCTCTTGTAATGTGTCATCCACGTTGGTATCGCTTGTGGGGTTCTCTGTTGGCAGATTGCTCTCGACTGTAGCCCCGGCAGCATTGACAAGATCTTGAATTCGCTCCTTCAAATGTTTGTACCCCTTGCCCTCGCTGTCCCAAAAACATACAATGTGATCGTAACATCTTCCAACAACGTCCCATTCTAAGCATGAGAACAGGTTAATATCTGATATTGATAATCATGTCTCGCACTTATTACCATACCGAGGCCGAGTTGTGGCGCATGAGTTACGCCTGATGTGGAGGAAGTCGTTACGCAAATCACCACCATGGGAGTTGGGGTGGTTCCCCTGCTCTTTGCACCATGTCAATCCACCATGTTGTCGATTTCAGCACCAGACGTAGACCACGGGACCGAAATCAACTTTTACAGATGCCTCACGGAGAGATAGCTATATCGAAAGTAACAAGGTGGCGGCGTGTATGAGTAGTGGGTCATCAAGCAACATGATCAGGCTTTACCTCGTTACAAGAATACAATATCGCAATACAACGGTAATGAGAGTAGGATACAAAATAAAGCACTATGAAAGGCTACAAAGATCAGCATTTGTTCACAAAGCCTGCAAGAAAAGGGATACATACAAACCTTGGAAATTTGACCTTGTAAGCAATCAAAATAGGATGGCAGAGAAAAGAGAGATGTGGGAGAATGGTGAGCGGCGACAACATCCTTTTATTGTGCATGATGGGCGTGGGTATTGTTGTCTGTTGGGGAGGATGATGCATTGATAAATCGATACATGAGCTGATAAAGTGATGGGGAGCAATGTTGTCGATACATCCTTCTGCCAAAATAGGGCAAGTGATAAGAAATCTATCAACGGGATTAATCACTTTGTACGGATAATATACATCCCCATTATTGCAAAGGTGACTTCCCATGTTGTCAACTTACTCTTAATGCTGGTATGCGTGTTCGATAAGCAGCGACAATGGTCGGATCACGACAACATGGCAGATCCAAGACGGTTGGGTAATACAGGAAAAGTGCATAAAGTACTCAACCTCGACCAAGCGAGCCCTTGTTTTCAGTTTCAATGGCGGCAGAAGAGAAATCCGCCCCTCCAACTGCCATAGTGATGATTCAACCCTTCTTCTTCTTCTTCTTCTTCTTCCTTATCAGCTGCTGGTAATGCTCCTTCTGATGCTGGTAACGTATCGCAAAATCCTTCAGGCTCGTCTTCCAGCGATAGTGATGAAGAAAAGGTTTCAGCTCAAGCCGTCAATGATGAGAGTGGTGCCATGACGCTTGTTCCTGTCACCGGTTACAGCTGCTGCCATTATTGTAGCCTCCATCCAATTGATTGCCTAAACAACACCCTATCTATTACTACTTGTTCAATATAAAACGTACACCCTAACTATACCTCTTGCATTGTATGTTGTCACCTTTGCGATTTGATCACGTGTAAGAGTCGCCGTTTCCAGATGGTTGCTATGATACTGTAGTCACCCAGAAGGAACATGGCAACCAGGTTGTCATGGATGTTGAAGAAGGTTTGTTGAATAGCAGAGCATTGTCAAAGAATGGGTTGTGTACAATGGAGCACGTTGTCATTGAGATGCATGGGTGGTTTTCAAGTGTGGAAGAAAAGAGGCGAGGTTGGCATCCCCGTACATTATCAAAATGAACGCGTTTTGTGGTACAAGGGTCATCACGAGACGCTTGAAAAGTGTGTCATCTACCCCTCGCCCGAAATTGGATGATGATCACGTCGATAATCAGAGATGGATGGTTTCAAGGTAACATGGATGCTACACCCCACCGGCATGCTGTCATGCATAAAGATCCATACATGGTGGCCAACATAGAGGCTTCTTGCCCAAGTGGATCATTGTTGAGATACCAATCGAAACAAAAGAAATCATAAAAAAGTAAAGGGAGCAATATGATTCTTGTTCAGCGTGGTGTATGGCAGATTGACTACAACAGAATAAAGATGGCTTGCCTTTTCATGGATCAGGACCTCTTGAGATGCAGTATTACATGGTTTTCTTAATCGTGTACCACCATGTTGATTTCAATCCCCTAAGGTCAGGTACACCAACAAGCCGCTGCAATTATGGCAGGGGCCTAGATCCAACAAAGAATGTGGCATGTATTTATATGGGTAGATTCGAAAATAGCTATAGGGTTAGGTTTACCTCTCCCAAGGGCGCATTACATTGGCAACTTTATGCACAAGGATCAGGGCATCAGCTTACAACGATACGTACATAGATTTGGGTGTTGACATTGTAGGCAACCAAAGGAGATAGATAGGAGGAAAGAGACGATGATACGTGACAACATCCTTTTCATTTACGTGCCTGGATGTGTGAACTTCAATTAACCACGACGAGGGGAGGAAAAAGTGATGAGTTCGGGACCACTTTCACTAATAGGAAGATGTCTGGCGAGCTTACGTGTGGTGATTGTCCATGCATAAATCCAGGATTACCAAATTAGGACAGCTGACAATACCCATCATCATTAAAGAATGACATCAAGTTGCTATCACAAAGCGATTGGTTTGCTCAAATTGGGCGAAATGAGACGTTTTTCATTTGAAGTTTTAGCATTCGTTACAGTAAAAGTCGTTGATACCATTGTCGATAAGCATAGTGCACATGCATAAATGTTCCCTGTGCGGCCATCATAGGTCCCATGAGTTGATACAACAACGGCTTCCACCTCTTCTTTGACCTATGAGAGCAATGTCTACTCTTTGTTTCTGCTATCATTTGCTTTCAATTTTATAAGCTAACGTATCCCTATTGTGGTGAATGACCTCGTTAACATCTTTCATCGACCCTGCTGCAAAATTAACGTTGCCTGACAACGACGTTGCCATCTCAAAGCTCCACAGCATAGTTGTTTTTTCATGCAATTACATATTTGCTGGAAGACGCCAATTCATCGATAAGACTCCTTAAAAACGACAAACCAGCATTCTCTCACGTGACATCAAGTACCTAAACACCCACATCGGCAGATGAAACTATGCGAAAAGGAGCCATGCGGTGTGTATGTTATTAGACTCCAGCCACACCGCATATGGAACTCTCACTCGCTTGCTGACTGGATACACACATACACTATTCTCTCTCTCTCGCTCTCTCCTCTCCTCTCTCTTTTCTCTCTCTCTCTCTCGCTGTCGTCGCTCTCTCTCTCTCTCTCTCTCTTTTTCTTTTCTCGTCTCTCTTTTTCTCACCACCCTACGTCCACGTATACAACAAGCTCTTTCTCTTTACGTTACATTTTCCCATCCACCTTGGTCGCTTCCTCCCCCACATTATACGTTATTTGCCATCTCCTTTGGCATCTAGAGCTGCCCTTTTAAAATCATGGAACCATCTCGCCAAGCAGCCAGCAAAAGCGACACTCATGTTACGTTTAGACAAGGATTCCAAGATACCAACTATATCGGGATTACGATTGGGGACCAACAGGACGAAGGTGCCAAATCAAAGACCATGAACAAAGGTCCACCTCCACCACCTCCACCACAGCATATTGGAACACCTTTAGATTATCGACATTCATTCAATGGATTTTCACAACGAACAAAAACAGCAACGAATACCAATCGACAACAACAACAACCTTCATCAACAACATCCACATCATCGTCATCTTCATCCTTGTCTCGGCATGCATCCATTAGTCTGCCTGCGATCAACACCAATCTACATCCACCACCTCAACAACAACATCACATACCTTCATTATCAGCAACAGCAGCCGCTGGTTCACCCATGTTATCGCCCCGTTACCCTGGAACACCCACCTATCAACAACAACAACAATCCTCGCCTTTGTATTCACCCTTAAGATCAGCACCACCATTATCACCCATCTATAGGCCAACTTCACCTATAAAATCCGGTGCCTTTTGGAAAATCAAATCATCGTCATCGTCAACATCATCATCATTATCATCGCCGTATCCATTTAGTCTCCGTGCCGCAGCAACGACGACGACAAGTAGCAGCAGCAGCAGCAATAACAAAGTAATGTACATCCAACTAGACACGATTTTTATTCTCTCTTTCAAAAAGAAGAAAAAACTGAAACTCACTTTAGCCCCTGCTAGCCATGACAAGGAATCTAAGCTTGACCTATCAGCAATGCAATCAGGGATTCAAGTACAATTCAGGTCATAATCCACGTCGCGTGCTTACCAAACCGAGCAAACCGGCTGCCAATGATGGATACGACAATGAGGACTTTGATTACATCTTGTATGTCAATGATATCCTGGGTGGTGCTCAAGGACACAAGTAAGTCTTTACTTTTTCGGATGATGATAACGACGCGGGGTATATTCAATGATGCTCTATAGGTATGTGATTTTGGATGTATTGGGTGCAGGCACCTTTGGTCAGGTTGTCAAGTGCAAAAACATCAAGACGCAACAAATTGTGGCTGTCAAGGTGGTCAAGAACAAGACGGCCTATTCCAAACAAAGCATGATGGAGGTGGCCATCTTGGAAATGGTAAAAAAAAAGAGGTGCACACATAAAAGCATGGAGATATTGACATGGAAGATGTAGTTGAACAATCAATTTGATCCAGAGGACCAGCATCACATTTTACGATTGATGGACACCTTTATTCATCACAAACATCTATGTTTGGTGTTTGAATTGCTATCCGTCAACTTGTATGAGCTCATCAAGCAAAATCAGTTTCGTGGATTATCGACCAATTTGGTTCGGGTGTTTACAGCACAAATCTTGGATGCAATGACCGTGTTGAATGAAGCAAGGATCATTCATTGTGATCTGAAACCAGAAAACATCCTTTTGAAAAAGTACGTACATGAGGATCATGTTGTTCATTATACTCATCAAAGTATGCTTAGCCTCGAATCACCCACGATCAAAGTCATTGATTTTGGCAGTGCATGTCATGAAGCACAAACCATGTACACGTATATCCAATCTCGCTTTTATCGGTCTCCCGAAGTCTTGGTCGGACTACCATATACGAGTGCGATTGATATGTGGTCTCTGGGTTGCATCGCTACGGAGCTGTTTCTAGGGTTACCATTGTTTCCTGGTAGCTCGGAATATAACCAAGTATCTCGTATTGTGGAAATGCTTGGGTAAGTTAGAGGGTGGTAAACGATGGGTATGTGACATGTTGCATTAACGTTTGTGTACATGTATAGCGTGCCGCCGAATTATATGATTGAGATGGGGAAGAATGCACATCGATACTTTGAAAGATACATTGACGAGAATGGAGAGAAAAAGTATCGGCTACGATCATTGGAGCAGTATTCTCGAGAGCAGGGCAAAATGGAACAACCATCCAAACGATACTTTTCTGCGAGGACGTTGCCTGATCTGATCAATAATTATCCTATCATGAGGAAAGCATCCATGACAGCCAAGGAGATTGAAAAGGGTAAGGAGTGGTTTTGTTTTCATGGAATGTTGGGCTCATACAAATGAAAAATAGAGAAACAAAGTCGACTTGCTTTTATTGATTTCCTTCAAGGATTGCTCAATTTGAATCATTTTGAACGATGGTCACCGCAACAAGCCAAACAACATCCATTCATCACTGGTGAAGAATTCACTGGTCCATTTAAGCCTGCTCCCTACACACCTCGCAAACCAGCTCATTCCCCCATCAAGATTCATCATCCACCGCCACCTCCACAACCATCACAGCAACCTACGCTACCAGTGATTTTGGATGAAGCAGCAGCAGCATCAAGTCCATACATGGCACCTATCTCTGAATATGATCATCCTCAGAATAACAGCCATCGCTTCTTTTCTGGATCATCATCATCCTCATCAGCAGCAGCAACAACTGCGTATTCATCCAGCCTTCCCAATTATTACACTCACAATTCCATGTTTTTCCCAATGCGACAATCGACGAACGAGAATCAACCATCAGCATCCACTTCTTCTTCCTCCATACAACCTCCACGGTTACTGCATCATCGAGGATCGTATAATGGCATGTCATTACCAAGGGTATTAGAACCACCTGATGGATTAGCGACATGTTATGAAGGGATGCCTACGACAACAACAACGACTGCCAGTACGACGACAACTACGAGTAGTAATAGTATACAATCTGGCATCATGATACCACCACCTACGACAACATCAACAACCACTACTACCACCACCACCTCAGCCTCTGGTAGACCACGTGCCAGTACCCTTGGATCCATGCAAGTACCACCCCCCATTCAATTAGTCTCTGCTGATGTGGCTGGAGAATTACCTCTTTTTACGACCCCACGCAATCATCACCATGCATACCGACAACATACCCAACAACAAGACTCGTTATTTTATCCCTCCTCTTCCTCCATCAAACAACATCCGGTGACAGCAGCAGCAGCAGCTAGTGGTGGTAGTAGTGGTCCTTCAAGTGATTGGGATTGCTGGGACAAGGTGGATTTAGAACGTGATGGTGATTGGAAAGAACAAGTTCCTCATAGCAGGCGATCTTCGTATCATAACAACCACCGGAGGAGTAACAGCAGTATTCAACTTTCCGATATGATGCCTTCAAGAAGTCATAGCATGGTACATAGTTTGCATCGTCGCGTTCGAGGACATCCACCACCGTATGCACGTCAAGATCTTGAATGGGACGGGATCATTTCTTCTTCTTTTGAGCCTGCCATGCATGGTAATAGTAGTAGTAGTAGTAGTAATGCTGCTGCTGCTGCTAGTAATCGTAGTAGTAGGCAACAAAGATGGAGTCAACAACATGAAAAGACTGGATGGACGATGGCATGATGCATTGGCAATAAAAAATTACATGTTTTCTTCTCTCCTCATATCTTAATGAAAATGTTGTCAAGTCGACAGTGATTGGCCCATCCCACTCATAGGATACAAAATTCAGTGACAAGCGGCGGCGCCGGGGCTTTCACCTCTTCCTTTTCTAAACGCGTGTGTGTGTTGCGGACTATGGTTACCTTTCATGTCGCTTCAAGTAATGCCAAGATCCATGCCCAACGTGTCTTGATCCCACTCGAGTCCATGCAACAGCTTGCATTGGCTACCGGTGATCGTGTGCTTGTCAAACATGCTGACTCTCCCGACAAGGTATTCTCCTCATAGACACTGACTGCTGTACGTCCAAAAGTCCTTACATGTGTGTGTGTATGTACTACCATGAATAGTTTGTGTTGCGAACAGCATGGCCATCATTGACCTTGGATAAGGATGGTAAATCATGATGCTTGTAGCGTCTATACCCTCTCTCTCACATACACGCACATGTGCATGCATGATTTTTAGTGATTGAAATGAGCACGGCTACACGACTTGCAGGCGAATTCCAAGTGGGCGATCCCATCCATGTTGAAAAGTATACACCATCATCCGATACCACCAGCATTGCTACTCGAGTGACATTACGAATCCTGGCCATGCCTGAATTTACATTGAATCCAACATTGACATCTTACTTACAAGAGACCTTATGCAAGTATATAAAGAAAGGACATTATGCATCATGTGAATTAATGGTATGTTATAGGCGATCGACGTTATGTGACACGTGGCGATGTGATGGATGTGCGTTATATGGGTCAACTACGACGACTACGAGTGGAAAAGATCCATCCTGATATTCCCATGGCGCTGATGTCTACCAACACCCAAGTGGTTGTCTTGCTTCCCGATGATAAGGATACCGATCATGAGCAGCAGAAACAACAAGAATCCAAGCCTATCAGTTATCAGGACATTGGTGGATTAGGGAAACAAATCAATCAAGTGCGAGAAATGGTGGAGGTATCATTACAAGATCCTGAATTATTTGTCAAATATGGTAGGTAAAGTGGGTGGTGTGTATGTGATGCATACTGACGGGTGCATAATACTAGGCATGAAACCACCAAGGGGCGTATTATTATATGGACCACCTGGCACAGGCAAGACATTGATTGCAAGAGCAGTGGCACAAGAAACCAAAGCCCATGTGATGGTCATTAATGGTCCTGAAATCATTAGTCGATATTATGGAGAAACAGAACAAAAGGTATGTAAAGGAACCCCTTATTCAAGGATTTTGCTCATACAATGTGTGCCTAGCTACGTGACATATTTGCGGTTGCCAGGGAACGGGCCCCTTCTATTATTTTCATTGATGAAATTGATTCCCTATGTCCCAAACGTGATGAGGTAAGAAAATGGATTCCAGGCAGCATACTAGGGTGTTTGTTGACATGAAGGATTAGGCTCCTACCGAATTGGAAAAACGTGTGGTGACAACTTTGCTTACTTTGATGGATGGTGTGGAAACATCGCGTGCCAATGAAACGTCCACAACAACAACAACAGCGGATCGTATTGTAGTCTTGGGTGCCACCAATCGACCCAATGCTTTGGATGAAGCGCTTCGAAGACCAGGAAGATTTGATCGTGAAATTGAAATTGGCAAGTAAAAGTGGGTTGGGGGGTTATCCTACACGCCTTTTTACTCATCTTTTCTTCTTCTTTATAGGTATTCCCAATAGCGATGCACGATTATCCATTCTCACCACCTTGTTGAAACGGATACCCAATATGCTCACTCAAGAGGATATCAATACAATTGCAAGCAAAGCGCATGGCTATGTAGGTGCAGATTTGGCGGCTGTATGTAGAGAAGCGGGTCTTTTTTGTATTCGGCGGAATGCTCAATCGGGTAAGCTCATGTCACACATACCTACATGCATCATTCACATTTATTGACGTTACACTGTAGAATCCAAAGTGGATCTCAAGGTGACTTTACAAGATATGAATGACGCCATGACTGGTATTCGACCAAGTGCAATGCGAGAGGTAGAGAGAAAAAAGAAGGATGCAACAAAACGTTGAACTTTTTGTATTATAGATCATGCTTGAAGTACCCAAGGTGTATTGGGCTGATATTGGCGGACAAGCTTACATCAAGGATAGACTAAAGGAATCCATTGAGTGGCCATTAAAGGTATATATATAGAGAGAAAGAAACATGTTTGATTCCATCATTGATATGCCATCTATTATAGCATCCAGAAGCATTTGAACGTATGGGCATTCGTCCTCCAAAAGGGATTCTATTATATGGTCCACCTGGTTGTAGCAAGACATTGATGGCCAAAGCACTGGCAACGGAAGCAGGTTCAAACTTTATTGCTGTCAAAGGACCCGAGGTAGGTATATACATACACATCATGTGCGTGTGTTTATCCTAAAAGTATGTTTATCTCGCTAGTTATTTAGCAAGTGGGTTGGTGAATCTGAAAAGGCTGTTCGTGAAGTGTTTCGTAAAGCAAGAGCTGCATCGCCTTCCATTGTCTTTTTTGTAAGTTTATCTTTACACACACACATGCACATGACCCCTTACTTACATACAAAGCTAATACTTTTATAGGATGAGATTGACGCGCTTACTGTCAAACGCGGGTCGGATGGCAGTGGGACTTCAGTAGCAGATCGTGTGCTTTCTCAACTTTTGAATGAAATGGATGGCATTGAACCTTTGGTAAATGTGACCGTGGTGGCTGCTACCAATCGACCGGATATCATTGTAAGTGATAATAGTGATGATATAAAAGAGGGCGGGGAACTAACGGACGCGTTTATTTAGGATGACGCGTTACTTCGACCAGGTCGTATTGATCGTATTCTTTACGTGGGTCCACCTGATTATGACTCCCGTCGTGACATCTTTCAAATCCAAATCGCCAAAATGACTTGTGACAAGGATGTGGACATTGACGAATTGGCCCAAAAGACCGAAGGATGTTCAGGTGCAGAAGCAGTGGCACTATGTCAAGAAGCAGCCTTGTTTGCCATGGAAGAGGATGTGCATATCGATTCGGTAAAGTTTTTGTCATATGTTGTTTCATTTCTCTATTTATTTATACATGTGTGTGTGTGTGTTACAGATCAAGCGACGACACTTTCTAAAAGCACTGGGGTCCTTCAAACGACGCATCACACCAGAAATGCTCCAGTTTTATGCCGATTTCCAAACCCGTTCAGGTCTTTTACCCGCTTAATACATATCAAAAATACAAATACACGCGTTATTTATGTTACACACTTGAATGCGATTCCTGGAAATTTCAATTTGAACTATTTCACACACGCACACAGGCTTTTATTGTTGGTAGTAAACAACCCGTAGTGGTAGTTGTAGTAGTCATCGACCTAAGCTCTGGCACGGCTACCAGCACCAGTACCATCATCGTAAAGTTGTTGGTCCCAAAGGTACACACCAAGGCCTAATAAAAGAGCATGTTGAGATATACATGTACGCGTACTATTGAGTGTGTGTGCGTGTGCAATTTACCTTCGCCCACGCGGTTGAGTTGAGTGACCATGTCAGCCAATTTCTTGATGGCAGTAACCTGTTCTTCAAGGTACTCCTTTTCAATAAAGTCACACATTTGAGGATCATTGTTGCCATCCGAGATCTTGTGGAGATTAAGCAATGACTTGTTGACATCTATGACAAGAAAACGTATGAGAATCACTTTTTCTCTTGTTTCATATCTATTCATACCCTTTTCAAGTTGAAGAGCCGCTTCCACTGCATTCTTGGCAGACTTCCAATCGGTCTATGTTGCGCGTGTGAGTAAAGAAACAAAGATCCCTTCGACAACAAAAGTACCTCAGGTGCTTGCAAGGCACGCAAAATCACTTTGCCACCACGGGTATTGACATAATCAATCAGCTTTTGAGCATGGTCACGTTCCTAAAGTTGACTTGTGTAAGAAGGAAGGAAAGGTGTCAACAACAATGCCATCAACTTGCCTCTTGAGCGGATTCACGAAAGTATTTTTCCAAGCCTAGGATAGAAAACAAGTTAGCGTGAGAAAGACAAAGGGGGATCCATTGGTTGTTATACCTGGAAGGGCAACCGAGGTATGTTGGGCCCATGCGCTCATGGAAAGATACACTTGAGAGGCTTGCAACTCAGTGTTGATTTGTTGGTTGAGAGCTTCCTCAGAGGCAGTAGCGAAGTTTTGCTTGGCCAACGACATGATAAAAAAGAGTAGGGGGGTTGAAAAAGATCAATGAAGAGAGAGAGAGAGAGATGAGGGAAAAGAAAACGAAACGACGCGTCTTGTTTTTATAAGGTTGGGGATTGGTATTGTTTATGCATACAAGAGACACCCAAGGAAAAGATAATCAATCAGTTCCACGCATATGTTTTTGTGTAGCCAAACAATAAAACGCATTCACTCACTCACTCACGCACTTGTACGGGATTTTGAAGGTGAAAAAAGTTTTCCCCGAAGTGGGTCTCCGAAAAAAGAAACGCGCGTTGTTAGACTCAGTTTCATCAGTGGTGCTTTAATGTCATGGCAACGCAACGCACGTACCCAGCCACGACTTTTTGCTCCTCTTTTATATATTGGCAGCGACTCCCTTCTCATCTACTCTATATATATATACTCCTTGTTATTGACTTGCTCCTTTTTCCTTTAACTTTTTTTCCCTTCACTAATCTCCTTACTGCTGCTGCTGCTGCTGCGTGTGTGTGTATATTTCATATCATTTTCCCTTACTTTACGGACATAATAATACACACACACACCCATATACTTTTCCCCTCCTTCCATTTCCTGATACGCACACACACACATACACACACACCAGCCTCAGTCTCTCTTTTTCTTTATCGCATACACATACACATATATACACATCCACCCCTCGATGATTTTTCGAAGCAAAGTGACGTTACTGGCAGTCCTATCCATAATCTACTTGTTCTTTTTCGTCATCCCTCGACTATCATCCGACATTGACGACCCCGATCTTGTTGAACCATCCTGGCGATGGCAGTATACACGACCGGCAACATTACCTTCTTATCGAGCAGCACCTCCTCCACCCACCGATGCCATTGTAGAAAGTAGTATATACACTTTATCGAATCAACCTGACAATGACGATAACAACAATGTCGTCGACGACGAGCAGCAGCAACAACAACAACCAACACCCACACCACCTATTGAACAAGAGCAACAACAGGATGATGCACATTCATATGATCCAAATGAAAAGTTTATTACATTCTTTACTCATAGTGGATTCCAGAATCAACTTATTCAAGGTAACTATCATTGCACTCTTTTCATCATTGCATGTTGTATTGAATTGCATCTTGTTTCTAGTGGAGAATGGCATCTTGTTGGCATGGTACCTGAATCGCACATTGATCCTTCCTCGAGCGTTGCTGGGAGAGGCGTTTGGCTGGAGCTATTTTGGGAAATTACACCTGGAACATATGTTACACGACCCTGTCAAGGAAAATGATTCAACGATGCCCGCCACTGATATTTGTGAATTCCTTGCTGACGACCTTGCATTTTGGGATGTGCCTTGTCCTGATCGATCACGTCATTCGGTTGTGCCCTTTGATGAAATCTTTGACTTGTCATGGGCCAAGGAACATGTACGCATTGTATTACGAGAACGTTCGGATTTCGATTGGTTGGATGAAAAGTATCATATTCGTCGTGCGGGTGTTCCTGATCAAGGCAATGGCTCTTATGTCGATGGTGACATTTTATTCTTTAAAGGTAAATTGTGAATGGCTATACAGTGTGTGTGTGTGTATACATGTATATTAACCACCAACCACCACCAAAAATAGGAGCGACACGGTACGACTGGCGCATCTTTGATACACCACGCAAGTCGCACCGACTGGGCAAATACGCTGAAAGCCTTGATATTTTCGAATTGCGCAAGCGACAAGAAAAGCTGATTCATTTCTCGAGTCTCTTTGGTACTGGCAAGTTACCTATTCGACGCCCTGAACATTATGAATTCCTTCGTACGCTTCAACGGAGCATCACGTATCGACATCCTGCTGTGCTGGCCGTAGCAGAACAAATTGTGGAAACATTGGGTGGACAAGGCAACTTTATTGGATTACATGTCAGGTACGGTACAAGCCAATGGCTAAAAACAAAACCAAATGTTGTCACACGCTGATGTGTATGCGATAATAGATCGGGTGATGGATGGTTTGTCAAGGCATTGCCGGAAAATATTTACAGCATCGTATCTCAAATCGGCAAAGCGTTGGAATCCCGCAGCACCAGTCAACAACAACAGCAAAAAGTCATCACACCAACATCATCGCCACCTAATTTGCAACAATGTTTGACCATGGCAAAAAGCGGTGATGCTACCATGATTTACCTTGCTACCGATGCACGGTTGCCCCGCGACAATCCAGCATTTGCCCCGATATGGCAACGGTATCCTTGCACATTTACATTGGATGAAGTGATTTCATTGGAAGCATGGGATGCATTGGATCGTGTCTTGGATCCCAACACAGGCAACAGCATGCGCAAATTCTTGCTTCCTTTGGTGGATGCTTCAGTCGCAAGTCGTGGATGGTTCTTTATTGGAAGCAAAGGATCCACCTTTTCTGGTTACATTTATCGATTGCATGATGTGTTTTGGTCTAATGCCAAAAAACAACAACTCATTGACCCATCTTCTTCTTCATGAATGATGATGATCCAATTTCTTTCTATTTTCCCATGTAGTATACCTCATACACCCTCTCACTCACTCATTGTATTGTTAATGTTTTTTCTTTGTTCTCCATCAGGGAGCTCCATCATCATCCACTATATCCTCCTCCTCCTCTCTTTTTTCTCTCCACTCCTTCTTTTTACCCCCCCCTCCCCCTGGTGGGCTTCATTATTGATGGGTGGGGCTGAGTCCTGCCACACATACACTTTTAGACATTTTTCATTGTACATAACCTATATACTATTTTATACACGCTCTTTTTTCGTCGCTCTTCCTCGTTGTATGCATCCATATTCTATTATCCAGTTATATCATTGGCCAATGCATTACACTTTTCTTGTACAACAGAGCTATGTTTTTGCCGATGCAATTTTCATAACGGCCCTCTCTCTCTCTCATACGCGTGTGCGTGCCACACACCATGCTACACAAGCCAATGTTAAACATGGCGGTGCAAAATGGTTCCACAAACTCTTTTTTTATATACCCTGTCAAAAAGTCCACAGCGTTCTTCACATGAATCCCCTCTCTCTCCTCGAGTCAACGTGGCTGGGGTTGCTTTGAATCGTACCTTTTGAATCATCTCATCCTATACATGCATTTCATGTTTCCTTTCAATGCGACAAGAGAAGTGACCTTTTAATGAGGGTTGCTGTTGTGGTGATAATGAAAACTGCGCGCTTTCATTTCTGTAATATAGAACCACCTAGAAGTTGCTCTCTCCCAATCACATTTTTACAATCCGATGAACGCCTGGCGCCATAATGGTGTGTATGGCAGCATGGTACGTAATAGATAATACGCTTCCAAGTGGCTATGTTCATCATGCCATGATGATCTTATACATCGTCGTCATGTAGAAATGGATACATGCTGTTCTTCCTCCCGATAAGAAATACGTATGTAGGTCATCTACAAACATTGGGGCATTGCTTTTCGGTATAAAACCAGTAATGATAATACCAAAAAACCAAAGTTGACTGCCTATTGCTCAATGGCTTACTAGTAGCTCCTTGCGTACCATTATTCGATTAGGAATAGAATACAGCGTTTTATTGTGTATGGCATCATCATGTGAGTGCTGGTTGGTGTGGAAAAAGTATCTATCACCTTTTGGAGCATGCTAGCGGAGTGAAATGATTCACATGTAAAATGGAAAGGTGTTGGGAGGATAAAGTGAAAAAGAAAAGACATACATACTTAGCTGTCGGTGGTAGACCAGCCATGCACCTTCGTATGCAATCAAGGATGATAGAGTCATTGCTTGTACGCAATGAAACGAAGGTAGCTGAAGCTGCTTGTTCATTCAACGTGTCATTTGGCTTGATAAGAGAGAGGGAGGCGATTGCGACTATGTATGTTGTTTATGCATTCTACCCTATGCCAGCTAAAATTGCGGCAGTACAGTAGCCTTAACATAGACACTGTTACTAACCTTGGGTATTCTTAAAGAAGTCGAAGGATTGACGCGTTGTCAATAAGTACTGAGACAGAGAAAGACGACTTTTATGCAATGAGATTGGCTACACGTGCAAAATGCAGAATTGCATCCTGCACGTGATGCAACTTTATCCTTGACATTCCAAGTCGTCAGTGGGTGACTAGGATTTGTGAAATTGACCACTTTTGTGCCAACCTCTTATAGCTACCATAGGGGTGGTATGGGCTGGTACATGTCTTGGCAGCGCTGTATGGGTGGACTATCGTGATCATTTTTAGAGTATCTCAATCCTTAAAGGCGCATGTATGTACATGATTGACAAGATGATACCTTTATTCGCTGAGTGGGCTTACAAAGTAAAGTGCTTTCAACGCATGAACATGCCATAATAGACATTCAATTCTTACTTTGTTGGAGCACTAATCTGAAGCCGACAACGGTGTGATATGGCTAACCTAAGAAGACCACATTAAGATACAAAAAGTCACTCGTATTCACATTCAATCACTGTAAAATCGACAAGGGAAAGGGAAGAACAAAGTCGAACCTTGTCGGTCGGGCACACACTCTCACTATCTATCCGAATAAGCTATCTTATATTGGGTGTGTCCCATTGATTGCAATGGATGCTCTAAAACAAAGGATATGAACAAAGCCAATCAAGATGATCGGAGTCTGGGGATGGTAGCAAGCAGTGGACAGCTGTGTGTGTGAATTTAATGGCATCAATTTCAATACGTGGCAAGCCGCGCGACTCGCTTCACTTGTTCCTTTATATACGCATCACAACACCTTGGCCAGCATGGTAAACCACATTGCAGCATGCATAAAGTGATAGTCAATCTCATTGACACGACCTCTCTTAGTCACAAACAGCGACGCAAACGGTGGAGACCCACCATGAGGACATGATTGTAAGCACACCATGACACTACTGCTTCCAACTTGGCAACCTTTTAACGACTCATCCTAGCATGATGCTCAACTCGACTATTATTCACGTCGTCTCGCTACTGCCTCATCAGACCACACCATCAAGATTTTCGATATTGATGGCGATTCCCAACGTCTGGTAGAAACCTTGACCGGGTAGGAGGACTCACGCGCGTGTAGTATGTATATCTCTTTATTAAACCCCATTGAATGAATAGACATGAAGCACCTGTTTGGCAAGTTGCATGGGCACATCCCAAGTTTGGATCCATTTTGGCGTCCTGTTCGTATGATGGTCGAGTGTTTATCTGGAAAGAACAAAACAATGTATGGACACGGATCAAGGAACATAACGTTCACACAGCTTCAGGTAACAAAGAACATGGAGGATGGACGACAATAGAGAGATTGAGTTTTCTTTTTGATTAGTCAATTCGGTTGCTTGGGCTCCTCATGAATTGGGTGCCATGTTGGCTTGTGCTTCTTCCGATGGCAAGATTTCTGTTCTCGAGTATCGTGGTAAGTAAAAGAAAAGAGTGCATTGGACGGGATGCTCATCCATATCATAGAGGATGGCTCTTGGGAAACATACATGATTGAAGCACATGGTATTGGTTGCAATGCTGTCACATGGGCTCCATCTGCTATGCCCGGTTCTTTGGTTCAAACCAGTGGTGGTGCACCTCCCAATGTCAACTTGGTCAAAAAGATTGTTTCGGCTGGATGTGACAATTTGGTCAAGATTTGGAACTGGAAGTAAGTAGTTGCTGTTGCTCTACCAAAAAGGACGCATAATAATAATAACGCGCGTGGATGGATAGGGATGATGCCAAGTCGTGGGTGGAAGAAGAAACATTGGATGGTCATTCGGATTGGGTTCGAGATATTGCCTATGCTCCCAACATTGGTTTGCCAAAGAGTTATCTCGCAAGTTGCTCTCAGGTACAACAGAGAATCATCACATGTCTTTTTTGTGTGGATATAGATGGGACTTTAACTTGCGTGATTGCTATTTAGGACAAGTCTGTGTTGATCTGGACTCAAGATACCCCCACGGCCAAGTGGGCCAAAAAGAGCCTTGGACAAAAGTTCCCTGATGTCGTTTGGCGAGTGAGCTGGTCCTTGTCAGGCAATGTATTGGCTGTCTCTTGTGGTGATAACAAGGTCACTCTTTGGAGAGAAAACGCAAAGGGCGATTGGGAATGTATCCGAGAATTAGAAGAGAATGCTTGATCATGTGACAAACCAATGATAAAATACTTACACATTTATATACATGTACGCACACCTCCTACAAAGGGAAAAAAGTGGATGTATTTGGGTAGTGGTGGCACACATTATGCAACAGAGGTGATGGTGCGGATGCGTCAATTAGTACGGTAGATTATGGAAAAATCTGGGTTCTGGAGACTTTGCCATCTTTGGTTTGAAAGTCAAAGGGTTGATGTTATTGAAAGAAGGAGAAAAGGAGAAGAGGAGGAGGAGCACAGACGAGTTCTTGGAATAGTTCCCATGTGGTTAATGAACATCCCTTTCTTCTCTTCCACACCCCCCATCTCCCTTACAGCACATGCATGCCTAAATACTGCACACATCCACTCTATTCTACTCCGTCTCATTAAATAAAGTGGCCCAACAGTTGCCAGATACAAATGATCGACGAACTTTATGATTCTCTTCTCCTCATTCCCTGTCTCCGGTAAGTACCGGATTTTGAATGTGATACAATGACCACTTGTGGTCCGGCATACTTGGCTTAAATCCTTCACCTTGCAGATCATCTCACAACAGCTGTGATAAGTAGCATGATGGAAAAGTATTGGAAGCGGGATTGACTAGTTTATAGGTCAATCTAAAAACGTGTATATAATGTCTTGGCTCATGTTTCAAAAAGATCGACTATCTCACATTATTCCGTCATCCATGTTTCAAAACCTAGCTTTATCAGGTAAGCTCAATGAGTTGGGAAATGGTGATGGTAGCCAAACTTGTATACTCCCCTGGTGATCCACCCCTACAATCATGACACGCCGATAGAATAAAAATGAGATGCCAAGCATTGTAGCTCAACTTTGATCCTATTATCAGATATTAGCGTGTCTGTGTGAGCGGGTGTGCGTGCGCAAGTATGTACCTGGTTATTTAGTCCATTGAGATTATTTTTTAAAGACCGGTTTGGGTAACAGAAACCGTCGATTCTTGTGTTACTTGCGAAAATCCCAGCGACGATCCTTTTTCTCTCGTCATCTGGACCATTCATCTTTTATACGTTTACGTTTTTGCTCTTTTTCATTTCACCTATCTTTTTACCAAACATACTATCACCATGGGCGTGAAGCAAGACACTGCCCTATTTTGGTACAAACTAGCCAAATCATTGACCATCCTCAGCCTGGTTGCTGTTATCACAATGGGATTCGGTTCTTTTATGTTTCCAGGTACATACATAAAGAAAAGAGGCAATCATGTCGCTTTTTTATCTTATACAACAACACTTTAGGCCGTTTCCTGTGGTCATCCAAATACAACTATGATCCAAAGCTATATTATCAACATGAGACAGTACTACGAAACAGCTCGTGTATGCTTGACGTCGATACCTTAATCCCACCTACAGCCGACGGATCCTATACACCACCACCACCCGATGCTTCACTTTTAGATGCCGTGCAGAAGGCATCTGGTTATGACTATAACCAATATTGCGATGGTTGGCATGCCAACCATGGATTTCACGACGATACGGAAACGTACAAGGACGAATGTGGAACATGGCACTCGAATTATATGAACTTGCATCAACAACGTATCCAACAATATCTACGCTTCCAAGATGGCGAGTTGGATGTGCTTGAAAAAGAACATCCAGGCTATGTGTCCTATGTATGCCATGAAGATCCTTTACATCGAGGCAGTCGTGGATGTGGTGGTTTAGCCGATCGAATGAATGGTGAGTATACATCCAAAGCTGCTGCAGGCTGTCATACTAAACCATGCAACTTTAGGCATGGTATCCACGTTCTTTTATGCACTAATGACGGACCGGGCCTATTTTGCAAACTGGGAACAAGGCAATCCAATGGCCCTTGAAGACTTGTTTGAGAAACCATCGATTGATTGGAGCTTTGATCCTGAAGAGATGAAAAGTGCCTTTACCAATGTGTCGGATGATGATAGCGTTTTAGGCTATAAACATATCGATACGCTGAATCAAAAATGGGGTCCTATTGGTAGACTCATGTTCCCCGATGGCCCTGATCAAGACTTTAAAACACTCTGGAACGCTTCGGTAAAGTAGTCAAAGGTGTCTTTATTGTGTCCTTTTTTTTATGCTCATGTTGTGTTGTCATAGTATATTGAATGGCACTCGAATCGCGCTTTTGTCATTCGCACATTCCAAGAGTCCACACGTTATCAAGATCAGCTAGCAGCTATGGGTCTTTCCAAGGAGAATGCTTTCCGTTGCATTATCGATTTCTTGTTCCGACCCACTGCAGGTCCTCGACAATTCATTCAAGCTTACAAGAACATGTTTGAAATGGAAAGCATCCTTAGTATTGGTTTGCAGGTAAGCGCACACACATGTGTATAATAGGATCTCATTTGCAACATGATCATAACCATCATCTTCATTCTATACATAATAGATTCGTACAGGTGACAACGGGATTGTGAACCCTGGCAAGGATCAAACCACCCTTTCCGACTGGAGCTACTTTATGACATGTGCCAATCAACTACGTGAAGCCAAGCGACTACCTCACCATAAGCAAGTGGTCTACTTCCTTATTACCGACTCGGTCCATTTACGCGATGAATTCATGTCTTTGAATCACGACAAGACCAAAGCACAAGAATTTTTAGGCGATGAAGGATACGAGGACGTTACCATGGTGACCACAGGGTTACCCATTGAACACATTGAAAGCAAGGTGGTGAAACCCAAGTTTACGCATAATCGAACACTTTTGAAGGATGAGGAACCTGTTGATCAGGTGGCAGCTGGTGTCCATGCAGCCGTAATTGAAAACTGGTTATTGAGTTACACGGATTACCGCCTGATCAGCCGTCAGGGTTTTGGCAAATTGGCAGCCTTCCATTCAAAGTCGGCCCATACTACCATCGGCATGCCAAAGGTAAAAAGATTGTATAATGATCATGGGTGGTGGCATGAACTAACCCCATATATTATAGCACACTACAGAGTATCCTATCCAGGTGGATTGTGCTAATCCTAACGCTATCATCAGCTTTGATACCCTGAGCACGTGGTGGAGTCTTGGTTAGCTTTATCACGCATTTACAAAAAAAATCGCGCATGGTCGCATCCATATCAACAATGACTCTCTTCTCCTCCTCCACCTCCTCCCCTCATCACTCTCCCACACATCCATAGTGTATTCCTGTATTATAGCAACACACACACCACACACACTTTCCCACTCGCACCCCCCCCATTTGCCATGTATGTATACATATAGACCAACACAAATGCACACCCTTATTGTAAAGTACCTGAAACAAGATACACGGTCTCTCTCACTCTCTCATCAAACAACAAAAGAAAAATGTAAAAAGAAGATTGATTCATGTTATGTACATAGGCGGATGGGTAAGGGTGGGGGGAGGAGGGGGATTAGAGATTGAGTGCAGGATGATGAGGTGGTCGAAAGGAAACAATGACATTGTATATTATTGGGTGCTGCTGCTGCTACTGCTACTGCCTTGTCGTAATTGCTTTTCCAATTCATTGAGCCGTGATACATGTTTTGATACTTGTTCATCCACTTTCTTTTGTACGAGTTGTTGAATTGCTTGTATCATGGCAGGTGACATGACAGGTGTATCTGGTGAAGGAGTACCCTCTGGAGCAACACTCAAGTTGACTTGCTGACCACTCGATGCAGCAATGGGATCCACAAGATGGGCCAAAAATCCTTCATGATTTTGCTGATTGCTGAATAAATTGGCGACCACTTCTTGAAGACGATTAGGAAATTCAGGATGTAAAGTGGTTGTTCGAAATTGTTCAATGTACTCGACCATGTGCGTATGTTTTCGCTCCAATATCTGAAACTTTGACATGAGATCATCGATGGTGGATGACATGGTGCCCTCTCCTCCTCCTCCTCCTCCTCCTCCTCCTTCTTCTTCTCCTCCTCCTTCTTCTTCTCCTCCTCCTTCTGCTGCTGCTGATGATGATGATCCTGATTCTGAAACACGTTGTCGTTTTTTGGCTGGTTCGCTCGTGTCGTTTGGAGGTGATAAATACTGTTCAATTTCACGATAACGCATGTGCACCATGTTCTCGGATGTTTTGAGCTGATCAACGGTGCCGCTAAGTTCGGTACGCATTTCATCCATACGACGACTGAGCGTCTTTAGTAATTCAGAGTCCTCGATACTGCCACCACGATGTTGCATCAAAGCATCGGCCATTTGAGTCAACTGATCCAATTTTGATTCGAATTCCTTCACCTTGGATTCTATACGTTCCAATCCCTTCATAGCAGGTTCCATCTCTTTGAGCAGCTTATCCACAGCCTGCACGCGTGTATGTAACGTTTTGAATTCCTCCGATTCCTTGAGCAAATTGTCATAGGCTTTGGGATTCTCCAAATGCGATCGTACTTGGGATTGCACTAACTCTGAAAGCTTGGCTTGTAGCTCCGGTGTAGATGCATCCACCGTCTCTTTGACTTGATTCTGTATCTTGGAAGAGATTTCAGGGACCAATTGTTCACGTATCTTGGCAGCCAATTTGGGAGCTGAAGTGGTCCATGCAACATCCGCCACCTCTTTAAATTGATCCGTCTTGAATAGGCGAATCTCGGCATTCATCTCACGATAGGCTTTCTTGCATTGAGAGCGTAACTCATTCAAGTCATGGCCGTGCTTCTCTTGTATGCTGGATTTTGCCGTCTCCACAGCCTGATTCACGTACTTGTGCCCCTCATCCACTGATAATGATGTTGCCCTCAATGCCACCAATTCGGCTTTCATCCCTTTGATCAACGTATCACTCGTATGCGCCACTTCACTCAGCTTTTCTTGCATACGTCGTTCTTGTTCCTCACGTCTTCGTCGAATCTCTTCCTTTGCTGGTGCCAATCTTTCAGATAGTGCGTTGTGAAGGTATTTCATTCCCTCCTTTTCTTGCTCTTGTAACCTAATCCAAATGTATTAGACATCGACAACAAGGTGTGTGTGTGTGTGTGTGTATCTACCTACTTGTGCTGAAGTATGTTAATAGCTGTCTTCAACTGTTCCACTCGTTGGACTATGCAAAAAGATATCCATATCAGCTGTCGAGTCTTTATCTTCACTAACAAAAACCCTTCCATGCATACCAACACGATCGGAATCAGGACCCGATGTCCCTCGAGTCTTGTCCAACTGCTCTCGAAGGCTTTGCATTGTCCTGTGTTGCTCTTTTTTTTCCATCAGATCCTTGTGTACTGAGGCTGCTTCATACATTAAACTATAGATCTTCCTTTAAGTATATAAAATACCCAGACGAGATCGACGCGTTATTACCGAAACATGTTTTTCAGCGTCTCATCGGGTGGTAATGCTTGTTGTGGGGGTGCAGAAGCTGCCATGGTCGGGTTCTTTTACGTGTGCAGGTGGGGTGTTGGAGAGTGGTGTATGCTGGCAAGAAAAGCAAAATTTGGCGCTTCGGCCTTTCCCACTCTGATCTTTATGCGAAGGATGAAAAGAGTGCACGTGTCTTGACAACTACACATCTCTTGCGCTAAGGACACAACTTGAAAAGATAAATCAATACAATCGATCAAACCTTTGCCAAACACGCATTATTATTATAATCAATACAATCGATCAAACCTTTGCCAAACACGCATTATTATTATTAATGGGATACTCAACATCAGTAATGTAAAAAAGAAACGATTTCAATAGAGCATTTTGTTCAGCCTTTTAGGTTGGAGAAGCTCATTTACAAAGAGATAGTTCTAAGTAGCTTACACAAGGAGAAGATACTAATAAAGCAGAACGCAATGATTTGGTGGATAACATTGGCGTTGCTTCATTGTGCTTGGATCTTTCAGTTGCTTCTACATATTGAAGGACGCATGGATGCGTATTGTAATTATGCCATTGAGAGATACAACACATTGATCAAAGGGGAGATAAATGGATATGCAAGGTTTCTATACTTTGGGCGTGTACGTTGCAAAGATGAATGGAGGAACGTGAGGTGGCACGTGATGCGTGGTTGTACACTACCTAGATGGTGGAGCAAAATATACAGTTGGATGATGATGGTTGTACTCGATCGACAAGTTGCATAAAGGATGACGATAGTGGCTGCCATGGAGTGGGGATGTATACTACTAAGATCATCATCATTGGATCCACCTCGTTCAGGATGATAGCATCAAGGTCAAGACGCTCTTTTTTCCTCGCGCTGTGCATACCCAATTCCTTCCATCCCATGTACCAAAACATTACAGCATTCAGACGATCAATATTCATAGGCATTCGTATGTATTGAAATGAAGTTGCTACATGCAAATAAAGCTGCCTCTCCTCTATAGTCTATGCAGCTCCAGAGACAAGACCGTGAACCAAAGGATCAAACCGAACTTGATGACCTGCCAGGCAACATCATATCTGAAGAAATGTGCCTTGATCGCCTATAGTGGTTGTCAAACATGGTAGATGACGCCCAATTGCCCTGGGTGATAATATCGTCAAGAGGGATGCCTTGAGAGAGAGCGCGATCAGAAGCTAAGGAACGAACAGTGGGAAGACGGGCGAAAGTAGGTGAAGAGGAGCTGATAGAACGTGACACTACATTCCGCAACCAACGTGAGATGGTGTTACATGAAGCAGCCAAACGAGGATTAGTGGTGCTGACAAAAGGATATCCGAAGGACGAGAATCAGCAGCAGGATGATCCCTAAGAGCCTCGAAAGCTGTCACTGGGCATAAAGAAAGGTTTGTTTGATATGGCTTGATACGTATAACCTTGACAATGCGACAAAATAACATAAATTTTATCCTGCATAAACGCTCAATGATGCTTTATTGCTTCTTCGAGTGCTTCTAGCTTCCTCAACACCGTCGTCAGCCTTTCATTCATGAGGGTTAGGTTGCCCGACAAAAGTTCCAACTCTTGTTTGGTGGCACGGACCTGAATATGACCGAATAACGCGTTAAAGAGCTGTGGAATACGTTATGCCAAAAAAAATGTATGTACTTACATCGTTTTGGAGAGCTGCATTGCTACTATCATGCATGATAGTATCAAGCTTCTCACCAAGCTTGATTTGCCCCTCTCTAATGTTCATGAGCTATGACAAAATGATGAGTTTTGTGTCTGAAAGATGTTGCCATGCAACAACTATTTGACTTACCTGCATAGATACAGACGCATCCATGCCACTGGATTGTGCAGGCATCTGCATTAGCTGCTCTGTCATTGTAAAGGTGCCATAGCTTGGGAAAGCATACTACGTTGGCGACGAAGTGGTGGTGCAGTCATGGCACGTGTTGTTGCTTGTGAAGAAGATTGGCTTGAGGATTCAGCATCTGAATCAGATGATGACTCTATTTCTCCAGGCGTATAATGGAAGCATAATACTCCTTGTGCAAATCCTGATTCCATTGAAGGGAAATAGCCAAAACTGCTCGAGTGGATAGCAACCTTGGTCATCCTCTAGTAGACACACGAGTCAACCTGTCACGTCTGATCATGCCCGAGAAGTCTACAAGAGAAGGCGAAGTGTCAAGAAAGGCGTGTAAGGTTTTGAACATCATACCAAAAGACTTTGCCGATTGCAACCACTGGAATGAATGCTGTTACGCTTGGTGTTGGTAGAGGAGTGTACACGAGAAGTGGTTGTATCAAGAAACGCGGGTGGTGCTGTAGTGGGGTGCGTACGCCTTGAACTTGCCCATTCAGTCAAAGACTCGGGGATCAAGACATTCATAGGATCGACATGATGGGTTGAAGAAGAACAATCGTTTGCAGGTGGTAGTTGTATATGTACTTGAATGGACCAACATTTAAAGGAACCGGAAATTAAATAGGTCCAGGCCCTGCCCTACACTGTATATCAATCCTTGATACTGAGATTGCCCCTCTCGAACCTGACACTTTCACACAAGATGCTCTTGGTCATGCTGATCAACATCCGCATAATAAAGAACCCACAATTCATTATAAAATATTGAATGGGAGGGTATAATGTGGGGTTGACTATGTAAGGCGGAGATCGCGTCTGTGCGCAGATTCATGATTTATCGAAACAGCCATCTCCATCTCCATATACACAAGGTCCTTTCGACCACGCCGAGCAATATCGTTCTCATATAAACATGGTGGAGAACTATGTGCAACAGCACGTGGTGGTTACACACGTACATCCTTGACAGCTGGCTGCATAAATGGGGATGATGTTGATTGTATTGGAAGTATTGGTTCATTATAAACAAGCATTGAATGATGTATATAAGAATGAATTCTATATACGGATATCATCTTCTTCAATACTAGTATGGGGGATGCATGTTGGTTGTATGTACAGGTTCGGGTGTGGAGCTAGCTACAAAGTGGAATAGGATCCTCTATTCAGGCTTGGTTGCCATGGCGATCCTAGGCTCAGGTTGTTGTTTATGAGTGTGTTCTCTTTACATAGTAGAAATACAAAAGAACAAAAGCATCTCAATACAATGATGTAAATGATACAAGCTCGCTTTCCGATCGTCAAGATTCTATTTCCCCTTTCAATTCAGAAACCGACCAAGTGATCCACATCCTGCACATATGAGCTGGTCGCACGATACTCTAGGTATTATGTTGATTCCAATGTTTATTCGATTGAAGTTGAAGAAAAAGACATGGCATATTCATCAAGTAGCTATGAAATAGATAAAGGATCACCATTGCCAAATGAAGAAGGTGATAAATCATATAGAACCAACGGGTATCAGGTTGCTGCCGTCATAAGCATCTTCATCCATCGTTGTCAAACAGCTGCTGCATGCATTGACTTGAGTATCCCAATATCATCCATGGCTGTAAAACACCTTTCGTCAAAACATACAAGCCCTCTTATCCATGCCATCCAATCCATGATCATCATCAGCCATCTCCACGTGACATGATCCATCTTCCCTGCTGACGACGTACCAAGTAACCAAAACGACATCTCAGGATCACCTATCACTTTGCTTGATTGCATCCACCCATCCATCCATCCATAACCACGACAAATCCAACATCATGTTGATAGAAAGAATCGCTTGCTGAAATACTTCCTTTCGATTCAGCTGTTGGTCAATCACTTGTTGCTTGGTCACCTTCTTCGCAGCTCAACCAGATCAGGAAGGTTTGTATTGTGCATAGTAGTTGATGGCTGATAAGACATCGTTCGTTGTATCAAAGCAAGTTGCAACACGTAGTTAGAGCTGCCTCTGTACCATGGCTATCTGCTGGCCACGCAAAAAACGGCTGTCAAGCACGTTGCTGCTAATAGCAATTGCTGGAATGAATGCTGTTACGCTTGATCGTGACAAAGGAGTGTGCAATGTGGTGTGTTGTATCAAGGAAGGCACGTGTTGTAGTAGAGTGGCAAGAAGGTTGTGTACACGCCATGGACTTGCCATTCAGTCAAAGGCAATCGGACCACGACAATCGTAAGCTCGACATGATGGGTTGAAGCGGGACAATCGTTCGTAGGTGGTAGTTGTAATTGGGAGGGCGACCGATGTCGAGAGGGAGAGGAAGAAGCAAGAAGCTGAGTGAGGAGAAGTGAAAATCAAATTGGATGACATCCCTTGTTTCTTTGTTGGAGCCTTGTTCAGTCAAATCCTCTCGGATGAAGAAAGTTGAATGATGGAGATGATGGGTTGGAGCACGACAATCGTTCACATGCATTGGGTTAGGTAACAGACGTGAATGGGAGGAATGGGCTATTAGCTGACAGTTTACAAATAACCTTGCAAATGATTCTTCTCATATTGGATGATGTTTCTTTGTTTGAGCGTTTTTCAGTCAAATCTCATCGGATCAAGAAAGCTGAATGATGGGCATGCTGGGCTGGAGCAGGACAATCGTTCGTTTGCATTGGATTGGGGAACAATGGAGAATGCGAGGACTAAGGTTATTAGCTGGCATTTTGAACTATTCCGTAATAGCGTACAAGAATCATGCATCGCCTGTGCTGAATGACTCAAGCTACACAAACACGCCCTCTGCATCTTTTGCTCTATTATAGCCATACTACTTTACATTAAACAAAGACCACTTCTCATATAGAATCACGCTTACAACATAGTAAAAACATAAAGGTGCCTGTATCTCCGAACTTTACAATCAAACGTGGGGTTTTTATTAGAGGAATGTGCTCGGCTTGGCCAACTGTACCTTGGGTGCCAGTTTCACGATCAAGCTTGCTGATTGCGTTTCGCAATGTCGCTACCAGCCAAACTGGATCTGGGGGTCGACCTCTTCGACGATGACGACCAAAATATTTTTTGGGCTGTTTGCGACATTGAACGCGAAACTTTCACACAAGGTGCTGTTGGCCAAGCCGAGCCCATTGCTCTAATAAAAACCCCATGTTCCATTGTAAAGTTTGGAATACAGGCACCTTTATGTTTGTAAGCGTGATGCTATATGGGAAGTGATCTTTGTTTAATGTAAAGTAGCTAGACACTGACAGAGCAAAAGATGCAGAGGGTCGTGCTGTGTAACACAGCTACGTTTGCATGAATGAAAGGGTCAATGTATAATTACTTTATGGATCATCTAGGAACAGGCTTGTATTGTGCTAGCTAACAGCCGAATTTTATCCAATCATCCATTGTTACGAGATCCACTGCATGGAACGATGCCCCTGCTCCAGACATTCATTTCCATGATTAAAGAGTAAGGTTGATCCGAGCTGATTTGACTGAGCTGCGGTCAAAGAGAGATTACATCACTCTGGACATAAAGCACGCTCGATGTAGCTCAACTGATGTAATCTTGTGTGGGCGTAACTCAACCAAATCAGCTCGGATCAGCCTACTTTAATCATGGAAATGAGCAGGAGCATCGTCCACCTACAACCAGAATGCACAAAAGTTGGGGATGCACAAAAGTGGCTATTGGCTGCCAATGTATGACATAAAAGTGAGGTTGCGTACCTGTCATGCATTGTCCCTGAAGTCCTGACTTTTTAGCTGAGTTACCCAAAGAGGGTCCTTCTGCATCTTTGGCTCTCCAGGGGTCCAGCTACTTGACAATGAACAAAGACCACTCTTCATACTCCATCACGCTTACAAACATAAAGGTGCCTGTATCTCCAAACTTTACAATGAAACGTGGGGTTTATTAGAGCAATGTGCTCGATAAGCCAACAGCACCTTGTGTGAAAGTTTCAAGTTCATCGTGGCTAATCCCAGATTTAGCAATGTCGCCACCAGCCAAAGTGAGGCAGTCAACCTCTTGAATTTTTTTTCGATGACCAAAAAAATAATTTTTGGGCTAGTTGCGACATCCGAGGCACCGAAACTTTCACATGGTGCTGTTGACCAAGCCGGGCCCATAGCTCTGTTAAAACCCCACGTTTTAAGTTTGGAGATACAGGCGTGTATGTTTTACCATCTTTTATGACGTGATGGAGTTGCTTTTTCCTGGTGGATGGCGTCGGCTGCATTAACGGAAAGATGAAGAGCGGTACGAAACCGCACGTGGTGGTTACAGACACGTCCTTGACGGGTTGCTACACAAATGGATGATGATGATGATTGCCTTTTGTGAAGGTACGTAAGTAAAACAGCATCCAACCATGAAGGTGTGTCAAGGTGTGTATCACTTTTACATGTAGGAGAAAGTCGGGCTGCATAAACCAATTTATATATATAAAAAGATACGTATACATATTGAATGAGCCCTCATCCTGAAACTCAATGGAGGATCTCTTCCTTTTCTCTTCTCAAGCTGTCCACTTCCCACTCCTCCTTATCGCATCACAAAAGCCATATACTTCTTGCATGACCGATGCAGTAACCGGACCACCTTTATTATTCCATCTTCGAAGCAATAGTATGTAATCCACAAGCTAGCAACCTCCAACAAGCGTGTAATAAATAAACAATGCTTTATTTCATCTAGCTATCTTGCTATGTACTGTACATTGCCACCACCATCATCGTAGTCGTCCTCCGTCATCATTCTACTCGTACTCGTCACCAGTCGTCAATCTCATCCGTCACACCAACATCCAAAAATACACAAGTTGAAAAGAATGGGGTCTTTTAGGGTTCCTTTTGAATCTCGTTGTCGTCATCATTGTCGTGTTGTGAATGGGGTGATCATCGTGGTATCGTGTTGTGAATGTGGTAATCATCGTAATCGTCGTCTCTACAATAAGAAAGCAGGCAAGTTAGACCATCCTGGTACCGGAGCGATGACAGGAATTGGTATACCGTTAGGCGATCCTCAAGGAAGAAAGCAAATCAGAAGGAATTCACAAACCAAATCACCACCATGGTAACGTCAGGCGATCCCTTGTTCTTGAGAGAGCACTGCAGATCACACAAGGCCAGTTCGATCCATGGCAGGAAGGACATCACTTACGTAAGTCAAGGCTCATAGTTGTTCTCATTCATCCTCTCCAAAGAAAGAATGATCCCCAATCCTGGCAATCGCATTTCCCACCTCATGGAAAGATATCCTCAAGGGAAAGAACGAGCCTATCACCTCAAGAAAGGCGTGTTGGTTAAACGCATTCACAAGCTGTTGCAAATCCCCTTTTACCTCAACACAGTGACCATGCTCTTCCAAAATCCATCGTCATCGACCCATCAACTCAAACGCAGGCCTATGGAAGGCCCTGGACGCGTTCCAAGAAGCTTTTCAGCACACTTGGCTAGTGCAGGCGACGCAGCGACCACTTGATACAGGATGGGACTTGAACCCAAAGCGATGATGATGATGCCCAGAATTCCATTGCCCTGACCAAAGAAACCTATTCAATTTATTATTAGCACACACACACAATAAACCTCTTCTCATTGTTTGTTTCATTGTACTTGCCTTTTTCCATATACAAAGACCCGTTGTTGTTGGTTACTGGAAACAAAAACCATGGTGTAGTAGTGTGGTGAACCGAAACAAAACGCCAAACCAGCCAACGTCTTGAAACCAAACTTTCTCTCTATACCAAGCTGACGCGTCAATGGAACCAATTCGGCTGCAACAATGGACTCTGAATGTACCTGTTGACACCAAGCGTGAAACGCTTAATAGCAACGAGCAAAAGGAAGCAACAATATCGCCATGGCAACCACTGACACGCTCATTCCTCAGCACTTGGACACACTCACTCTCCCTGACAATGCATGTTCAGAACTGCAATAACACCTCACGGCCCAACAAGAGCACTCTTCTATAATACATTACCTTGATCGGATAATAAATGAATGGAATAAGGAAAGGTGGGAGAAAAACAGAAGAGAGAAGCGTTGTCTCAAGTCGTGGAGCTGCTGTCCCCCAAGTTTAAATCCCCCTACTGCTATTACACTGAGGCCACTCAATGACCCCATACACCATCCACCCATCGTCATCATCACCCTCACGATAGACAATAGGTACACGTAAATAAAAGAAATGATGATCCTCACGTATAGCAAAAGGGTGTGTGTCATTTTACACTTTACATGATAATGATGATCCAACAACACCCATTGTTGCCATACTACCATGTCACCTCGAATCAAGAAAGTTCAATGATGGGAATGATGAGCTGAGCAAGACAATCGTTCGTATGCATTTTGGATTGGACAACAATGGAGAATGGGAGGATTGAGTTGTCGCTGGCATTTTGAACTATTCCGTAATAGCGTACCAAGAATCATGCATCGCCTGTGCTGAATGACTCAAGTTACACAAACACGCCCTCTGCATCTTTTGCTCTATTATAGCCATACTACTTTACATTAAACAAAGACCAGTTCTCATATAGCATCACGCTTACAACATAGTAAAAACATAAAGGTGCCTGTATCTCCGAACTTTACAATCAAACGTGGGGTTTTTATTAGAGCAATGTGCTCGGCTTGGCCAACTGCACCTTGGGTGCCAGTTCCACGATCAAGCTTGCTGATCCCAGATTTCGCAATGTCGCTACCAGCCAAACTGGATCAAGGGGTCGACCTCTTCGACGACGACGACCAAAAAATATTTTTGGGCTAGTTGCGACATTGAACGTGAAACTTTCACACAAGGTGCTGTTGGCCAAGCCGAGCCCATTGCTAATAAAAACCCCACGTTCCATTGTAAAGTTTGGAGATACAGGCACCGTTATGTTTGTAAGCGTGATACTATATGAGAAGTGATCTTTGTTTAATGTAAAGTAGCTAGACCCTGACAGAGCGAATGCAGAGGGTCGTGCTGTGCTACAACTACGTTTGCATGAATGAAAGGGTCAATGTATAATTACTTTATGGATCATCTAGGAACAGGCATGTATTGCTGGCTAACGGCCACTTTTATCCAATCATCATTGTTGCGAGATCCACTGCATGGGAACGATGCCCTGCTCTAGTCATTCGTTTCCATGATTAAAGTAGGTTACATTCGAGCTGATTTGACTGAGCTGCGGTCAAGAGATTACATCACTCTGGACATAAAGCACGCTCGATGTAGCTCAACTGATGTAATCTTGTGTGAGCGTAACTCAACCAAATCAGCTCGGATCAACTAAGCAATCATGAGAGATGTCTGAAACAGGAGCATCGTCACCTAAATAGTCACAAAAGTTGGGAATGCACAAAAGTGGCTATTGGCTGCCAATGCATGACATGAAAATGAGGGTTGCGTACCTGTCTGCATTGTCCCTGAAGTCCTGACTTTTTAGCTGAGTTACCCAAGAGGTCCTTCTGCATCTTTTGCTCTGCCAGGGTCCAGCTACTTGACAATGAACAAAGACCACTCTTCATATAGCATCACGCTTACAAACATAAAGGTGCCTGTATCTCCAAACTTTACAATGAAACGTGGGGCTTTTATTAGAGCAATGTGCTCGGCTTGGCCAACACCTTGTGTAGAAAGTTTCGTGTTCAATGTCGCAAACATTACAAAAATATTTTTTGGGTCGTTGTCGAAAAAAAAATTCAAAGAGGTCGACCCCTGGATCAGTTTGGCTGGTGGTGACATTGCGAAATCTGAGATTGGCAAGCTTGATCGTGAAACTTGCACCCAAGGTACACTTGGCCAAGCCGAGCACATTGCTCTAATAAAAACCCCACGTTTCATTGTAAAGTTTGGAGATACAGGCACCTTCATGTTTGTAAGCGTGATACGATATGATAAGTGGTCCTTGTTCATTGTCAAGTAGCTGGACCCTGGCAGAGCAAAAGATGCAGAGGGACCTCTTTGTTTAACTCAGCTACTTTGCCTGACTGCAAGAATGGAAGGATGATACTGTATACTATTGACAATAGCCCATACATTGCGAGCTAACAGCGATTTCCTTACAATACCAACTTTTGTCTACTCGATCATAATGGAGCGATGCTCCTCCTCCAGACATTCATTTCCATGATTCAATTATCATGATCCGAGCTGATTTGGCTGAACTACGGTCAAAGAGAGATTACATCAATCCACACATCAGCATACGTTCGAATGTCTCAGCTGATTAATCCTTGTTCGACCGTAACTCAACCAAATCAGCTCGGATCAAGCTACTTGAATCATGGAAATGAATGTCTGGAGCAGGAGCATCGTTCCCATGTAGTGGATTTCGCAACAGCGCTGATTGATAGGAAGTGGCTGTTCGCTGGCAATACATGGCTGTTCCTCGACAATGTATAAAGTATCATCCATTGATCGTTCCAATCATGCAAAACAGCTGTGTTACACAAACACGTCCCTGCGCATCTTTCGCTGTATCAGGGTCAAGCTATTTGACAATGAACAAAGGCCACCCTCCATATAGCATCACGCTTACAGCATAGTGAAAACATAAAGACAGTCATATCTCTAAACTTTACAATGAAACGTGGGGGTCTTTAATAGAACAACATGCTCGGCGGGGTGAAAGCGATCTTGTGTCAAAGTATAAAGTCCATCGTGGCCATTCCCAGATTTCGCCATCGCCACCAGCCAAAGTGGTTCGACCTCTTGAATTTTTTTCCACGACGACGAAAATATTTTTTGGCTGGTAGCTACATTTGCGAAATCTGGGATTGGCCACGATGAACTTCATAGTTTGACACCAAAGATCGCTTTCACCCCGCCGAGCAGCTTTGTTTTGTTAAAAGAGATTTACGTTTTGATTGTAAAATTTTGAGATACGGGCACCTTCATGTTTTGCATATGCTATAGGCGTGATGGTATAGATGTATGAATACTGGCCTGTTTTGATTGTTGATCGTCTCGACCCTATTATGACCAATCATGCAAAAGGACTACTTTGTATGACAAAGCAGAAGAGGTGGGACTGGGGAGGGTCAAGCCTGCATGATGATTTCTTGCCAGGGACCACCTATAGTGAAGTGTGTCTATGGTAGCCGTTTCGAAGGATTTTCACGTTAACCATGACATGGCTCATAGGTCATAAATGATCAGTGGAACTGAAAGTACCTCGTATTAAAGGATAGGTGTAGGTGTGGCAGTGATGTTGTTTATCTTCAATGAACACATCATAAGGGCATTCGCTCTCATAGTAAGGTTGTACAATGTAACGCTTACGATAGGATATACTAATTTTTGTGCCCATGTCACATTGCATCAAAGTTTTTCCTCGTTCTTGAACATAATGAATTAAGCATACAAGAACCAAGCATCTGTAACAAGCAGTATTGTTGGGCATCATCACACTGATTTTATTATATATACAAGCGTTTTAGTGTACAACGCTATGAATGACCACTGCCCAGTCGTATAGCTAGCATACGAACGAGGAAGCTCTAAACATTGTGATGAGGCAAAGGGTCAAAGGCGTCTCGATACGATGATATAAGTGGATCAATTGCTATTCCCCATTCAATCCACTTCGTTGAACCATCATCAATCCCAAAACCAATCACGTAATTGCAACTATGAGCTGCTAGTACAATGTTCTAACTTTTATGTTGAAGCCAGTATTCATTCAATAAAAGTCGTAGACTATGATATGAGAAAGTGGGTGTTTGCAGGTAAATACAATAAAGGAACGACATCAGCAAATTGTATAAGTAGGGGTGGTTCATCTATACCAAAAGGGTGTCATTGTGTCATTGTATGCGAGGTTGCTGCCATCATAATCATTAATCATCGAGGATCCGAAAGCAGCTGCTGTGTGCCTGGACACCATAATTCCGATATCTTCCATCATCCATAGAGGTAAAACGCGCTTCGTCAAAGATACAAGCCCTGCCATCCAGTCCTTCATCATCCTCAGCGATATCCTTGTGATTGATCCATCCTCCTTGTTGGCAACGTGACAAAGAATCAAAGCAACATTCCAGGATTCATCGCTGCACGTAACTGCATCCATCCATCCTAACCGTTGCACGTCCACTACGTCGATAAAAAGACCCTTGTGATCGCTACTGATATGCTTCTTTTCCATTCAGCTGTTGGTCAATCCCTTGCTTGGTCATTTGTATCACAGCTCAACCGATTGATCAAGATTGTGTTGCGGCGTACTCGGCGGCTGATATGGCATCATCCAAACTGAAGATTAGGAGCAATTGCGACTTGAGTAAACATTCACATATTGTTAATCACCATTTCTTAATCAACAAGCATCGAATCTCTAGTGTACCTTGATTAATGGGTGAAACATGATACAAAATCTCCTGTAACAGTGTGTTGTTAACAATGACGCGTCTACTGCTGGATGGATAGGATTGATGGTGATGATGATCGTATCTCATGGTTGTTGTATAATGGCTAAAGCTGATTGACGTGCTGCTGCAGTATCAAACCAGGAAAACCTATCTCTTGACACTAGTTGCTCGTCGTCATCAGCCTTGAAAGAGAACTCGAGCCTTCGATTCGTGCATTCACAAGAGTGTCGAAGGTGCCATCTTACGCGCTGTCACCGTGCGAGAACAATCGTAGTGAAGGTGTCGTGGATGCCATTGTCCAGTTCAGTGAGAATGCAGTTGAAGAGGAAGAGAGTACAAGTGAAGAGAGCACCAAATTTTAATCTGCAGAGTTGCTTTATTCCATCACCCCTATGTGACACGACTCCTTACTCTAACGCAGAGAGCCCTGCTTACTCGCACATGATAAACGCCATCTTCAAGTAATTACAAAGAAATCCTTGCTCCACAACAGCCCTTGACATGTGCTAATAAAGGCTGTTACCGAAAGATAGCTACAATAAAGAGACTGCTTGCAGGTAGATGATTCCAACACTATTGAGCAGTATCCATGAAGCAACCATAACCATAAGATGATCCAATGTCCCTGGTTTTACAGAGACCGCTTGACTGCTTCAAGAAATCCATCCAAGCCAAATAGTCATCTTCGCCTTTCAAAACCATAGGACTTGACATTGACAACTTTAGGGAGACCAAATAGACCTTCATGCACCAAGGAGCACGCAAACGATGGCTTGATGGAATGATCGACCTATGAATGCGCATGTCACTAGTTTATCTTTGAGATAGTGGGAACAATACATAGCCAAGACCATACGGAAAAATACAATGCTTGATGCTACTCAACACCCCAAAGTCGGTTTCCTTGCTGCAGAGATGCCCATACAATGACAAATGGTGATAGCCGTTCTCCAAGGAAGGAATGTTGCCTGATGATGATTTCCCTGGGCGGTCGATACACCTTGATAGCACCGAAAGACTCACACACATTGTAGCTTGTTGCTGATGTGTAAGTGCACTTGCATGCGACACATCCCATAATGATCACTCTTACCTTGTCGTACTTTATTGGTATCCTTGCCTCAAACAAAACCTGTATCTCCATGCAATCCGCGTCTCCATGCAGCGCATTTCCATGACAAGCATGCCATGCTGTTGCTATTCCCTATTGTAAAGTCCGTTATTTGATAGCACTCGTATTGTCGATCCAGTGTTATTCATACCAATGGATCTCCAAAGGAAGGGAGCGATACTGGACTATGAATGACTTGAGCGATGAAATAAACCTTGACTTGCTTGCTGCTGTTGTGATACACCCATTAGAGACATGCGCTGCTGAATGCTCTTGAAAGCTATTGGTCAATAACGAGAATCACCAGAATCGAGTAAACGTTGCTGACACTGACGATAGCAGACCCTGTTGCTGATATGATCCACCGATAACCGGTATGCGTAGTTGGATATCCTCAAAGGATTGGCGTCCACCTTGGAGTGATGTATAGATGACCTTGGTACTGCATACTAAAGATGTCGACGTTGGCTCTCATTGCTTGATAACATGATCCATCCATAAGAGACGTTGAATGGCAGCCGTGCATCAAAGGGATTGTCGATAACCAGAACCACCAGAAGATGAAAGCTTGCTGACAAATTGCTCCTTGCTGCTGACGTGATCAATTGATAAGAGATCTTCATTTCTGGATGCCACCGAATCACCGATAACGTGAAGCACCAGATGATGGGATAGAGCTTGCTATGACACCAACAATATGGATGCTGTTTCTTGTTGCTGATACAGTCCACCATGACGCATTGGCTGACAATCTTCAGCTGCTGCTTTGGTAACCAACCACCAGAGATGTAAAGAAAGATTGACACCACCAAACGATATAAATACCTTCCCCATGGCTGACATGATCCAACTATCAATGGCACCATTAAGAATTTTCCAATCCCATCCAATAGTACTTACCAACCATAGCTGTGACCTTGTAAACTTCAACAAGACACCATATGCCAAGTAGCTCTCTGCTGTAGCCCACAACTATAACACAATAACACGTTACTAGGTACATTAACAATAGGAAGAACACTTTACCAATATCAACCATAGGATATCCGAATAAACCCGATCCCAGCAAATGCACGTTGCGTTGTAAGATAACCTACCTCGATAAGATACACACCCGTTTTCCACAGTACTAGAACGATACTTAACACACAATGATGACGACAATGATAACGTAGTATAAGCCATTATAAATATACGCTGCTTGCAGCGATGTATCTAAATAAGAGACGTTTCAGTGTTTTGCAAAGCATACCAATCATCCATACCAGAACCTCAGTGATCATATAGACTTTTGGAACCAAATAGGCCATCCGAATGAAATGTAATGATAAAATGCCACGCCAAGAAATGTCAAAGTACCAGTACTCTCCTCTAGCTCACTCCAAAAGGACGTGGATCAAAACACCAGATTTAACAGAGACCATGTGGGTCCTTCACCAGCCGACTTTGAACCACAATGAGCCGTGGATCCTGCATGCGTCAATAGAGATAACCATCTTCTTCAAAGGCGAGGAAATCAATAGCCATAGAACGATGGAGCCGTGCGAACAGAGGATGCATGTTTAAACCCTGAGGTGGCAACTTGAGTCGCACTGTTTCCGCTAGCACAACATGACCGTCTCCCCTGGAAAGTACAGTACAATGACATCCTTGACGTGCTGTTTGACAATAATACTATCGCCGAAAGAGAGCCTATTGCTTTCGTCAGTGTACTTGAAGGTAACAAATCCTTAGGCAATGCACTTTACGTTGAGGTATTCCCAATACCATTCCATTGATGCTTGCAAATAACCTTGTATCCATCCGATCCGGTATGTGATGCTGCTGTTTCATGATGTGGTTGGTTAATCACGTGGCCCTGATTTGTAGATCCAACACCATGCATACCATTGAGCCAACGTACAGCGTTCTTGCCTTGAGATCCGTATCTTGTTGCTGCCAGAGGTACCATCATTCAACATGTTCAACGTACCATAAACGCAATGTGAGATAACAAGGATAGCATTAAAAAAGCATGAGAGTCATATATACCTGAATCACGCAATCATCACCCGCATACTTGGGAACCAAATAGGCCATCCGAAGGCAATACAATAATCAACCTGCAGCGCCAAGGTATGCCACCATATGTACCATACTCTCATTGGATCCTGAAATTGGCATCATAAGAGATATCCACCT